TCGATCCCCAAGACCGGGCCACTATTGAGCAGAACTTTCTGAAGGGTCAGTTGGGGGTCATTTGCTGTACCTCCACCTTGGCTGTTGGCATCAACCTACCCTGCCATACCGTCGTCCTCAAGGGAACCGTGGGATTTGCAGACGATCAGCTAAAGGAGTACTCCGACCTCGAGGTCATGCAGATGCTCGGCCGTGCAGGACGACCCCAGTTCGACGACAGTGCAACTGCCATCATCCTGACCCGGTCTGCAAACAAGGAACGCTACCAGAAAATGGTCTCGGGCCAAGAAATCCTCGAGAGCACGTTACACCTCAACCTGATTGAGCATCTTAACTCGGAGATCTGCTTAGGCACCATCCACAACCTGCCATCCGCCAAAACGTGGCTCGGCGGAACTTTCCTGAGCGTCAGACTCAGGCGCAATCCCAACTACTACCGGCTCACGGGTGAAACAACCAATCCTTCTGAGGTTGATGACAGATTGGAGGAGATTTGCGAGCGTGACATAAAACAACTTCAAGAAACGAAACTTGTCACTGATCAGGACTCTTTTCACTGCACCGAATATGGGCGCGCAATGTCCAAGTACAGGGTCGAATGGTGGTTGATGAAATTGATCTGGCAGTTGTGCTGTGGGAACGGATGGTGGTGCTGGTTGAGGGGCGAGGAGGAAGGGGTTTGGAGAGGTGGGATTTGGTGATGCTAGGGGCGTTTGGTTTTGAAATGCTGGGGATCGGGGAGGATTTGGGTTTGGGGGGTCCTGTTGGGAGTGAGAGTGGTCGCCGGGGAGCGGTGCCGGTGGTTGGGGAGGGCGGAGCTGCTGACCCCGGCGACCGTCGGAGTGTGACCCTGACAAGGGCAGGGCGTGCGCGGTCTGGCGCGGCGGTGGATGAGCTTGTAGTGGAAGCCTGTGACGGCGGCCGGAGGGTGGTTTTGCTGGACAGGGTCGTCACGGAGGACTTGGCGCGGGCATGCCGGAGATGCGGGCCCGGTGTCCGGCCCCCGGCCGGTGCTGGCACCCGAAGCAACCCGGCGAGCAGTGAGTACCCCGGTAGAGGTAGTAGGCCTTGCTGTTAGCAACCCCGGTGTAGATGCTCGGCTCGAAATGGACGCCTGGTGAATGGAAGCCGTACGAGTAGGACGGCCCGGGGGTGATGCTTCTAGAGCAGAGCTGCTGGTCTTCTCGCGCTGCTGCGAGGATGTCGAAGCGATACGAGCAAATACGCCAGACAATGGACGGCTACTCCTCGTGGAGCCAGCGCTGGTTGTGGCACTTCTCGTTATGCGGGTCGTTGCATTGACTGCTGCCCCCGATGGCTGTCCCTTAATCGGCAATCTGCTGGGCGAGGCATTGCGCAGTTCACCGCTGCTGCTCGTGGTTTCTGGTTTGCTGCTGGGCTTGCGCAGTGAGCGCGCGCGCGACAATGCGCTGGTGGATGATGTCGCTGATGCCATTGATGCTGGTTTCAATGGCGTGACAATGATGGATTCAACAACGAGTCAGCCAGATTTGTTTATTTTGGAAGTGGTCGAGTCGAGTCGCTACATTCGAGCGTTGGCGTTCCGGGGTTGATTTGCGGTAAGTCGCAGTCGGCAAAGCTGACACGCTAAAGCGAACCCCTGTAACGGGGCGTTCTTGGCTTCAGACGGCGCCTGGCAAGGCGGTCGGCGCGCTGGCACGCTACGCTGGCCCTTGCAGCTGGCCACGCTGGCACACAGTGGGTTGCACCAGAGCTGTCAAATCGCGATAGGTCTCACAGATTCGGAAATAAAACAATAAGGAATGGAGACGTGCACCAAACACCAGGTTGACCCAACACTTGATTCACTAAAGAGCGGCGAACAATCGGTAATAACATTCACAGAGACAGAACAGTGCTGTATTTTGGACGGCTACTCAACCGTAGGAAAACATTTACACCCCTAGGTACTTAGTTACTGTCTAGGTATCCTCGTTGAACCCTTATATACCAAAGACATGCATCCCTCCATATGTTTTCTCTGCCTGGTATCTCTGAAACCGTTTCTTTCCATGCCCACCTATGCCACCTCGGTTTTATATGAATATACTCATCATCAGCTCCAGGCTTCTCTAGCCGTCAAATGGACCACCCCAAGCAGATCTACCGCTCTTCAAAGACCAACCCATGTAAAGGAACCAAATATACGTATATGTATGAAAAGACCGGTTCCCAGGAAGAAGAAAAACGAAGGGGAACAACGCAAAAAGCGCCCCACAACCCCCCCCCCCACTCTAAGTATCCAGCCACCCGCTCCTCTACATCCCCACCTCCACCACTCCCCCCTCACCAGCACCAGTACCAGCACCAGCACCAGCACCAACGAACCCACCCACACCCTCATCCCCCCTCTCCACCCTCCTCCCCCTCCCCACCTCCTTCACCACCGCCTCCAAATCCCCCTTCACCCGCCTCAACACCGCCACACACCCCGAGCACACATTCAACGCGCACGCACTACAGATGTAACACTCAGCATTGCGATCCACGTATCCACACGTGCGGCAGGCGACGGGGTTGACGCGCTGGCGGTTGGCCGTCAGGTAGCGGTGCTGCGTGATGCAGGCGCGCTGGCGCGCCGTCGGCGGCCGCGCTTCCGGGACGCTGTCGGGCGGGAGCGGCGTGTACCACCCGCGGGGGAAGAGCGCCGCGCCCGGGTGGTCGGTCGTGTCTGGTTCGTTGGGGTCCGGCTCGCGTAGGGGGAGGTCGTCGGGGTTGGTGGTGGTGGTGGTGGTGGTGGCCTCGGCCGGGGCGGTGAGCGTCAGGCTGGGGTGGGAGGGCTGTTGGTGGAGGAGGGTGGGCTCTTCTTGGTGGCTCCGGGGGTGGGAGGGTTTTACGGTCTCGACGGAGCCCGTTTCGGAGATGGTTCGTGGGATGGGATCGCGGTTGGGGTTCTGGGGCCAGCGGGGTTGTTGGGTTGCGGGCTGGGGTGGAACGGCTTGTGACGCCTCCCGGGGTGGGGCAGCGGGCAGGGCGCGCTCATCGTCGTCAGTTTTGGGGGCCGGCGCGGGAAACTGGGCTAGCCCTAGACCAGCGTTGCGGTCGGCCGGCGGGGAATACGGGATGTACTGCTTCTGGCTTGTCTGGTCCCGCTCAGACGGTGGGGAGTAGGCAATATATTGAGGTTGGTTTGTGTTTTGGTCCCCGGTCTGGCGTTGGGGACACGGGCAGAGCTTGGGTCTGGCTTGGGGCCTGTTTTACATCGGGCCGCGGAGACGTTGGGAGACCTATTGGCGAGCGCACCGCTAGCCCTGTATTGATTTGTCCCGGTGCTAGAGATTGGCTGCTCTTGGCATGGCGTAGCTGCGCTTCCGCGGTCCCGATAGCTTTCCGAGCTATCGGCTTTGTCTCGCCGGGGAGCTCGGGAGATGACGCCGGCGACAGGGGCGAAACGACCGTGTCCGGCAGCGGGCTCTTGACATCGTTGGTGCCATACTCGGGCGTGGGCAGGCGAGCTGCCGAGACTGGGGAGACGGCCGCGGATGTCACGGGACTGAGCGCTGCTTGATATGCCTGCGCTTCCTGGCTCTTCGATTTCAGCTCCTCTCGGCTTCCTTGTCGCCTTCCATTCCCTAGCTTCTCCTTGAGCCGCGACGCCTCTTGCCCCATACTTGCTTCCCCTTGCGAGACAGTTTCCTGACTTAGAGCGGGTCGGATATCCCGTCCGGGCAGACCCCCGTTGGCACCTCGTGGTGGAGCTCGCTGTGTCGTGGCAGGCTCTAACGTTTCGGGGTTGTTCCGGGGAGGAAGTGGGAACGGTTGTGAAAACAGATCGTTCCCGCCCTGCTCAGTGTTTTGGGCTGACGCGGCAGTGGAACCGTGACTGGAGACGAGTTTGAGATCCGGAACGGCCAAGCTTTTATCAGCTTTTAGCGATCGCCGCCTCCAGAGTTGCTCTTGCTGCGGGGAGCCGTTCCCTAACGGCGATCCAGTATTCGTCGTCGTTGATGGTTGGGTGATCTGGGTTTGTGAGCTGGCGGGCGTTCGAGGTCGCGGACTACTGCGCTGGGCATCTTTCAAAGGCGGCGGCGGCGGCAACTTTTTTTCATCTCCCTCGGGGATTTGATTGCCGTTGTTCTCTGGCTTTTGCACATTTTGATCCGACGGTAGAGATGGCAAATCACGCGTCAGGGCCCCGGACTGTGCGCCACTCCTTTGCGTATCCAGATTTGGTGACACAACCGAATATGCGCCTTTCGAATTAAGCACTCCCTTGGGTGAGGTTGCTGATGACGACCGCGAGTCAGCCGTGTGGTTGGAGTAGGCTGATAGGATACTCGAGATGGAACCCCCAGGTGAGGGCAACGGATTCGGAGACGCCAACGTTGCGCCAGAGGTTGGAGCCAGTGTTGGTGTCACGGTAACAGGAGCTGCAACGGGCCGCCTTGGGATGCTCCGAGGTGGTGGGCCGGTGAACTTAGGGGGCAGGGACGGCAGCGGAGAGTTCAATGGCTTGGCTATCGTGGCCATGGTGGTTTCTTTGGCTTGCTCAGCCTCGGTTCTCTTTGGCGGTACTGGCGGCAGCGGCGCGTCGGGTTGTGGAAGAGGCAGTGGCTTGTCGGGGACTAGTGATGAAAAATCAAGTGTCGACTCAAACTCGAACGTTGGTAGAGCAGGAGGGGCCGGAAGAGCTTTCGAGAAACGAGACTGCCCGGATTTCGGGGGCTGCAGGGTCGAGGCCCCCATCATATCGACCCGTTGATTCCGTTGCCCCGGCTTAATCAAGAACAAACGTTATAGCTGACCGCTTCTATGACTGTGACCCGGCTGCAGACCCCGGGGTAGGGACTGATCCTGTTCGATGTTTTCTCTGACGCGCGTCGCAAAGGCCCGCATTTGGTGTCGCACATGGATGGGGTCAACACACAACGTCTCCGACTTATAAAAACGCTGCCACCTGCTAACGGCAGGGCATACGATCTGTCCTGTGAGTGTGCTGCTTGGTCGTTTGCTGGTTCCTAACACAATGGGCCGGCCGGAAGGAATCGTACGAGAGGCGTAGGCATAAAGGGGGCATAAACCAACAGTAGAAAAGAGACGCAACCGGGCAGGATGCCGACCAGATTTTCGGATCTTCTGCAGTGATGCAACAGGCAGCCCCCGACAGGCTCAAATTAGACGATCGTCTTGCCCCCCTGCCCCTGCCCCTGGTGGCCCCGGTCCATGGCCGGCTGAAACGGCGACTGGTGAGAGCCTGAGAGGTGAGGGAGCCGAGCCAAGGCCATATTTTTTTAAATGACAGGGGGTTCCGGGATGTTCACTCCAAGCCGGTCCTCGTCTGGCTGCGCTGACTGGTCAGGATGTCGAAGAAGTGGGATGGACGCGGGCGGCTCGACGCGGTTTCTTGGTCTGAATTGGAAGTCGAGGAACGGGTTTCTTTCGAAATTCATGCCGTGGGGGCGAAATATTCATCTCCGTTCTCAGTGCCAATAAGTTGACCTATATTGTTCGTTTATGTCCATTCACTCACCCACGGGTTTAAGAAGCAAATCGTTATACACTGCATACATGGATATGGCTTGGCCGTGTTCCGGGAACAGCGGGAGGAGCGGATGTGACGAACTCGGCAAATCGATGCGCGGCGCCACAATTCATGAACTGCCTCAGTGCCCGGCTCCGGCGCCATCGCCTAAGGATCGATCTTCACCGGGGTCTTGCAACAGCTCACGAATTGGCGATCTTGGTTTCCAGCCTTTTACTGTGTACATAGAACTGGGCCGATAACAAAACATGTCGCTATTTTATGTCGTCGTCTAATTCGTACACACAATCTTAGGATGTTGAATGCCGAGAGGCCTTTGCTCTAGCTCAAAGATCAGAATAGAGTTAACTAGACATGGAAGATGGGAATCTAACTTTGCCCTTCAAGATTTCGAGGACTGAACAAATCGATCGATCCAGAAATTTTCAGCCCTCCAGACTAGTGCAATCGATAACGATCTTGGACTGTGCGGTTTTCCGCAACATTAGTTCCTTCCAAGTTCTCAAAACCGAGTCCCGCTCGAAGCCTAAGCTTAAAATCATTTTTCACTCAGTTCTTTGCAAGATCCACAGAAGGAGGACAGAATATTGAGTTGGACCCAAATGCAACCCAATGTTTCTGGGACCTGCATCAACCCGCAGCCTGGACCGCTTCCGAACGGCCCGCTTCCATTTCTGGCTTCCCACCCCAGTCTTGTCTGTGTTTCGAGAACACGACTCTGAGCACGAGCTCCGTGAAGACGAGTCGATGAAATCCATGCGCTTGGACGACACACGCTCCATAACGCAAATGCTGCTGTGATCATGAGTCATGACTGTTTGCTTTGTGGCCCAGGCGCAAGATGGAAAGCGCCTATAGCGCGCACAAACTCGATCACGGCAGGTGGTACTTGGCGCCTTGGATATACCCGACGGACGACCACCCGCATTGTCACAAAACACAGTTGCGCAAGGACACAATGAAGACTGTATACGAACTACTTGAAAGCCATCGGGGCCTCGATTGACGTCGCCATGACACTCTCCGAGGACTACTATGTACTCCGTGTCGCGCGCTGCGTGCACAAGACCAACTGTCACGAGGCATCGGCTGTTACCTCCGGACTGGTCCCATGTGCTTGTGGAAGGTAAACGATGCTTTGTTGCCTGATTTTGCAATGCAAAAGACGCCTTGATATGAGATGACGCTAAGGGCTGTTGCCCGACCCACAGGTGAACCTCGAGGCCTGGACCGTTGGAATGAACTTGGGGAAGGGACGGCCCGTTATAAACATAAGCATGTACGCCTTTGATGCTATCCTCTATTATTCATCTCGATAATATAAGCAGTCGACGATATGAGGCTTTCCACTTTCCTCGCGAGGTTTAGCTACGTATGGGCGACTCAGGGCCTTCTTGTACAATCCGTCCAAGGCCACCACCAGGATGCCAGGCCGGTTTCCGAGTCCAGCACTGATGATGGCTCCGGTGCGAGCCAGATTCCCGCCAGAAGTGGCCTGTTACATCCGCGGCAAGGTTTCGATGCCAGAGCCGCAGCAAAGGCAGCCATCGACGCTTTAAACACCAAATTCTATTCCTCTACGGAGGCCATCTGGTCGCCTGGCGCTCCTTGGTGGCTGAGCGGCGTTGCCCTGACCAGTGTTATAGACTACATGCGGAAGACAGGTTCCAGAGATTACCTAGCCCAGGTCGAGCATATGATTCACGTGCAAAGAACCCAGTGGTCCAACACCGGCGGCGACTTTCGTGGTCCGTCGACTGACGATACGGGGTGGTGGGCGCTCGCCATGATCCGGATGTACGATCTAACAGGTAACGACTCCTACCTCGACATCTCGGTCGAGGACGAGGCATACATGTACGACTGCTGGACCCTGTCCCCCTGCGGCGGCGGGATGTTTGTCGACATCGCGACCAAAACATACAAAAACGCCATCGCCAACGAGCTATACATTAAGCTCGCGGCATCGTTGCATAATCGCATTGCCAACGGCATAGATTACCTCGCCCGGGCGGAAACCGCTTGGACATGGTTCCAGGCATCGGGCATGATCAAAAACGACAGCTTGATTAACGACGGCCTGACCGCAAGCAGCGACGGCGTCTGCTACAACAACAACCTGCCTGTATGGACCTATAACCAAGGTGTCATCATCGGCGCCCTTGTTGGTCCGTTCTCCCCTTCATCCCTTTCTCCAACGAACCCCCATAACAAACCAACCGACCCGATCCCCCCTAACTTCGCCACGCACAGAACTCTACCAAGCCACCGCCTCGGAGGCCTACCTGACCAACGCCTACACAATAGCCGACGCAGTCCTCTCGTCCCAGACCACCCCGCAGCTCACCCGGGACGGTATCCTGACCGAAGGGGCCTGCGAGCCCGACGAGGCGAACGGCTGCAACCACGACCAGCAGGTCTTCAAGGGCGTGTTCGCCTACAACCTGGACGAGCTGAGCAACGCGATCCCAGACGGCAGTGGTATGTCCCTTTCTTCTGGCACTCAACCCAGGCCAACCTGCTCTACATCCCACAGTTCCGCTTCTCCCATCTCCCCCAATAACGTATCAGAGCACCACGCTTCTCCCTCCTCCCACAGTCCAGCCAAAACCACAAGAAGAAGAAAAAGAAAAAGAAAACAAAGACCCTGACACAACTAACCCGCCACACAGCCAACCCCTACCGCAGCTATCTGCAGCAGAACGCGCAGAGCGCCTACACGCACGCGAGGGCCGAGGCGACCGACCTGTACGACGTCAGCTGGGTCGGGCCGTTCCGGAACTCGACCATTGGGAAGCAGGCGAGCGCGGTCGGGCTGCTGGTTGCTGCTATCTGAGCGTCTTGGGTGGTGTGATTGTCTCGGGTGAGTTGGGGATGGGGTTGAATTCAAGGGGGGGTTGCGTGTTGTAGGTGGGTGGATGCTGGGAAAGGGGGAAGGGGGGGTTGTTATGGTTAAGGTGGAGTGGTCAGCCACGAGAATGCTTTGTGTTGTGTTAGGGGTGAAAGGAACCCTGGATGGGATAATATTTTTATGAGAGTCTCTCTAAGGATCATGGTTCTTCAACCCGCTCAAGGCCGGTTCTCTTCCACCTGGAAAAGGCGTAGTCATTTCCCCTGTTGGTGATCAACCCTAGAGGAAATCTCGATAGACATCACCAAGAAAAACGGGTGCTGACAAGCTTCTTTACGGAATCTAATGCTCAATTTGGGAGGTACTGTGGCCAACTCCCATCCACCCGTGGCAAATACCGAAGCAAATAACAGAACCGCGGGATATCAAATGTTAACGAAAGCTAGTCCGTCCCAATATTCGTTCTTTTCCTTGCAATGTCTGCAGACCTCTTATCCCTCATAAGTGTTTTCGTAACTGGGCTTAATATCTCCAGAGCCCTCTATCCCACACAACCGAGAACCCCTTTACAAACTGAAGGGCCTTCGGGGGTAGGTGACCCCCTCGACGGCGGCGTCATCCACGAACCAGCTGCACCGGTCGCCGCATCCCTCGTTGACCAAGGCGCACGGCAGGCCGTTGCCCGCCTCAAAGATCTCCTTCATCACCTCCTTCTTGCCGCCACCCGTAGCGACGAACGCGACGCGAACAGCGTGGGTCACCACGGGCAGGGTGAGGGTGACACGGCGCGGGGGCGGCTTGGGGGAGTCCTCGATGGGGGCGACCCAGGCGCTGGTCTCGCGCAGCAGCTCGTGTCCGGGGAACAGCGAGCAGGTGTGGCCGTCGGGCCCGCAGCCGAGCAGCAGCAGGTCGAAGATGGGCAGGCGCACCGAGTCGCGGCTGGCGAAGCTGGCGACGAGCTCCTGCTCGTAGCGGTCCGCCAGCTCCTGGGTGTCGTCGAGAAAGCTCACGTCGATGGGGTGCACCTTGGGCTGGGGCGCGTCCGCCGGCAGCTTGTCGAGCAGCTCCGCCTTGAGCAGCCCGTAGTTGGAGTCGGCGTGGTCGAGCGGCACCGCGCGCTCGTCGGCGAAGAAGATCTCCCAGCTGCCCCAGTGCACCACGTCGGTTTCCGATGTGGGCGGCGCCAGGAGGGCCTGGGCGAGCGTCTTGGGCAGCGAGCCGCCGGACACGGCGACCTTGAAAGTGCCGTGGCGGGCAATGCCGTTTGCCTGGGACTGGATGATGTAGGCGCGGAGGACCGGGGCCAACGCGTCCACGGCGGGGAATGAATAGAGGTTGGCTTGGCCGCCCATTGTGACTGTTCGAGGGTGCTCTTTTTAAACTCGGCGTTTGGTTCGGTTGTCGTATCGACGTCAATGTCTCAGCCCGATTCAGATCGAGATGGTGTGTGGCTTCTCCCAATGGCCCGTTGCGCAAAGTGTTTGAGGGGATTTCGTCAAGATGCCTCTTGGTTGGTTGCTGAGTGAGGGTAAAATATTGGAGGGGTTGATGGAGGGGTGGGAGCTATCGGTAGGTGGTCAAGAAGCGAAGACAGTTATCGATAACGCTTGGAGGGGCACACCTTCACAAAAGTATCGAAGAGCAAACCCCGGAGCTCCTTACTTCCACCGCACTAGACGACGGAGAATGAATCGTCTAGATTTTCGCCGAAATTCCGTGATTCTACTACCCGTACCCCTAATACCTACCAAAGCCTTGGGGCTGGAAGAGATCAAACGAGCCCGAGGTTAAGTTCACTACAAGAAAGAAAGAGCTCTGGACCGGCAACGGCCCGAAAGTTTCCCCCACCCTCCCGGTTCCAGCTACTTCGATCGACGCTCGAGTCATTGTTCGTACTGCATATGTTTGAATTTTAGGTCCGTTTCCGGGATATTATGGTGTTTTTGTGATCATTTCCCTATCCGGGTTGTTTCCCTCACACGTCTTTCTTTGCTCGCGAATTGTTGAATTTCCCGAGTTGCTCCCAGGCCGTAAAGCTTCCACAGACGCAGTAGAGTGCCGAAACCATCGGTGGCGGCTCCATGGAGAAGAAATTCCATTCCTTTCTAGACTTGTCTTAGGCACTCTAGAGCTCCACAGCGAGATGTTCTGTTCGGTTCGGGGCGTTGTTTCCGGCAACCAAAAGCACGCCTGCCGAGCCTGCGCCGACGGTTCCATGAAATCTAGAAGCGGGTCATCGAAAGGACAAGGAAGTTGTGGGGAAGCAGGTTGAGGGGTTTGGGGCTCGAGAGGGGTTCACAAGTGGGGGTCAAGGAGGGTCATGGAGCGTTAGGTCCGGCGACATCTTCGACATCTCGGGACCATGCTCCGTTTCTAGTTTATGCCGTGTTCGGTTTCAAGAACCACAGAATTGTCTCCGCGACCTGGCAACTTGGCAACCCCCGCAGTTGAAAGATAAGCGACGGGCTCTTTCTTCCTACACAGCATCCGGGTATTGTGCCCAGGACCCTAGGAGTCTGCGGTACACGTACGTTGAACACGAGGTCAGATCGCCCTTAGAGATCTGCAAACGAAAGAGCCGTGGGATCCGATACCCGTCTTGGGGAAGACCCATGGATCCTGCGGGATGGAAAGAGGTTGGTGGGGCTGGTAACTATTACGTCATGGGCGTCGTTTTGGCAGTTGAGGTTTGCCAGAAAGTGAAAGAACTCTGCAGACGACTTATTGTCCCAGGTCTTGCTGGTCTCGATTGGACGCTTGGAGTTGATGGAATATCAACCATTTTTGGCATCTTGAATCAACCACGACTCACCCACTACTCGGTCGTTGATAGCGATGAACTGTTCCTTCCTCTGGGAGTCTGACTACAGAATAACTAAGCCCCAGAAATGTCAACCAATCAGTGGCAGCGTTTCACTTTGATGGATTTTCGTAGTGCGAGTTCGGCCGCCTCAAAAATGAACTCGGGAGTCCGGATTGTGTTGCCCTCAACCTAAAAACGACCTAAGAACCATATCGCCACCTACCAACCCGATAATCTCCACGAACCAGGCAGCCGTCCCCTTTCATCAACTGGTCCGCAAACATGACAAAACCTAAATATCTCACCGGTGATAAGGCGGCTATAGGTGAATTTATCGACCGTTTCGATGTGCGTGGTTGACTCATCTCTCATGAACCCCTCACGGAAAGCTTACTCACCCTCATTAGGTCTTTCTGCTGGATTGCGACGGTTAGACATATTAAGGCCCCATAATTTTACGGTATGTTGACCTCTGCTCAGGGGTAATATGGTCCGGTGACCATGTGTTCGAAGGCGTCCCTGAGACGCTCGAGTATCTACGATCCAGAGGTTAGATTGGTCCAGGATTTCACTAGTCTCGAAAAGTCGCCGTTGACCCCCCACCAGGCAAGAAGGTCGTTTTCGTGACAAACAACTCGACCAAGTCCCGGGAAGAATACCTCAAGAAGTTCACCGGGCTCGGCATCCCCTCCGACGTCGAAGAGATATTCGGGTCGGCCTACTCCTCGGCCATCTACATCTCTCGCATCCTCCAACTCCCCGCGCCAAAGAACAAAGTCTTCGTTCTCGGCGAGGCCGGCATCGAGCACGAGCTCCGGAGCGAGAACGTGCCCTTCATCGGCGGCACCGACCCGGCATTCCGACGGGACATCACGCCGGAGGACTGGAAGGGCATCGCGGACGGGTCACACCTAGACTCGGACGTCGGGGTGGTGCTGGCCGGGCTAGACCTCCATATCAACTATCTCAAGCTGTCGCACGCGCTGCAGTACCTGCGGCGGGGCGCCGTGTTCCTGGCGACCAACACGGACTCGACCTTCCCCATGAACCACAACTTCTTCCCGGGGGCTGGGTCGATCAGCATGCCGCTGGCCTACATGACGGGCCAGCAGCCGCTGGCGCTGGGCAAGCCGAGCCAAGCCATGATGGACGCGGTCGAGGGCAAGTTCCGGCTGGACCGCGCGCGCACCTGCATGGTGGGCGACCGGCTCAACACCGACATCAAGTTTGGCGTCGAGGGCCGGCTGGGCGGCACGCTGGCGGTGCTGACGGGCGTGAGCAAGGTTGCCGACTGGGAGGCGGAGGACCCCGTGGCTGTGCCGGCATTCTACGCTGACAAACTGAGCGATCTGCGCGCCGGCGCCACCGCAGCTCCGTAAACTCTCCTCGCGCTTTATCTGGGACGTTTCCAGAAAAGAAGCAGGACTTGGCCGCGTCCAGCTTATGTCGTGCTCGGTACGGTTGCGGGGGCTGGGACCGGAGTTGGCTCGGGTTGGCTCGGGTTGGATCGTTTCGTGGGTGGGAGGGACGGCAGCCGCGGGATCCTGGGAAGCCTAGTATACACTCGACGCATCGATGAGCACAAAGTGACGAATAGATCTAGATTTGCCACGACTGCCCAGATGCGTGTAACTCATTTTCAGTGGGCCATGCAGGAGGTGAACCCTGAATGGGTACCTGGTCGAGCTGGTGACACTAAGATCGGCGCTTCGCGGTGGCTTCGCTAAAACCGTTGCTTTTCCCCTCCTTTTTTCTTCTTTCAATTGTTGACCCCGACTTCCCATCCTCCCATCCTCCATCCACACGCGGCGGCGAACGGGACAGCAGTGTCCCGAACCTCTGGCGAGAGGAATCATGAGGGACTTGGCATCCGATCCGCCGAACCCTGTCCCGTTCTCACGATCAAGGGGACCATCCAAGGGGCACGTGGAGAAAGGTCGGCGTCCTTGGAAAGGGGTATGACGTCGTTCCCCTCCTGGGGGTGTGTGCCGCGTCCAATGGGCTGCTGAAGCCATCTGCAAGCCATCTTTTTGGAGCAGGACCCCGAGAATCTTCGAGCTCCCGAAATGCCGCTGATTCGGTGGGTGTGAACCCTGTTTTTAGCGCATGATACCTTGCACAAGGGCTGTCAGTGGAGCCAGGGTCCAAAGAGTCTTTGGGATTCGAGACCGCTTGTCACACTGACAGGACTGTGACAGCAACGCAGAGCGAGGGATACCAGGGAGCCCAGACCACTGGTTCCAAAACGCCCGCTTCTTTGGCGATCAAGGTGCAATTGCCGTCATGGGCCAGGGGTTGAGCATCTGGAAAATTGGGTAGACCACCACAGGCAAGTGTCCCTGGCCATCGAGCCACCATGACAAGCTCGAGACAATGCGCCCAAGGTGTGGCGAGTGGTGGCTCGGCGGTGCTTTCGACCGGGGGCGCCAACAAGAGTGGGAGGTCCACAAGCCGTCGAAATACAGGACCAGGGCGTGGAGCTCGCCCTGGACGGGCGCCAGTGCAGGAGACGTGCGTCAAGCACGATGACGGCACCCGGGAACGTCGTCTCACAGCCAACTTTTGCGAGCGTTATGTGCCCGCTTGTGGCTTAGCCTAACGCAAAAGGGTGCAGCAACGGGGTGCGTCCACCGCCGGTGTGGTGTTGTCTGCCTTTCGTGCATTACATTACGGCATTGCCCCAGATGTTGGCGACCCCAGGGGATGCTGGGTTCATCCAAACGTGCGAACTTTTTAAAGGTGGAGGGGAGGCTGGACCACAATGTGCAAAAAAATCAAGGTCTTACAGCCTCTGTGGCACCTCTGCACCCTAAATACCTGCCATAGACCTCTCCTTCCATGCCTTGCCCATTGCAAGTTCCTGCAATTGCCCTGTCTTGGCAGCCGCCGTTTTTTTTAAAGTCCGTCACATTTCTGCGGGTGCTGCCGGGGTTCGTTAGGGCAGTGACTTGGCTGGGCCACCATCGTCATATCGCGGCTTCCTTTCCTGTCACCCTGTGGCCGACTTTGACCCAGGTTGCGGGCAGTTCCACTCCGCTCTTTCCTCGCATCTGCGGCTGGAAGAGGGAAAGAACTTCACTGTCGACCCCGGGTCGCACTTGGGACCCCAAAGTCGAGTCACAGGCGCAAGGTTCCTTTCCTCTTTCACGTTTCTTCCCCATACCTTCCATTCCCTCCCACCTCCATACCCTGTCCTCCGACCCCGAAGAAACAACCTACCTACCCAACCTAATCTTGCCGCACCCCACGATCTTCGTGCGTCGGGTACGTGTGGGATACGCATTGTTTTCATCGATACCCTTATCGTGTCTTTAACGGGTCACGGTCACACTACCACCCAAAAGTGGTTCCGTGGGGACCTGCAAGGCCTCTGGCCCTTGCCTGCCCTCTTCGGCTCAAAGCAGGCCATTCTCACTCCCTCACACACACACTTGCATCCATACTTGCACCCACAGGTCGGGCTTACAAACCAACCACCGCCTTACCATGGACGGCTCCTCGCCTTCGGTCTTCACGGACGACCAAGAGTCCCCCCGGGGCCCGCTATTGGAACGCCGCCAGCAACTGACTGAAGCTCTGGCCGATTCCCCTTACGACCTGATCCTCTACCTACAACGAGCAGTTGTCTACTCTCATCTCGCTTATCCGGACCTCGCGGTGGGCGATGCCTATCGTGCCCTGCTCCTGGCTGACGAGGTCCGGGATGAGAGCTTTGAGTATCATGAGCAAGCCAAGGAGGCACTCCGTGGCTACCAGCTCGTCCCCTGCCCTGAGGTTCTGAACCACGGAAGCTTGGTTAACGACCTTGACCGCTTGGTTGACGGTGACGGCGTTGAGGATGCAGGCGAGTTCAACTTACTGGCAAATCTTGCCTCAGTCCGCTGCTTCCAGATCATCTCGCTCAGCCTTCTACTCTGCGGCTGTCTAAAGAGCGCGCTCGAGTTCTGCGAAAGGGGTCTCAAGATGGTGCCCCATAACAGGGAGCTTGATGAAATCAAAGGGTACATCGAGCAGGTTGCTAGACGCAGGTTGCGGAAGGACCCCGGCGAGCCCATCGGGATCACCAACCTGCCCGACCGCGGTGTCGTGCGCCGGGAGGTGTATCCTTGGAACACCCACGAACCCGACCGCTTCGCCAAAGAATCTCTTTTGTTTCTAAACAATAACCTCTCCAAAATGGCTCCGAAGTGCGAAGTCAGGGTCTCGACTCTCCCAATGCTGGCCGACGACGAGAGTAACAGTAAGGGATTCGAGGTTATTCCTTATTGCAACCAGCTAGGCCTGTTCGCAAAAGAAGATATCGGCCCCAAGGAGCCCGTTCTAGAAGAGTACTCCTTGCTCACCGCCAATAATCGACACAAGGAGTCCGCTTGCGACGCCTGCGGCACGGAGCTCCCGCCTCTTCAAAGTAACTCTAAGGCAGTGAGCTGTCCTGAGTGTTACGACACTATCTTCTGCGACGATTTCTGCTTCACCAAGGCCCAGGAGCAATATCACCCTGCCGTCTGCGACAAGGACATCGACTCTATCGCCAAGGATCCCAAAGCCAGAGACATCGACGAGTCTCTCTACCTACTACTATTGGCACGTCTCCTTGCCATGTCGACGCACCAGGAGGCCCACCCCCTGGAGATCAAGGAGATCAAGTATAGTATGTTGACCACCCTCCTAAATTCTTCCATGTAACCCCACAGCTAATTTTGTTACCAGTCTGGGGGGATTTCGTGGCTGTGGCGCTGAACGACGTCGACGGCTCCATAACTGATCAGCCACCACCCGAGTGGACGCTACCCTTTTCTTTCAAATACAACGTCGAGATCCCTTTGCACATGCTCGAGAAAATGGACATTGACATTTACGCGACTCTCGACAAGCACGACCTCTGGGTCTTCAATACGGCCTACGCCAAGTTTCGTGGCACCGCCTCGGCGAGAAAAAACCCACGCGACGGCCGCCCCGATGTCGCCGCAGTCCATCCCTTTTGGTGCCTCGCAAACCACGATTGCAACCCCAACGTCACTTGGGAATGGGGCGGACGCATGGTTCTGTGGGCGCGCGAGACCCGGGTCGTGGGGAACCAGCCAGGCGGTATCAAAGCGGGCGAGGAGATCTTGAACCATTATTGTGACGTGAATTTACCAGTTCAGCAGCGGAGGGAGTGGGCCCAAGGGAGTTTGGGTGGGCTGTGCGTGTGTCAGAGGTGCCGCGACGAGCTGGGTAAGCCGAAGACGAATGGTTTCACTGAGAACGGGACACCATAGGTCTGTCAAGAGGCTGGATTATATACGAAGTGGATAAACGGGGATACTGTAGTCGGGTCGATGCTGTCTCGTTGAATAAACGGCTTCCCCAGGGTGGAAATAGTTGACATGTAAGAAGAAGGCAGGGTGGGAGAGAAAATCGCTGATTAGCGTGCAAGAGCACAGGTGCCTAACCATAATCAAAGGCAAGGGATTTCTGTAGGGGGTTGGAACGCGGCCGAGCTATTGATGGGTGGTTAAAGCGGTATCCTGTTGGCCTAGCTGCGTAGACGGAGAAATGAAAGTACTGTGACTATCTATGGTCAGTCCATCTGGAAAGACCATAGGTACATAACTAGTCGGGTTTCCTTTGGTTGATGATGAAGAGCTTAGTTCACGGCGTTGCCTTGTCACAAACACTCATCTTACACGGCTGATGTGCTATTGCGAGCTGTTTCCAGCCCAATCACCGACTTGTATCACGAACTGACACCAATGCATGCGTAATGCTTGCGAGTAAGTCCCGGAGGTTTTCTCCCAGGCCAAGCTGCATGCCATTTGCCTCAAACACTCGATCGCAATATCATCAGGGAAGGCTACGCCATGAACTTCACCTGGTTGCGCGCTGCCCGTCCAATTTTCTTTGGACATATATCCCTAGGTCATTAATGCAAAGATATACTAGCTTGGGTATCTTGGGATGGTAACCAAAATCGGCAACAACTGATACTGCCCAGCTGCGCTAGGAAACATTGACTGCAGCTACGTCACCAATGGTGGGATAATAACGAGGGAATCCTCACTAGGGTTGCAGAAGTAGTTTCAGAAACTACAGATACGACGCTGCCAAGGAGGTAAGATACTTGCGATATATATGACAAGATAGAGCGACGAAAGGGATGGGTGGTGGCGGAACGAAGATAGCGAGGGCGATGAGGATTCCGGGCGGATATGACTGTGAAATCAGACCTATATGCCTACAGGTCCATGTACAAAAATCCTTTTAGGTAAGTTACAGCGTAGCATATTGGGCTAAACTCAGACAACTACGGCTAATAAGCCCCGTGGTCAACGCTGAACAGGAATGGAAACCGCTGGGGCAGTCGGGCGTTCAAGACGGTCTACTTATATAGACAGACCTGGGAATTCGCATTGCACGAAACCACTCTATACCGTAGGAAACAGCTCAGCAAATAAACGCTCAACACCGGGGTAAACGTAGTGAACTAGCTAGATTACCCTCTTAATTTGCTTTGTTAGGCAGATCGGCGCCCCTAATTAGAAGGGAAGGAGCAAATCCCAATAAATTTCTGGAACATCATCGGCAAAACGGCAACCTTCAGGACGTTAAAACAGTTGCAAACGCGGCCCTGGAGAGCGGCCTATAGAAACTTGTTCTCTCGCTGGTTGCCCGGCGCACTGATTCGGCCACTTTGCAGCAACACCTGCCGCTCCCACGTAGTGAAAGATACAACCTGTGTTACACACATCTGTAAATCCAAAGCTTCTAGCAGTGACAAAAGCATATAAGCATATAGCTAACTAGGTAGCTAGATACACTGCCCGTTTGTGCAACACTGCAGCAACCCAACTTTACCCAGGTAGGTAGTCAGCTCACTAGGCCCAAGCTACCTTATATATACCTCTAAATCACTCTTCCTGAGCCCCCCCCCCCCCCCGATACACCCACTCCCAAAGCCCACACCCCAGCCAGCAGCTTCCGACACCGCAGCACAAGTTGAACCATTACAACCACCAGAAACCTACACTCACCTCCTCCGTCCAACTGCGCATGCGGCCCAGGATGTCAGGATGCTCGCAACGGACCCCCCACCTCCCACCTCCCACCTCGGCCCGTGCCGGCCCGAGCCGGGGACTATTGCGGTACCTACCGGTTGCGGCAAACCTCGCGCCGAGCTTTTGCATCATGCATGCATGCATCGCTAGGGTTGTCTGTCTTCGGGGTGCTGGTTCGCACTGTGTGGTGGTGAAGGGGATGAGGGATGTCGTGGGGGTGGAGGGTTGGTTATCAAGCGGGGTGGATCGGACTCGGCTGGGGGTTGATTATGGGGGTGGAATGGGGAGAGCTCGGCGGTGGTCATGGGTTTGGGGACAAGGTTTGGTAGGGGGTTGTGATCATGGTTTGGATGGGGCGGGTTGATATAGTCGGGAGCCATTGTGTGTAGTTCTGTTATACGCTCGAAATGATCGCTCAGTCAGAAACCTATTCAGGGGTTCAAGCCCGCTGTTCTCCGGGATTTGATGACACAGACTAAGAGCGTGGGGCCCTATGATACTTTCATCGGCCGTAAAAAGTGTTAAGAGTTGCCTTGTTCAAGTCTTATCGAGGCCGTATAATTCCCAACAAGGGGTGTAAACTCTGTCAAGAGGCACGCTGCCGCCTTATACTTTGTTTCACTCGGGGCTCGGAGTGCGCCGAACGACAACCAAGTCGTAAGAGGAGCAGATATCGATACATCCAAGGCACGTCATTCACAAACAAGAGCTACCATGCGCGGTTTACTGTTTTTTGTTTATTATTGTGTAGGCTATCCTCCCACAGGGGTGCCCCATTCTGTCCTCTGCCGGGCAAGGGCCTGGCGTAAGAAGTAGACGGATGCCGGCCCATGGATCATGAGGCTGTTCCAGGTGGTTGCTTCCCCTCCTCCCCACGGCACCTTTCCTCCCGTGCTGGGCTCAGACCTAGCTGGGACAGTGAATGGGATAAAGCTCACGGTCAAACGTCAATCTGCCGCCAACTGCCTAACCCCCCTCCCACCCCCCCACCACTAGTCCACCGTCCCTGACCCGAATGGCCGTCGGCAACACAAACCGAACCACCCCACAGATGACAACAGCACACGGCTCAGATGAACGGAACCCAGCCGTCATGATGCCTGGCTTGAGCGACACGAGCTATAATGACAAAAAAATGGGGTATATGTTAAGCCGAACATGAGAGCACCAAAGCGACTCATCAAGTGAATACAAAAAGATAAATGGATGGCCCTCCCATGGCTAGAAGAGCCACCCTCAGAACCGAGCTCGCAAGGAGGAAGCAATCCAAGTCTCGAATCCTGTTTGTGTTGTTTTTATTTCATTCCTCCCATTTGGTTGACCGAGTCAACCTTCATTCCCTCATGTATTACAAAAGTGGTATATAGAAGATGATGTTTTTTTGCCGGCTATGAGCCGTTAAGCGCAATGGCGAATGTAATGGGACGTCGGCTAAAAAGAGAGATGCCACGCTTGACAAAACGTGTAATGTGAGCGGTTCGGCTCACAGACCGATGCTTGTTGATCGAGGGCAGTGCTGAAAAGCCACGCTTCGGGGTTGAAAAGATTTGAGGAGTTGAGATGGTCGATTCGCAAATGCTAAACGCAGGCATGTAACCGAGAATGACGCCGTGACGCCTCGTGATCGGATAAGCAGACGCATTGCGGCTCGAGCCGAGAGGTATGTATGCGCCGATGAGAGGGCGCCGCCTCAACTGATGTTCCAATCCTATCCCACCCATGCCTGCACCCAAGCCAAACCGGGCCGGGCCGAAACCGTAAAACCAAGGGGATTTCCCGAGCCAGCCGGCTCCTTAAGAAAACCCAAATCCCTAGCCCAAATAGACCCACGTCCGGCGACAGTTGTTAGTTGCCGATGATGATAATGATTAAGAGAGAAGATGATGCCCAGCCCCTTTTGTTGAAAACGCCGCCGCCATGTCATGCATAGAGTGTTGTTGTTTGTTGGTTTGTTGGTTTGTTCGTTGTGTGGTATTACATAGATCCTAGACGAAGAAGAGCCTCGACCGCCTCACGCTCCTGTGCGTCGGCGGCCACGACTCCCAGCGTCGATGACGGAAAGTTGAAGTTGCGGGGCGACGGGCTCAGCTGCGGCGGGCGCGCCATGCCCGTGGAAACGGAGCGGATACCGCCGCCAAAAGTATGTACATTGTTGAAGGGGAATTGTTGTTGGTTGGACTGGGCCTGGTACGATGATGCGCGGAGCGCCGCGGCGCCGACGGCTGCCCAGTCCTCGTCGTCGGTCGCGTCTTCCGGGTCGTCGTTGTGCCTTCGCATCTCGTCGTCGTCGTCAGGAGCCTCAGAGCATGACGCGGACCCGGAGCCGTCGAGCGACATCTTGTCTGCTTCGTGGTCCATCATGTCCATGTCCGTGTCCAGGAACCGGTCGTCGTGCGAAAAAGCCGCCGAGTAGCCGCCCTGGCTCGTACCGAGGTTTGCGCCGAGGCGTAGCCGGTCTGTACTCCACCCGGGTGTCTTGATGATGGGTATGCTGTTTGGGTGGGCGCCAGGCGACGCGTGGCGCGAAAGCGAGCCCCGGGCGGGCTGACCCCGCCGCTTCGCGTCCCACCGGCCCCAACCCACCTTCATAAACTCAACATCGCCGTCCAGTCCGCCTCCCTCATTGCCAGTTCCCTTGCCCTCGAGAGCCCCCACGACCAGCCGGCGCGCCTTCGCCGGAGCGATCCCGGCAAAGCCTGGTACTGAAGTGGTGAGGTAGCCCATCAGGTGCCGGATCGGCAGCGGGCCGTGGCTCAGTAAAATCTCAGGCAGGTGGAACTTGGCTAGCATGGCTGGGGTGATCGCGCCGGACGAGTCGTAGGGCGGCGACCCAAGTCCGGCAGCATGTCCCCCGCCGGCCTCCAACAGGTCTAAATCCGAATCGATCGAGTCGAGCCGCGCCCGCTGTAGTTGGGCCTTAAGCCCATGCGGAGGCAGCGAGGGTGATATGGAATTCGGGGGTGTCGGGAGGTCGGTCGGATTGGTCGGGTTGTTTGTCACAGGAACACTCCGGGCCGCTACAGCAGTTAAGTTGTCTCGGCCGGAGGTCATCGCGATATCGCGGACAGCAGATGCCATAGTTGCCATGTTGACAGTTCTAGGAGTCGACTTGCTTCGAGACGTGTCTGCAATGCGGCGCAGCCGTGTGTCAGCACTTCTTCTTGAGACACAGACGGTACGGCGCATCGAAGGGCGCGGGCTGCTACTGGTCGCGCGAGCCATGGCTGTTCGTTGGTGATGTCGTTGTCGCTGTCGACGACCGGTGGCGGTCGCGAGATAGGGACAAGATAGGATGGGAGGGGAGGCTGTTCCAAGAACTGGACTGAGTCACACTCACAAATGTCTGAAGCAATGCGCAGCTTTGTATTCAACAGCTTTTGACCGAAGACGAGGCTTGTCGGGCAAAAGGGCGGTGGGCAAAATGGCAGAGCTGCTGCGGATGATCTTCTGTGACAAGAGATGACTCTCTCAATGGAAAGTCAAGTGTGAAAATAGTCGTGTTGTTGTTGCTTTGAAGAAGCAAGAGAAAAGAACAAGGGCCAGGAATGGCAGGCCAGGGCAGTAATAAACCAAATCATGTGTGCCTGGGCGGCGCCGCGGGAAGGTTTGTGCTCAGGTCAGGGAATGTACATCCAATGACTACAAGGCAGGTACATCCGTACCTCGCAGCCTGTGTTGCTGATGGTTGCAGCCAATTCACAGTTGGCACTGGGCAGCCCAGACCACAAGCCCACTCATGCCTGCATTTGCTTGGCCCAAAGGGGACAAGCCCACACTCTCCGCCTTTGTGACATGGGTGTGCGCACAGTGGAGCGAGAACGAAAACGGCTTGAGATGGGTGTGAGTGGTGTGCGACAACGAGCCAACGGCAGCACAGTGTCACCGACACAGCGTATCAACTGGCTCCCAAAGGGATGCGATGACTCGGAGGCTAAGTCGGCTTCGCCGTCGAGATTCAGTTTCAGCTTCTTTCTTTCGCCCTGGCCCTTTGCGACCACTGGCTGCGGCGCTGCTTGCGAATCCGCCTAGCCTTTTGCAAATCGAAAAATTTCGCCCACAAACGTTAGGGTTTCAACGAAAAGCAAAGCATAAATATCGGTGAAGCTAGCTCGATTGTGCGAACCCCGGTATGACGCTTATCTGTGGAGTTTTCGTTGATACGGATACATACAGTGCGAGCCCCAGTTCTTGCCGCATCCCAGACGTCAAGGTCCCTAGATGTACCTTTCCGGCACGATGACGGAAGGGCGATCCTGCCACGGAAGGCGTGCGTTTCAAAGAGCCAGAGCCCGCCAGGTGCTTTGTGGGTATTTCTTGTCCCGTCCACTGATAATTCAGATTTCCGCCTTGTGTCTTTTCGTCCGTTCTTCGCTCACCAGCCAACCACCAACTGGAAGCCAGCCCCTTGTCATGTGCTTCGATAAGCCACCCAGGAGGCTTTGCAACAGGAATTCCAGATCTCGATGGCATTGTCTTGCCAGTTTTTTCCAGAGAGAATTAAGACCGTGCATCCTCTATTCCACTTGAAGCTCCCCGTGGTGATGACTATCTAAATTGACTTCCACACAATTGATACTGATCTCGTATCGATCTTGGGGGTGCTCGGTAGGTAATGGGAATCGCCGAATATTCCCGCACAGCGTCGCGTCCTGCTGACTCTTCAAGACGAATCAGGATATTGTCACAGTGTCCGCCGATTGAGTTATTGTGGGGGCTTGGTTTCGCCGGATTCGCTCATCAGTGCTCGAAAAGCATAAGACGAGGGGGAAAAAGGAGAAGAGAAAAAGAGAAGGAAGCCAGTGGAAAGTCAAAGACGAGAGAAATGCAATCGAACAGAGTTTGTTGTCTCACATCCCCTGGCATTCGACACTTCATCAAGATGTACCCACGGGTACCGTAAACCATCAACAGGCACCGTGGGATTATCTGGCCACCAAAGGCGGTCACTCGATTGGACGGGCTGCATCGCCTTGGCTCCCACGCACGCCCAGCTGACCCTCCGGCCTGTCCGATAATGGAATGGGGTTTCTCCCGCTGACAAGGCAGACAGGGGACATTCAACATCCGCATCATCCTTCTTTGTGAGATTCAACAACTTTAGGGCTCAACCCCGGGGAACGGATTTCGTGAGGCCGGCTCGGGGCGGGCAATGCCTGAGTCGTGACCGCCGTTACTGTTGCCACCCCCAGACTCCATATCACTGCCAGGGGCGCACAAGCTATCTGTGGAAGGGCTGTCCCATCATCCAGTCCGCTTTCCCCACGTTGTGAAGTTCTGCAACCCGGCCCACGCAGTACCGTACAATCCCGAACAACCTGGAACCCCAGATCGATCACCCCACTACTTAGCGGCTTCGGACGGGGGACGGGGAGGTAACAGATCTAGGGCCAGACTCGAATTCCAGCCCTGGCACCAGCGATCCGCCAACGTGTAAAGTGGATCAAAATGGAGAGGGCCGACCGCTGGTTTGAGGAACATGATGCATCTTCTCCCCCTGGATATCCACAATGGGACGGACGACATCCCTCCCATCGGAAACAACAAGTCGGGCCAGTCCCGGGCACGGAAGGCCCACGAAGTGCACCAAGTGCACCCAGCGGGGATGGTTGGCTCCGTGGGCCCCGCCCCAAAGAACAAGAACGGACCCGTTGTCGCCCGAGAGAGAGAGAGGGGTGTGGCACCGGCTCTGCGCCGACAGTCCCGAGGTCCCGTCCACTTGCACGCTTTGCATCACGGTCCCAATTGAGTGGTTAGAAATACGCCAGTCTTAGTCATGACTGGCTGCTCTGTTTATTCTGCCGAACCGGAATTGGGTTTCACCAAACTATGCGGGCTACCTAACTCCTGCATCCGGTTCTCGGAAGAGAGCAAGAAAGATAGAGATATCTGTAAGTAGGTAGCCTACCTATCACCCCTCGCACCGCGCCCCGCCATGCGTTCGCAGGCCATGCGATCGATGCTTTGGCGGCCCTGGGAACTGCGTGTCCCCGTCCATCTGTCTGCACCACCGCCAATCCACATGACATCCCGCTCTCCCACCACGCGAGATCGTCCGGCGTTAGTGCCCTCCAAGTCAAATTCCATTGCGTTCATTTCGGTAAAAATAGGCTAGACGAGGTACCTTATCCGTGCTCGCCCCCCCCTCGGCCCCTCGGTTGGGGGTCATCAGGAGAATGCCACATTCCCCGCATTCACAAAGCCGCACAACCGCACCTTTGCCCGATGGTGGGGGGAGCTGGGGGGGGGACGGCGTCAACCACCGGGAATGACTCGTCATCCTCCATTCTGGAAGACATATTGCCTGCAAGGCCTATTGGATTGTGTTAGCCGAAGAGAGAGGGAGAGGTCGAGAGAGCACACATAGAATCCTATAGAAGCGACCAAGCACAGCAAAAGAAAGAAAAAAACAGGGCAACCACTCACTGCTTTTAGGATGTTGAGCTCGGCGCGCGACTGGTCATAGACCTGCCGATACTCGCTCAGGCTCTCGTGCAGGACGGCCTGCTTGGTGGTGCGCCCGTCGCAAATGGCCTTCATCTTGAGCTCCATCTCCTTGCGCAGGAACGGCTTGCCCAAGCTGGTCTCGAAGCGCATCCGGTCAAACCCCTCGATCAGCGCCACCCCCAGACTGGTCGGGATGAACTCGCGCACGCCGCCCCGGCCTGCACCCGCCCCCCCACGCCCGCCACCCCGTGCGCCGCCGCCGCGACCGCCGCGGCCCCTGCCACGTCCGCGCCCGCCTCCCCTCGCCGCCGCGGGAGCGGCCTCTGGTTCGTCGCCGTCGCCGTCGCCGTTGCCACCACCCCCGCCGCCGCCGCGTTCCACGGTCCTGGCGTACTGGCGCTCCTGGATCTTCTCGATGTGCTCGGCCATGGTGGCATCGGTGCCGATGCCGTTGGCGTCCATGAGGGCGATCAGGTCGGCCTCGGTGAGGTAGCCGGGGGGGCCGGTCTTGCCCTCGGTCGAGCATGGCCTCGGTGGGCTCGAAGCGCTCGCCGACGCGTGTAAGCGCGGCAGCTGGGCGGTGCCGGTCCAGTTCTCGTAGGGGTAGACGTCGAGGTAGTTGCGCGCCAGCACGATGACGCCGTGCGCGTGGAAGGCCTCGTCCCCGTAGGCCACCTCCACGTCGGTGGACCATGCCGGTCGCGTCTTCGGAGCAGCAGGCGAGGAAGCGTCGCGTGACGAGCTCGTAGACGCGCCGCTCGCTGTCGTCGAGCGCCCCGGCCGCGGCGTAGGTGATTGGGTGGATGGGCGGGTGGGCTTTGTCGTCGTGCCGGCCCTGCCGTGGTTGCTGGAAGCCGCCGTCGACGAGGTTCTGCGCGAAGGCGCCCCAGCGGTTGTCTTGGGTTTGTTTGCGCACCAGAGCCCGGAGGTCCATCCCCTTGTCGAAGCGGTCGGTTTCGGTGCGCGGGTAGCTGATGAAGCCCTTGTTGTAGAGTTTCTCGGCCACGGTCATGGCCTGCTGACCCGTCATGCGCAGGAACCGGGTGGCCATCTTTTGCATCTCGACCGTTGTGAGCGGGAGTGGCTTCCATTTTTTGGTGGGCTTCTCCTGGACCTTGGTGACCTTGGCCGTCCTGGCCGCGAGGCATCGCTCGTAGAAGATGACGACCGACATGCGGTCAAACAGCCGGTGTCTGGACCAGTTGAAGTTGACCTTGATGTCGTCCCTCTCGTGCATCATTTTGATTCCCCAGAAGGTCTCGGGGACGAAGTTCTTGACCCGGAAATACCGATCCACGACGAAGCCGAGAGTAGGAAACTGGCAAGACCCTAGAGCAGTTAGGGCAGTGGACAGGTGATCTTCGCGCGTGGCTTGTCTTACCGTAGCTGAGTGTGAGCTTGGACAGAGGCCCTCCTAGGGGGCGGAGGTTGAGGGTCAAGAACCGAGTGAAGGCATACCCTATCCTCAGGTCGAGCTCGATGCGTGCCGACACAGCGTCTACTTGCTTGTCATCAAGGGCAGTGAGCCGTCGGGCGGCGGAATAAAAATGTGACTGCAAAACATGCTTAGCATGGCGGCCGTATTTGTCTCGGATGCGGATGTCGGACTTACGCTCTTTTCGATATTGCTAAACCTTGCCCGCTTGATCTGGATATTGCTGTTGCCTTTTCCTCGCGGCAGACCTGATCTCGCTTTCCGATGTGTTTCACCTTTCTCGATCGCAAATCGGTCCAGATGACAAGCCCATCGGGCGCGTCTCGCTTGATCTTCGATGTTCTTTGCGATAGACTTGTTGTCCTTGCCTTGGGGAGTTAGTATTTCAAGCTAACATAATTTTCATTGTGGTGAAATTCGGGTGTATCTTTACAGGGGGGATGACCGTCAGCACGGGGGCGTCGAAGAGTCGGTCGGGCGGCGGGTACTCCCATTGCTTGTAGTCGGACGGAAATTCAACGGTTGTGAGATGGCCCTTCACGGCGGTCATGGTCACTGAGCAGTGCCCCCACGGTGGCCCAAAGTCATAGTCAAAGGTGTAGTTTTTGATGTAAGTATTGCGGGTGTTGTTCTGAGGCGGCGTCAGTAGGGCATTCCATCTCCTGGGGAAGAAACAAGGATCACTTCACTCCGAGGGAGGGCACTCACTGTTTGGTATTGACCACCGGAAAGATGGCCAGCGACCGCTTTCGAAATAGAAGGCTTCTCGGCGACACAGAGAATGCGCGTCATGGTCGGCGATGGTTTAGCGGCAGCTTTGGAGTGGTAACGAAAGTGTCGGCCTAGCAGCCAAAGCTGGGGAAGTTGTGGTCGGGTGGCCGTCTTATTTATGGTCTTTGTTATTTTCATTTTCCGACAAACTTGCGAGTCGCGGTGAAAGCCCGCCTTAACTTGATTGAGCGAGAAGAGCATCTCCGTGCTCTCCGTGCTGGACTTAAATCATGGACTCCGGGGGGTCCCACAGCACTCCGGGATCCCCAGGAAAGAAAAGGAATGACTGCCCCTACAATGTCCTGGTGAACCTGGAATCTACAATACGGGACTTATTCTCCTAAGGCTAATCATGGCTGCGACCGAGAAACCAGGAAGGCCGTATGTGCTCTTTGGCCTTTATTCTTGGCCAACATCGGCCACAAACGCGTGTTCTGGTCTCGCAGTCAGGTCGCGGTGAAGCCTTGAGGTTTTGAATCCCAATACAGAAATATGCATGCACGAAGGGATTTGCACGGAGTAATTACAGCATATACAGGGACCCACAAGCCTTTTAGGTATCAAAATTACCTACATCAATTACACTTTTCCATTGATGGATTCTCGCGAGTTGCCCCAACAAGCAGCATAGACAAGGGAGACCAAAAGGACTGATTGCAATACTTTATTTGGAGACAACAAGATAAGTAAACTTTAAAAGCTTCGCCGGGCCCATCGGCCGACAATTGCGAGCGCAACGGCCTAACAGCCGAGTTTACACCCTGGAACCGGCCACCGATGCCAAGGTTTACCAAACCGCCATCCGATCGTGGTAGCAATGCAATGACGTTCACACTTGCTGAACCCCCCAAGGCCTTCGACATATAACATCACTAGAAACCACAACTGTCACCCAACCCAAAACTAAATGCTTGTATCTCGGAATCATTATTAGCTTTACATTCGAGATGGCGCTCCCCACCATCCGCACGCTAGAAGATTGCGCCGACTTCTCCATGGCGGTGCGGCCCTTCATTCCGCATCTCTACGGCCTCCCCGCGAAGCTGCTCGACGCCTTCTCGGGGCGAGAGAGCCTGTTGCAGTTGTACACGGAGACGAACCCTCTCGTATCCGGCTTTGCCATCTCTGTGTTCTTAGGTGCCGTGTTCCTTGTCGCGGCCGAAATAAACCGCAACTACTCACAGGTGGACCGGTTCTGGAGTCTCCTGCCGACGCTGTACATCGCGCACTTTGATGTGTGGGCACGTCTGGCCGGGCTACCTTCGCAGCGTGTTGATGCGGCCTTGTTTTGCAGCGCCGTATGGAGTGTGAGTTTGGTTGCGTAGATGATGGGGTGGGTTGGTTTGCTGACCCTGCGGCTTGGACCGTAGATTCGTCTCACCTTCAACTACTGGAGAAAGGGGGGTTACGGTATCGGCCATGAAGACTACCGATGGTAAACAAACAAGCACCTTCAGACGAAAGCACGCACTGACACATCTCAGGGAGGTCATCCGGCAGCATGTCCCCAAAGCCGTGTTCCACGTCTTCAACTGGACTTTCATCTCGTTCATCCAGAGCATCCTGCTCTTCATGATCGCCGCGCCCGTGTACACCATCCTACTCGCATCCACCATCGACCCCGACGTCACCAGCGCCGATATCGCCGCAGCAGCGGTCCAGCTGGGACTAGTGCTCACCGAGTACATCGCTGACGAACAACAATGGGGTAAGCCGAATCCCTCCCCCCGTGGGGAAAAGACGGAGCAGCCCACGCTAACCATCGGCCCCTACCTACCTAACCTAGTCTACCAATCCGCCAAGAAGCAGTACAAAGACACCGGAAAAGTCACCCGCGGCTTCACGCAGGCCGACCTCGACCGGGGCTTCATCACGACCGGGCTCTGGGGGTACAGCCGGCACCCCAACTTCGCGGCCGAGCAGACCATCTGGTTCGTGCTCTACCAGTGGAGCTGCTACGCGAGCAAGACGCTGTACAACTGGGCCGGCGCGGGCCCCGCCTTCCTCGTCCTGCTCTTCCAGGGCTCGACCTGGTTCACCGAGCTCATCACGGCCGGCAAGTACGCCGGGTACCGCGACTACCAGCAGCGCGTGGGCATGTTTGCTCCCTCGGCCCTTTCGGCCTACCGGTCGTCGCCCGCGGCCAGGGTACCCAAGGTCATTCGGACGAGCGAGCTGGAGAAGAAGCTGCGGGAGAAGGAGAAGAACCAGAAGCAGAAGTGAGGGGAGGCGAGGAGGGGAAGGGCAAGCTAAAATAGTTTCCTCAACTAAGCGTTTGTTGTCGTCGGTGGTGGGGTTCGGTTGGTGGATTCGGGTTGGGGCGGGCGTCGCAGAATGTGGCCAACAGTGTTACGTACCCATGTTTGTCGTTGTTTCTTGTGTTGCGGGATGAGTTGTGGGGATGCTCGAAGGCGGCGCAGATTGTCGGCCAAGAAACGGGTGGCAGTCAGATCCTCGGGCAGATCCTCTCGGTGCATGTTGGGAATCTCGGAATCTTATTTATCGGGTCCACCTATCCAGGTAGTGGATCTGTTCGCTACTGGGGTTTGAATGACGTGAAATTTCGAGGGAAAGGGGGAGGATGGTGACGAATTACTTATAAGCTATGTTGTCATCTTAGGTGACTTTTACAGCGTATGCATCATGCATCCGATTGTGCAGCAAGGTTTATGTTAGTGATGGCATCAGCATGCAAGCGTCTCTCGTCACAAATCCAATGTGCCCAACAGGAGGGTGGGGGGCCACAACTGAGAGCTCAGTTTTGAGGCGGTTTGGCGGCAAATGAGAACGTCCCACAGGCCTGGTCTGGACATTCAGCTCCAGCCTCAACAAGGGGCCCCACGCGCTAAGAATGCTCACCTGACCAACCCCCAAATTGCAAATAACGGACGTCTGTTTCAAAGCGTGGGGTTTGTGAAGTGATGCGAAGAAGGCCGGCTGTGGATGAAACGGGGGTCTCGGACTCGAGGGCGCCTCTCAACTGCTCTCACGGCCCCTTTTCAGGCTCTTACAGCTGGCCAAGGGCTGTGGCCGACCGTCAAAAGGCACCGGACGGAACCCCAAACATCCAAGCATGACCCATCGCCCGGCCATTTCGGTGGACCGTAAACCCCATACCCATCCCCACCTGCGGTAATGAAGTTGATCGCTGCGGGAGATGCGTCTTCTCCCCCCCTGGCGGGTCGGCTTCGGGAGAGCTCCCCGTGGCCTGGGCTGGGCCATGTGGTCAGTGTGAGAAATGAGGATAGAAGAGAGGGTCGGCATCAGAACTCAAACGCCGAGGTATATAGTTCGTAGCCCCCCCCTCCCCGAGCGCTAACCTTGTTCCATCCCTTCTTTTTCGGAAGCATCTCCAACTGTGTGTGTGTGTGTGTGTGTGTGTGTCCGCTGAATCATCCTGCTTGTTGCGGCAACTGTCGGGCCTGCTGGACAACGTTAACACAGTTTGATGTCAACCTTCCGCCACCGCTGACGCACGGGGATATCTTGCTCGGAGGAACCTGCCTGCACGTATATTAGACCCGGACAAGGCAACCACAAGAGGAGCTAAGAAGAGTAGCAACTCCGTCCGACTTTCGAACCTTTCCAACTTTTCCACTCACATCCCACCTCACCGTTCTTTCGCCCTCATCGCCCGCTTTCTTCGGAACACTCAGATTCGCCCTCTACCATCTTTGATTAGCACCTTCCCGAATCACCTGGGATAAAACCGCCCTAGGAAAGATCATCACAGAGAGATTAGTTCCAAAGCTTGAATCATTCCCACCCTCTTTATCCAGCCCGAACAGAACCTGAAGAGGTCTCCCACAATGCGTCTCACCTGGCAATCCATTTCTTCCTTTTTCTCCTCGTCCGTCGACAGTCCGTCATCCGGCGAGGGCTTCGACGGGCAAAAGCACAAGCCCGCGCCACTGAAGTCGACATTCGGCGCTGCAGTCGACTCGTCCCTCCCATCGCCGGTCGAGTCATCCGCGCCCTCTGCAGCCAGCGACCGTGACTTCTCGGCCCCTGAGTCGCCCTACAGCAATCACCAGGCGTCCCTGTCGAGAACCTCGACCGCAACCGCTCCCACCTCGCCCGCCTCGAACCAGCTGCTGCTGCCGCCCCATCATGACGGACGGCCCCACACCGCCCCGTCTCCGGCTCCTCCCTCTTCGTCTTCGCAGCAAGAGGAGCGCCCGCTGCCGGCGCAGCACTTGGAAAACAACCCGCCCGATATCATGAGCCGCGAGTTCCCTACGCCGGCCCGCGAGCCCACAGTGGAGGACATGTTCACGCGGCCGCCCGGCAAGCTCTCGCTCCAACACTGGGTCAAGAACTGCAAGATGCGGCAAGTGTCTGGCGAACGGCCGCTGAACGAGGCTGAGGCGGCGGAGCGAGCCCGCCATTTCGAGGAGACCAAGAGGGAGCTGATGGCGGACAAGGAGAAGTTTGCTTCAGTCATGAAGCGGTAATGCGGCCGGGCGGATTGGTTGGTAGCCTCGGTTTCCCTTGTCCGGTGGCCTTTTCGGCGGGGACCAGGCGAGATTGCAATTTAGCGAGCATCATTATGGAGTTGGTGGCTTCTTTGGGTTTCCTCCTTTTTTCGATATATTTTTTTGGATCCAACTCTTTTCGGGTAATTCAGGGGAAAAGACAAAACTGCGGGCCGGCCGTCTGCATAAGACTTTGTAATTAATTCTTTCGTCGAGTATGTGTAGGACGGCATAACTACCGACGAATCTTTAGCACAGCGACTTCGGTTTTCTTGTGCAAGTGTCCAGGACAACCGTGACAAGAGCGTGACGCCGTACACGACCGTGGCAGAGAGTGTCCCCAGGTTCAGCAACGATAAGATGCCATGCACAATTGGGAGGCACCTGTTGAGCACGACCATCCCCTCGGAATGCTGCGGGCTGTGTTGAGAGAGGTGGTTGATGAGAGAGACTCGTCGTCTTGGAAGCGGGGACCGCTTGGGGTCCAAGCTGCTCAGCAACAACGGGTGCAGCAACCCTTGTTGGGTCTGAGGTTAGTTGCTCTAGGATACTTATGCAAATCCCTCTTCTCAACCCTTCTCAAAAAGAGTAAAAATAGATGGTAAAACGATATAGAACATAGTCAAAATCAGATTCAATCTTGTATCTTTTTGGTCTTGATTTGTTGTATTCACACACCTAAAGACCGGAGTTTGTCAACCGTGCATGTACTTACAGGGGCTATAGTTATTCGATGACGCGCTATCATGTGCCCACGCGAGGCAGCAGTCGCCCATCGCGAGGCTAGTCGTTTGTTTCACGGATGCTGCCTGGACCCTAAGGATGAACCCAGAATAAGTGCACTTCGGGGTTTCTAGCCCGCGCGCCTTTTCTGATCCCTTTTGTTTCCGTTTCCTCCTCACCCATAATTTGGAAACCAACTTCAGCAAAAATGGCGGACAAGGAAGCAACAGTGTACATTGTCGACCTCGGCGAGTCGATGGCCGACTGTCATAACGGCCGCGACGAATCGGATCTTGATTTCGGTATGCGTTATGTCTGGGACAAGATCTCCACCACCGTCGCCGCCAGCCGCAAGACCTGGACCCTGGGGGTCGTGGGTCTCAACACTGAGGAAACCAACAATGCGCAGGATAGCGAAGGCCTCGAGGGCTACGAACACATCTCAGTCCTTCAGGACATCGGTCCTATGACCATGACTCAGCTGAGGGAACTGCGCTCCTCGATACAAACTTCGCACACCTACGGCGGAGATGCGATATCGGGCATTGTAGTCGCCCTTGCCATGATCGAGCTGTTCACCAAGAAGTTAAAGTACAACCGGCGGATTATCCTGGTCACGAACGGAGAGTCGCCAATCGATGATGAGTCGTCCGAGGATGTAGCCAACCGGCTTAACTACTCGAACATCGAGTTGATTGTGATGTGAGCTTGCGTTCTACGAGCCAAGCCAGGGGCAGCAGCTGACGTTGTTAGTGGCGTTGATTTCGACGATGCGGACTACGGCTTCAAGGAAGAGGACAAGTCCAAGGGCAAGGTATGTGGACTTGCGAGTCATATACTAAGCCACTTACTCACTCTGCGTAGGCCAGGAATGAGAAGACCCTCCGAAAGCTGGTGGAGCAGTGCAACAATGGCGTGTTTGGAACCATGCAGCAGGCTGTTGAGGAGCTGGCCATTCCCCGGATCAAGCCCGTGAGGCCCTTCAAGGCGTACGACGGCGCACTTACACTCGGAGACCCCGAAAAATACAAGAGCGCCTTGAGCATTCACGTCGAGCGCTATTTCAAGACTAAGCGTGCGCCAGCGCCGCCGGCGAGCACCGTGGTTGTCAACTCCGAGCCGGGCGGAGCATCCCAATCCGAAACCCTCAACGAAGATACTGAGATGGGTGATGCCGAATTCTCCGGCGTCAAACACATGCGCACCTACAGGGTCAACGATCCGGATGCCCCGGGTGGAAAGCGGGACGTGGAGTTTGAAGATCTTGCAAAAGGGTACCAGTACGGCCGGACCGTTGTGCCCTTTAGCGAATCCGATTTCTCCATCACCAAGCTAGAGACCAAGAAGTCATTTACCATCCTTGGATTCATCCCCTTCAGCAGTGTGAGTCCATAAGGTTTGGGACTTGAGAGATGCTTGCTAAGACGACTACGCAGTACAACCCCTTCCTCAATCTTGGCGAAACGGGTATTGTCGTCGCCCAAAAGCACAACGAGGAGGCAGAACTTGGGCTCTCTGCCCTCATCCACGCCCTTCACGAGCTCGAGTCATATGCTGTGGCGAGATACGTGCAAAAAGACGGCGCGCAACCACAACTCGTCCTACTCAAGCCGAACCCCGCCATCGAAGACGACTTTGAGTGCCTATACGACGTACCACTGCCGTTCGCTGAGGACCTCCGCAGCTACCAGTTCCCTCCGCTGGACAAGGTACTCACCGTCACCGGCAACATCATCAAGGAACACCGACTTCTGCCATCAGAAGATTTGAAGCAGGCGATGAGTGATTTCGTCGATGCCATGGACCTTTCCGGTTTTGATGTAGACGAGGACGGGTATGTCGTAATTCGGGTCTCCATGCGCAGCCAACCCAGCTAACTCGGTTCAGGAAACCGACCGAGTACGCACCAATCGACGAGACGTATAACCCGACCATCCACCGCATGAACCAGGCCATCCGTGCGCGCGCCGTTGATCCGGATGCACCCATCAAGCCACCAGCTGAGATTCTGCTTCGTTTCTCCAAGCCGCCAGAGAAACTCATTGAAAAGGCAAAGCCGGAGATCGAAGCGCTGATTGACGCGGCTGAGATCAAGAAGGGTATGAATGTTACTGCTTTATTTACTGCTCTCGCATATCAGCTAACTCTCAAAAACCAGTCCCAGCCAAGGCCCAAGGGCGAGGCAGCCGCAAGGAGCCCGTCAAGCCCCTCTCCGGCCTCGACATCGACTCGCTCCTCGGCGAAAGCAAGCGCACCACCATCTCGCTCGACAACGCGGTGCCCGAGTTCAAGCAGATCCTCGCGACGGCGGCGGACGACGCCACCATCGAGAGCGCGGCGAAGCAGATGGGCCAGATCGTCCGCAAGCTCATCCAGGACAGCTTCGCGGACCTGTTCTACGCCCGCGCCGCGGAGAACCTCCGCGTCATGCGCGAGGAGCTCATCAGCTTGGAGGTGCCGGGGTTGTACAACAAGTTCTTGACGGGGCTGAAGAAGAGCATCCTGAGTGGGGAGCTGGATGGTGATCGCAGGGAGATGTGGTTTAAGCATATTGTTGGCGGTCACCTCAGTCTCATTACCCAGGATGAGTCGGAGGTGTCCGAGGTCACGGCTGAGGAGGCCAAGGCTGTAAGTCTACTTGTTCTTGTCTAAGTGGTTCTTGTGGTCTACTTGGGATGTTTTGCTAACTGTTGGCCAGTTTGCGACCTGATCTATTTGGGGATGGGCACATAAATTTGTCAGCCTGTACGAGTAAGGTGATGGCGTTTTACTGTCGGAAATTTATTTTTTTTGGCATCATGGTGTTGGGCAGGGAGGCCGATGAGCGGGTTTTGAGGCCTATTATCATCATATCCACATTGGGAAAAGCCTTATGTCCTTTGACCCAGGTGTTTGCACAGCCAAGCTTACTCTCATATACTAACTAATGTCACACCTGGTTATCTTTGTGCCCAGTTATGTGCCTGGTCGCGGCCCAATATCACATACCGCTATTTTAGAGACACAGCCTGATCAAATGGTTGCTGAAAGGCGGGAGGGCTGAGATGTTGGGATCCACAATTGTGTTTGTTCATAAACCTGGACTGACTCTCGAAGAACAACTGTTTACAATATTCCTCTCCTTGGACACATTGTGTAACATCACATCACATCCGCACACACAACACACCCGCATTGAAGAAAGACAATATCAGTGGCACAGAGGTACTTCAAATTTTAATTCTCACCGGTACATGAAATAGCTGCCTAGGTACTTAAAGAGGGTGCTTCTGTTATCATTCTAGTCTGTATCACTCTCAAACAACCTAATTGCTTTTTGTGATTAATCATTCATATTAATTTGATAGCTCCTTCCTCAGCCCCTTTCCGTTTGCACTCTTGTTTGTTTCGACACTGCAGGTGCAGCTTACAATCACAACGCAACCTCGACTCACATTTTTGAACTACTTCGAGAGCATCCTCCAGCCAAACCTGTATCAGCCACGAGGCTGAGAAGGATTTCAGTTAGTGCAAATCTTCTTCACCTTGTTGTTGCAGTGGTGTTAACCATGTACACAGTATCGATTATAAACGCCCTTCACACCCCCCAGCCACCTCTGGCCTTGACTGCCTTTAACCAAAAACCTGTTCCTTGATCTGTGACTAGGCTCTCAGGCTTTGGTCCAAGGTTGTGGCGGGTCCTTGACTAGGGCGGAGTTTTCACACTGCTTTTCTTCAACCCACGTTCATTTCCTTGTTCTCCTCCTCCCCTCTACCTACTTCTCTCACCAGTTGGTGGTACTCAACCTGTCAACAACAAAGGCCGAACGATTTTTATCGTTCCGTCCGCTCCACTCGCATTGACTAGACGAGACGTTCACCAGCACTTCGTTTTCCGACGAAAATGGCAGACGAACAATTCATGCGCCGCCTGCAGGACATCTCTGGTGATGATTCCGACATGTGGGAGGGTTTCGACCCCTCCGCGTGGCGCTCTCACCTGTCCGAGGGCAATGACTCTGAAGAGCTTGAGTTGGAGCAAGACGCTTCTACTCCCCAGGAGAATGAATACGATACGGACGATTCGGCCCAGATGATCTTCAACTTCCACAAGCTCAGCAAGGCCGAGCGGGCACGTGGCACCGTCAAGCTGAGCAAGGCGCGCCAGTATGCGTCTGAGGAAGTGTCGTTTCCGCACGAGCTTGCCGAGTTGGAGAAGGTCAAGTGGGAAGAGACGGGTCTTTCCATCGGCGACCTCTCGGAAAAGGGTCTGACTTTCGTGCCGTGGAGGCTTATTGATCACTACCCGGTCATGTTCGTCGGCAAGGCCAACGGCGCTCGTGTAAGTGTTTCATTTTGGCTTACAGCTAACGGAGCTTGGGGATTCATGTGCTGACCATCTCAAGGCCGAGCCTCTCTTTACCCCCGAAGCTCTTCACGACAAGCTTGTCTGGGATCTGTAAGTCGACATCCTAAAATCTTTGGTTGAGGTTCCGATCTGACGGCGAAGCAGGTACTATCTTCACTGCCCTGCGGACATGAAGATGAAGCCTGTTATTTTTGTACCCACCTACCAGTTCCAGCATCTCCTGGACTTGGTCAACGCCAAGCTAGAGACTCAGTTCACTATCCCTCGCGGCAGAAACGAAGAGAGGTTCACCATGTCTTTTGGCGTCGGTAACAGCCCTCTGCCGCGCTTTTTGGGTCGCTCGCACAGCGCCGAGTCGTTCAAGACCCTCAGCGAGGCGATTCCTGCGCCTCATCCCGATGACGACCTCTCCAAGGTAACCCAGCTCGGCATCGAGGAGTTTAGGGGCCTCCTGAAGCGAACTCGTGCCGATCGGAAGAAGGGCAAGAAGTCGGATAAGAATCGCCCGAAGCGTGTTAAGATGCATCAGGAATGGGGTCGATCTGTCAAGCGAGTTCAGCGCTACCTTGGTCTCCGCGGTAGAGCAGCTGACGAGGCAGCTGTTAAACTCGATAACCTCGACTTCGCTCAGCCCATGGTCCGGAAGCCCGAGAACTCGGTCCTCTTTGTCGCCATCGACCTCGAGGCCTGGGAGCAGGATCACGGCCTCATCACCGAAGTCGGCATCGCCATGCTAGACACGGCCCATCTCACGGGCATTGCACCCGGTGAGAACGGCCAGAACTGGCTGCAGCTCATTGAAGCTCGCCACATTCGCGTCAAGGAAAACATGTGGGCCACAAACTCACGCTACGTTCATGGGTGCGCCGACTGTTTCGACTTTGGGTACGCCCCCTCTTCCTACACAACCTCCCAAGAATTACATAGCTAACCCCGCGCAGCACAACTGAGTTTGTCGAGGAATCTCTCATCCCCGAGCTCATCAAGGACGTCATCGACCGGGCGACCTTTGTTAACGGCGGCGGCCCCCGGTCCGTGGTGCTCGTCTTCCACGAGTCGTCGTCCGACATCAAGTACCTCCGGTATTTGTCCTACTACGTCGAAGGCGCCCGCAACGTCATTGACGTCGCCGATACCCGTGAGATGCACCAGTTCCTGGTCCGAAGCAATGACTCGGCCAGCCTGGCTAGCGTGCTCAGCTATCTGGACATCTCGCCGCGCTTCCTGCACAACGCGGGCAACGATGCGGTGTACACCCTGCAGGCTATGGTCGGTCTGGCGGTCAAGAAGATGGGTATGAGCATCGAGGCGCGGAAGGAGAAGATCGACGGGTGAGTGATGACTTATTCCGGGTGTTTGCTTTTGGGTGCCGTTGCTAACTTACGCTTTTTGCAGTCATATCCCCTACGCCGACTTCGCCGAGAAGGACGGCTGGACTAGTGGCGAGGACACTGACGGCGGCGAGCCGGCCGGCCTGCCCCCCCTCCCGGTTGGCTGGGGTAGCAGTGAGGACACCAGCAACCAGGACTGGGGCAGCGAGGAAACCGGTGGCCAGGCCTGGTGAGGAAACTACCTAGGACTGGCTTAGCGAAGGCTGAGCTTGGAACTGTTGATTAGTTCACCTAGGAGATACCTCCGGATTTTATGGCGAACCGTCTAGATTAGATATGTGGCTTACTTATAGCACAAGGGCGTATAGAATCTCTCCTTACGCATGCCCAACGGGTTACCGGATTGTCTTCAATAAGTAGCATGTGACCATGATTGTGTGTGCATATAGTTAGATTAGAGGAGAGTCATTCAGCCCACACCGAATGTGGTAGCGGTCCGTAGACCTAGCCTTCCTTCTTCATGCAGCCCCAAACCCAGGCGCAAATAGCTCGTGATAATACATCCGCCCTCGTTCTGCTGAGGCCTGTCATGACACGACCAAAGCCAACCCATCCTAAAGCCAAACCCTCTCCCTTCCCCTTGAACGCCAGTGCTATGGTTGTGTGTTGTACATGTTGTATGTCGTGGTGTGTGTGTTTTATGGCGTGAGATTCGATATCCGGCTCGGCGGGTTGTTTTTCGCACGGCGGGCGGAGGCGGGTTCGCCACGCCGCTGGCTCCCTGACTTCCTTCCCCTAGCCCGGCCGTCTTCCTCCTCGACTCAAGTTGACGAGATTAGCCCTCCATCAACCAGCACCCACTTCCTATCTACCATCCCCAAAAGCCTACCCTCACAGAGGATAGACCAGGAGGAGCCCAAAAGTAATCCCATCATGAATTCTTTTCCAAAAACTCCTTCGCCTCATTCACCTTAGTCGCCAGGTACGGGCTGCCGCCACGGTCGGGATGGTTGAGGAGCATCAGCGTGCGGTGCGCCTTGCGCACCTTGTCCTTGGAGATGCCGCTCTCACTATTATTGGGACTTGTGTGTCAGTATGCGTGCGTAAACCACATACAATCCCCCCCCCCCCCCCTTCCAAGAAAAAGAAAAGAGAGAACAGAAAGCAAAGAAACGTACTTCAGCGACAGAATCAGCGCCGCCTCGCGCTTGTTCATGCGCGGCTCGAACCCGCCCTTGTAAAATGCCTTGCCCAGCGCGCCCACGCCGCCGCGCGACCGCCGCCACGCTACCAGGCCGGCTCTGCCCTGTCGCGGAGAGATCAGTTAGCTCCGTGCTTCTTTGTTTTAGTGTGTGTGCTATGCTGGGTTGGTCCTGGGCCTGGGTTTGCGGTTGGGTTTAAGGGAGGGGGGGGGGGGAAAGGTCGTACGAGAAAGGCGGCGACTGCGACGCCTGCGCCGATGGCTACTGCGGAAGCCATTTCTGTTGTTTGCGACGTTGTGGTTGAGTTTGTAGTGATTGTGAGGCCGGTTGGCGTGATGCGCTGTGTGAGCGGGCTTCGTGGTGGTCGTGGCTGGTGTCGGCGATGTGCTTCGCTGTTGCAGAGGGTGGATTGCGAGGGAACTTTTTCTGCCGGGTTCGATGGCGGGATTTGCCGCCGCCGTTTACCGGGGCCGGGACCGGGTGTAATGTTACCGTACGGAATACTGTATCTGTACCTTACTTGGTTACGGTCTTGGCTCATGTTTTCAACTCATCACCACCGCTCGCTCGGGTTGGAAGATCTCGACATCAAACAGGTAACGAACTTGATCTAGTTTTCGCAACAGGATTTATTTCCCCATTACAACTCACAACCCCCATACCCCCTACCGCAGCGGCACATATGCCTTTGCGGGGGGCGCCAACCCAACCTCAACATCCCTCAGAATCTTCCTCTCCAATTCCTCCTCCCTCCGTCGCACCTCTGCCTCTTCCTCTTCCCTCCCACCACCACCAAAACTCCAATTCCCCGCCCCACCCCTCCCACTCAACCCACCAGCCCTAGACTTGGCCGCCAAACTAGCCACGACCGCCGCGTTTGCCTTGGCGCGGTCAGCCTCCTCCTTCTCCTGCTGCTTCTGCGCCGCCGCGTCCGCGGAAGAGGTCGGCGCGCCGGTGACCTCGTTGGTGGCGGCGGAGGGGGAGAAGGTGAAGTTCCCTGCGCCGCCGCGCCCGGCGCGTGTGTAGTTCGTGCCGGGGCCTAGGCTGGAGCTGCCGGTGGCGTGGGTTGGGGTGAGGGTGAGAGCGTTGGCGGGTTGGTCTTGGGCTTCGAGGTCCTACGTAGGGTGGAGGGGGTTAAAATGGGAGAGGGGAGGGAGGAAGGGGTGGACGGACAGTTGTTGTGGCCGCTTTCTTTTCGGCGTCTTGGACGTCCTGCTGGCTGTAGAAGTTGCCGGCTCCGCCGCGGCCGACACGGCGGAAGACGTCGGAGGACATGTTGGGTGGTTGTTGGTGGGGAGGTTTGTTTATCTTTTGGTTTTTACAGTAAAGGAATGGATCTAGAGATAGATCGTCGTTCAATTCAAGTAGACATTGATTCAATGGTCTTGATGCCGTCTCACACCCTTATCGCGCGAGACCTTATGCTGATCAGCGAGGGTGCACCTGGTAATGTATGCTCCATTTTTAACGGATCCAGAAAAGATAGAATGTATGACAGTCTGTTGTGTCTATTTTATTATCAGTATATCCAAAGATTGGTACGGGCGCGGTTCGTCGAATCTTTTATTTTTCTCTCAAAACTTCAGAGTCAGTTGATCATCGATATGTTCAATGGCACTCTTCCCCCAAGGGTTGCAGCGAGATCCCTGGGGCCAAACGCACGTGGCAGCATGCGCCCACCCGTGCCTTGCGGGTAGGCCGTCGATCCCGCCATCTGGCAGGCAGAAAAACGCAAAGGTGGCCCCTGCCGATGAGCAAGGGCGACTCTGGGGACCTGGCGAGCTTGTTGGAGCGCAAATCCGGCAGTCTCGGAGACGGCACTTGATGGCGCGGCTTGAACCCTCCGGGCGTGCCTGATCGTCAGCCGGGGCGTGACGCGCATCCTCGCTTGGTTGTGAATATTGTCCCTGCCTTGGAAATTCGTCTTTTTTGTCTCTCTTTTCAGGCCTGGCGCATTGCGAGTCTGCGACGCCATTGATTTGCCCCAGTCAGGTGGACAACCCGGCAACGTCATTTGCTTCCGAGCTTTCCACCTGCCTGCTCGACGGGCTGTGTCAGCAAGCCATGGGAGCTGTCATGAGATTTCTGGTATATTCGCTCACTGCGTAGGGTCCATGGACGGGGTTTGCACGAAAGAGTGGCTCGGTGTGTAACTAACACAGTAGAAATGGCCAGGGGTGGTGTATGGGACACCTCACAGTTCCTGTTCCCGGGAGGTTTGGGAGTGTTACATGTCTCACAGGGTCCCGCTGAACGGCTGCGGTGCTCCCCGAGCGTTTATGCAGCGGCTTCGTGGACAGCCAAGCTCACTCTGGATTGAGTCCTGGAGTCCTGTTCAGTCTTGCTTTGTTGAAGCAAGAAAGGCTTGGTGGTCTCGAGCTCGTGTGGTACGATTACTTGTCAATACATCTTCGGGTTCGTCTCAAGGCCGGCCACGTCAAATGGCGCAAGTAGGCGTTATCAATTCGCGAGGCGGTTAGCCTTGGGGTTCATTGTTCCCTGCGGTTGATTGCTGGTTGATCGCTCATTGGCTTCCTCAGCACCTCCTCAAAACCCGACAACCTGATCGAGGCGGGACGGCAATAGGAGCCGGGACAGTTCGATCGAAGCCCGGGCCCGATGAGTTAAGCATGCAGAAGTGTCCTTCCCCCTCCAGCGATCCGGTGATCTCGACGATTGGTCCTCGTGGGTTCCGCGGGACGGGAGCTGCTCGGGTGGATTCAAGGCGGGGTCCTTCAACAAGTCCAGCCTGTCAAAAGGCCAGCGATCGGGTGATGGGGGCGCATGCCTCAAAATGATTGGTGTCTCCCATCTGCACTGAAATGTAACTCAAGTCAACTTCGACTTTTGGGTTCTTGAACATGAAGGACAGTCTTTCATAGAATGGCCACTGTTTAAGCAGTCTAGACGGCGAAAAGAGCAATTACCACTTCGTCTAGAGTGGCCGTTTTAGAGCGCCTGAGTGCTAGATCCTGTCGAGCAGGAAGCTTTGGGCACAGTGTGGATGGGCGCGCGCAAGTTGTGAACAGGTGATACTGCTGTCGGATCACTTGGCGGAGTGTCAGCGAACTGCGCTTCGATGTTGAACAAAACAACTGGAAGACCGAGTTTGTAATGCGTTCGGGAGCATTTGTAAAACGCATCGCACGAAATCCATGACCGTTCGCTGACCGTTAACTCTTGGGTTTGAACTCAATATTCGGCCCCGAGAGAATTTCCGAAGATCGGTTTAACATGGCTTTAAGCTTGTTCTCTATCGAGCAACTCCATCGAACGACGTCTCCAACCTCTCTTCTCGTTCAACAACCCCGGTCACGGGCTAGAAATGGAGATCTAAATGGGGAAACACAACAGGCGGGGTAATGACATGTAGCTCTAAGCCGTGGTATAATGCCGCCTCGCTAAAAAGCACCTTGAGCGACACACTGAGGCATCACCAGAGGTTCTTGAATCAATTGAAAATCGACCTTGTTTGACGTACGCACTGTATTGAACTGTATTGATGGGCCCTCCTTTCTCCCGCGGCTTCAAATCGAGGCCAGATTGGCCATTCCGGGTTCCCAACCCTTTTTTTGTCATTTGATGGGGAATGGCAGCGACCATTGAGTCACTTGTGGAGACCAGGTGCTTCGCCTTGGTGACCAACGCTCGTGACCCGGCGCCTCCATGCTGCAATTCCAACAAAGGCAGTTGAGAGCGACGGGTCTAAACGGACTGTGTAGGTTGAACGATTCGGTGTTGTTTGGTTTTGTGCTGTGTAAGAACATTTTCTTCATTTTCCGCAACCGATTGATTTTTGGTCCTTTTCCGTACACACATTTACACTGCCTTCAGTTTCTTTCTCCTTTCGTCAAGCCGTGGCTCGACTCGTTGCCGTTGCTTCTAACTCTGGAAACAGCATGGTTTGTATAAGACGTAACACTGTCAAGTAAACGAGCCTACAGAAGCGCTAAGCGGGTCGCTTCACCGAGCGAAAGGTGTGAGAAGGCTACCCCTTGATAGGAAAATGACCACCAGCCTCGCCTGCATTGAGAAAGACATCACCTTGGCTTGACTTCCAATCTTGCGCGTCGCTTCCTTACGCTTGCCTGGCAAGCCTGGAGCTTCGTCGAGTCCTCTATGCTGGAGAGTACGAGGGTGGTAGACGCCACGCAGCTTTCGGGCAAGTTGTCCAGTCAGACGCCATCCCAGACACACGATGTACATCTGAACAATCCGGCGCAGGTTGAACGCCGGGCAAGGCAGGTACCGCATCCAAGGGAGGGGCAGCAAGGGTACTTGCCAGGGGCAAATGCGCTTCGCCGAATACGTACCCCCTTGTAGCGCCAGCATTCCACCACCAAAGCTGGGAATCGCCCAGGATTGAGGGACATCCATCACAGATGCTCCCATCTCTCCTGTTTTGTCTCCCTCCTTAACTGATGCCATTATTGCCAACGAGTCCAACGAGTGAAGTTTGAGTAACCCAGTGACCCTCACCTGTTCAATCCCTCTGAACTTTTTTTTTTTTTTAGCTGACCCGATCTCCCCTGCCACGCGCCTCCCGCTGACAGGCAACCCATCCATCTTGACCCGCAATTCATTCCTCTTGTTGGGCCTTTCTTTCTTTTACACATCTTCCCAAACGAGAGGCACAGCCACTCGTCTTTCGCGCTGGATCTTTCCCGTGCCACTGCCGCATCCCAATTGCTGGCCAATTTTTTGAATCTTGGTGTCCCGGGTTCAAGTGGTTGGCAGAGTCACCAGGGACCCATACCCTAGCCGGGCCCGAAATTATTATTGTTCCTCCCCGCGCTTCGACTTGCAGCTACCTTACCAGCTGTTCCCAACCGCAACACACCTCTAACAATCGTGGCCCACCAAGAACCTCGCACACACTCCAGCCCACCGCAACACGCCTTCTTTTTGCCGCTTTTGAATTGATTTTTGGGAAACCTCGCACCTTGAATTTGGATAGACAACGGATTACGAGATCCATCCCCACGTTGGATCTCTACTTGGTAACAGCGGGAGTGGTTTAGCAATGGCGTCTTCCAAGGTATGGAGGTCCCGGTCCCATCTGTGACGCACTGACGAGCTGCGAGTTCGGCTTCCCGCCTCCGCAGACGAAAAAACAATACTGATGGCGTCTTAAATCCTTCTAGGAAATACAACAAACCACGCGGCCGCTCTCGCACCGCCCGTCGATCTCGTCGACCTCCGTGCCGGGTGGACTCACGCTTAGCCGACAATCACACTCCCGGAATAACTCGCATTCGCTCCTCGGAAGCGCCCTCAATGGCTCCCACCGCATCACACGCCGCAAGAGCATGACAAACACGGGCGCCAACGTAGCAGCGGTGGCCGCGGCTCTTCAGGAATCTGGAGACATGGCAATGCCACTCCCAATCGCAGTCGGCTCCCGCCGAAACACCATGTCCAAGAGTGGTGTCTCGCGGTCAGCCGTGGTGGGAAGCCTCCCGTCACCGCCGGCGAGTCTCCCGACCCATAGATTTGCGACGGGACATGGATTAGCCAACGCGCAGGAGAGTGCAATCGACGACGATATGAACGAAATATCTGGGGACGAGGCTGAATCGGCCTTTCAGAAGGCTCGCACAAGGAGGGCGAGTGACGGCCAGCCCCTAGCGAAGGAAGGTGGCCGGAAGATCAACCGGCCAGATCTCCGCTGCGAGAAGTGCGGAAAGGGATACAAGCATAGCAGCTGCTTGAACAAGCATTTGTTTGTGCACACTTTCCTTTCCTTACCCTCTCCCACCACATGGTACCCGAGCGTGGAACCGACAATCCCCATCCCTGGCCGATCATGGATCACAAGCTGTGCGGTTTGAAGCAATTGTGTTGACTTGTTTGCCCGTTCAGGTGGGAGCACACTCCCGAATGGTCCTACACTTCCAAGCTCTTGATTTCCAAGCATCAGCAAGTCCAGCTTTTGGAGGCCGCCTCAGTCCTGGTGGCCATGAACAACACACCGACGGCTACCGCCGCGCCCGCCTCCACCACCACACCCCCAGACTCTGCGCGGGACTTTATCAGCGATCGAGACTCTGCGTCCCCTGCTGCGAGCGGATACTCGGAACAGCCAGATCGCGGATCCGCCGACACTACGCCGCCGCCGCAGCTGGACCCCTTCCAGGCAGCGAACGCGTCCTACAGGAGTTTCGGCAAGAGGTATAGTAGCGGGAACGGCCTGTCCCGGTCTTACCAGACCGCACCGTATGGCAGCTCGATGGCCGACAGCGTCCCGAGCGTGTCTGGTTTTGGGCATTTCCGGCAGCTTAGCCAGGACCAGAGGCCCACATCGTCGGGGAGGAACGCCACGGGCCAGGACGACCGCGAGCTTGCCGCCGCCGTGGAACTGCTTAGTTGCAGCTTCAACAGCAACGGCGGTGGCTCGCGGACAGTCCACCTCCCCGCCGACGCGCCGCCGGTGCCGCCGCTTCCAGCCCAGTACCTCGACCAGGGGATGTTGTCGGGCACGAGCTTCATCAACAGCTACCCTAGCAGGGCGCCGGAGAGCTTCACGCGCGGCGAGATGCGGAGGGTCGACGCAAAGATGGAGGTGGAGGAGAGCGGCGAGAGTATCATGGACGATGACGACGAGGACCTGCGGTCTCGAGCTCGGAGCGACGAGGACGACGACGGAGTGTTCGGAAGGATGGAGGAATGAGCTCCCGATGCGGCGAGCTTTGTTCTTTTTTGGGAAAGCTATGCATGAGTTATTGGACGCGAAGGAATTTTTTTATGAAATGGATCAATCAGGTTATACGGATACGACGGATTTCGGGTCTCTTTTGTATACCTATATTGTAAAGCGTGTAAATGATGTCGCTCCGCCGACGGCCCTTGGCACCGAAGAGTGGAACGCGCGGGCTCCTTGCAGAGTTTGATGTCGGGAGAGCGTCGGCGCCACGAGGTTAAAGCGAGGGCCGTGTGCGAGGGTTGAGCGGGCGCCTGGTTAGTTACTGTTTTTGGTGTGTAGTGACGGGATTCTCATGGAACACATGGACATGGGGTCTTGTCCAATATTTTTTACTATTTTTCTCGCCGGAGCCGGGGCCAACGAACAAGAAATCGAAATAATAAATAAAAAAGACCCATAGACACACATAGTTATTACCAACAAGTGTTTGGTTATGGGTGTGTCTCACGTATAAGTTGTTGGTGAACCGAAATAGATGTTGCCCCGGGGTTGTGCAAAAGAAGAGGTCCATGAGCAAACAGTGCGTCTGAAGTCTCAGCCAGGAACCGTGCCTTGTGGTGGAGACTGACTGACAAAACTATCTGATGTGGGAATCGTAATTTTGAAGCTGAGCTAGGGTGTAAATGAGATGGCAAAAAAGGGAATCTCGTCTCGTGGAGTTGCTGCTGACCGGAAATGGGCAGTGTTGGCTTGTTTAGTTGGAAAAAGTTGTTGGTTGGGCAAACGGCTCGTGGTTCTGAGCTCTCTGCTCTTGGAATCAGGTAAGGCACCAGATTTCTCAGGGCGGGTCAAAGGTGGGCGGCGTCGGCGGCGGCGGAGTTCGACATTGGAGCGGGAGAGAGAAGGGCCCCGGTGGGTTGGTTGTCCAAGACGTCACAGGCTCCACACGGCCCCGGCATAATGCATCCCCACGGGCCAAGCTCTCTTTCGGGCGCGTTTGCATCCCCGTCAGCCGCCATTCCTTCGCCCACTCGCGGCAAACAAACAAACCAACGAACGGCCCAGGTCGCACGCAACACATGGAAGTCAGATCCTTATCCTAATCTTGGGATTTTCTTGCAATCCACATCCAAAATACCTATAATACCTACCTATTATTAGCTTCAGAATATCCTGGCGAGCCTGAATCTTACGATTACCAGCGTCGCACCAGCATTGGTTTTCCATCGGCTTTGCCAACCTCGAATCCATCGATTAATTCCGCACCCCGAAACCATAACCCCACACATCCATCATCGCCGATGGCCCGAGTAAAAGAGGCGGCAGCTGAGGCTGCCCACGCCGCTGCCGAGGGGGTAGCAGCTGGCGCAGCAGCTGCAGACGCCGCAACAACCCCATCAACGCGCGCCGAGTCCCTTAGCGCTGGCAAAGACGAATCTGGGGCGTTATCACCGAGACGCGCCGCCCGACTGCCCGGTCCCGCCCGGTTCGTCCTGGCCGTCGTGCTGAGCTTTGCGCTGTCGGAGCTGGGCCGCTCGTTCGTCAACCACTGGAGCAACAACGAGGTGGGCAGCATTGCGAGGGAGATCACCTCCCAGAAGGAGCTGGCTGTTTTGGCTGGGTGGAAACTGTACGTATCTCCCCCCTTTTCCCGCCCACACGCTCGCCCACTCCAGTTGTTTTTTGAGTGATGGTGCCTTCTGATGTCATGTTTTTTTCCCGCCCTACTCTCCACCTCAGCTGAGGGCTGAAGAGGATGACCCCCACCCTCTACTGCCGGACCCAACTAATCTTGGTTTCTGTACGACAGGTTCGGACTCGCATTGGGCTGGTTCGGAGGCTACGATGGCTTCGACCTTGCAGCTCTCGCCTTACTCTCGCATGGCCCGACGGTAAGCTTCCCCACTCCAACAACATCCCGCCCCGTAGGGCTGTAAGCATTCAGGCGAGCCCGGAAGTTCTTCCGCACCTCCCACTCCCACATGGCACGGCGCGGCGCAGGGCGCAGTCCACTGACGTGCATGACTTACCACCAGACCTTCCTCACCTCCGTCTTCTACGGGATCCGCGCCCCGACCGCCGGCGCTTACCTCGCTGTGGAAGTGGCCTCAGCGTCCTTGCCCTTTCTCCTCCTGCGTGGGGTGTCCGGCGCCCACTCAGCCGCGCGCGGCACCCCCAACCGGGACATCGTTGCCGACCGAAGCATCCAGGTGCTCACCTCGCTTCAGTCCGCATTCGCCTACAGCGTGGTGCTGTTCCTCGCCGGCCGCTACCTCCTCCCCACCAACCTAGTCCTCTACTTCCAGGGCATCCCCACTGTCCAGCCCGCGGCAGAGGCCACCTTCCTCGGACTCGGCGGCGGCGGCGGCGGCAACCCGACCAGCCCGCTTCTCAGTCTCGTCTGCGGACTAGCCGCACGAAGCTTCATCTTCACCGCCCTCGTCACGACACCGCAGGGGACGGCCGAGGACCAGAAGAACGCGGCGTTCGACCCCGTGCACGCCACGCTCGCGCAGACCCTGGCGTGGAACCTGTGGGGCTACACCTCGCGCACCAAGGTCTCGCTCGCCCGCACGGGTGTCGCCATGCTGTTCACCGCCGTTGGCACCTACCTGGGCACTGCGCTGGGCATCGCCGGCGTCGAGCCCTATGGCGCGGTTGTCTACGCGGGCGTGTGGGTCGCCGCGGCCCTCGTGACGGGGCTCTCGCTGCGCTATGTTGGGAGCATATGAGTCTTTGACCGTTATGTGTGTGTGTTTCTTGCCTGGCCTGGCCTGGCCTGATTTGGCTTGGGTCTAGCCGGGTTTGTTTTGTTTGCGCGTCCGGGCGAGCGGGCAAGTAGGCAGGCGAGCAGACGGGTAGGTGGGCGGGCAGGTGACTGCCCCTCATGGCGCTGCCTGCCCTGCATGTCCTGCCTGACCTGTCCTAACTTGCTCGCCCGGGGCGGGTTTGTTTACGTACACTGCCTTGCCTTGGAAACCGGAAGCATTGGAACCTGGGGAAGGCAGCAGGGGTTAATAGGTCTTTTTGGTGACGTGCGCGTGTTAGGCTGCAGAGAGGTGTGGGATTGCGGGATATAGGACTCTCAAGAGGGGACGTTATACGGTTTTGGTCTCCGGTATCCGGTATCCGGCTTGGGGTTCCGGCCTTCCAAATGAACAGGCATCCATCCATTCATTCGTCCACCCCCGGACCCTTCGATCGCTTTCTTTGTCTGTCTCTCTCTATCTCTCTCTCTCTCTCTCTTCCCCCGAAGACAGGTGGCTGGGTGTGTTTCAAACGGGGGTGCATTTATGGGGTGACATGGCATATGTTTGCTGTGTATCCCGGGCCCGGGGGAGGGGAGAAGGGGGGTGGGGGGGGGGGAAGAGGTTCGTCTTGTCACTTGTGGAACCACCTAACCCCAGCAGCGGTTGTCGTGTGAGTTGCATGCATCGGTTGCCGCATCGGGCGCCCGGTGTCGACGTGCATTGGATAAAACTGCACTTCCGTACCCCGGGCAGTCATGGAGGATTTGCATTGGCGCGCGTTTGCGGCAACGATGACAGGTACGGTGTGTTACTGTGTTACAGAAACAGACAAAAACAGAAGAGCTCAGTGGGGAACCTGACTGAAAGCGTGCCCGTGCCAAGGCCCAGCTGAGGACGGATTCGCCTTGTGGAGGGTAAGGTAAGGCTTTCCGGCGTCGGCACGCCCAAAGGGCACAGAACGGACAGGGGTGAGGGGGGGAGCTGGGCATGGTTTCCGATGAAGCAACCGTCGCGAACTTCACTCAACCCGGATGCTTGGTATGATGTATTCTGTGTGATGTGATTGTTGTGTGACAGGTGGTCTGACAAAAACGGATACCACGTGCGCTGGGGGTGTCACTGTCGTTTCTTTTGCTCAGCTGTATCGCTCGACTGCGCCTTACCTGAAGCTTAAGTGGGCGAGCTCTCCTGTGGCTGGCGAATGGCAGGGCTGGAACTGGCGAGGGCTGGGGCACTTCATTTCGTACCCGAGACCGGCTGCCGCCGTCAACACAGACTTCAACTCACGAACAAGAACCCCGTCCGGGTTTGTGTGCCTGGCGGCCTCATGAGGAATTGAGGTTTGTGGGTTTATGGTCTTAATCCGAAAATGGGCTGAAAAAGAAAAGCGGCTTGGAAATAAGCTATCGGCGGCTGCGGCTACCGAAGATCTGTTTTAGTTGCGGCGTTGGTAATAACTCAAGACCCATTTAACTTTTTTTGATAGAACCATCGCTGCGCCACATTCCCTTGCTCGTCCAGACCGCCCAATCATATCCCAAATCTAGACTCCCTGTCCAAAGAGCCGCTTCCCGGTCTCCATAATTCTGCCCTGACAGCCCGCGTCTAAGTCGGGTTACTGCTTGAATCGGAGCCGGGATCACCCTTCTTCCTGTCTCCCTCCCTTTCTCGGTATGGATTAGTATGGGGGAGCCCGGGGGGTAACTAGTCGGATGTTACCTATCACTCCCGGGGGAAGGCTGTGGGGCGCGTGACGGCGCCCGACCGTTGCTCAACATGGTGTTGCTCATGGAGCCAGGGCACGGGAGGGGCGTAAAGAGGGGGGGGGAAGTGGAGTGAAGCGAGAGGAAGACTCATACTTTCTCGGGATGGACGCTCTCATGGAACACCTCGGTCAGTGCTCGCAGGCAGAAACCGGGGCCGGCCCGGTTCAGGTGGAGGTTCGGCTGCTCTTGCTGGCTGGCTAATCTAGGTTGCGGTCTGCAAGACCGTTGAGAGGGTCAGGGCTTACACCTTGTCCTTGTCTGCGTTACCTTTACCTTACTTACACCTTGCCTGATACCAGGGCTGGCTCGGCGTAACGAAATATTACCGCTTTCTATATAGCTTCCCGAACAATGGCCTCACCAGCTGGTCATGTTCAGTCCTACATCCAATATTCCAACATCTCCTAAGCCCTGCTCCTCTCCTCTGACTCGACATCAGTCAGTGGCTGTTGCACGAAGCATGACTGCCACGCCGCGCGGGACCTTCGCACTCGGATCAAGCAGTCACCCAAAGCCGTTGCTGCCACTTTCTTACCCTTGACGAAGAACATGAAAAGGGGCAGAACCCAACCTCCTTCTCCTCGGGTTGAGACCACAGAAGAGGCATCCGCTTCAACATCCACCTCACCGGCAACCACATCCACCCCCCACCACAACAACCACCACCTGGACGGTTGCCTCTTCGCCCTCACCCGCACCCCCCACGCCAACAACTATATCAACCGCGGCCCCCTCGCCCTCCCCCTCCATGACCACAACTACAACGGGAGCCGAAGAAGACGCCATCACCGCCACCGCCACCACCATGTACGAGTACGAACACATCATGACCTTCGACGAGCCCATGATGATGGGCTCGTCCTCCACCGCCGTCGCCACCACCGGCGGCGGCAGCAGCTCGGGCTCGGGATCCGTCAAGAAGAAGAAGTCGATCAAGTCGGACGACTCGCTGTCGCTGCGCGGGCCCATGGAGGTCGACGGGTCCGTCAAGTCGATGGCGTCCGTGTCCTTTTCGGGGGATTTCTCCGTGCGTGACCGCATCGAGGCGTACGAGAATCTCGAGGTGGATGGGAATCTGAGCTGTGGAGGGAAAGTGAAGAGTATGGGGAATGTGAAGATTAGGGGGGCTGTTGTTTGCATGTGAGTTGTTTTTTTCTTCCTTTCTATCCTATTTACGTGACGTTATTTCGGATCAACAACTAACCAAGCTTTAAATACAGGGACAAAGTCAAAATCTTCGGCAAACTCAAGATCAAGGGGACACTCGAAGTGCATGGAGACCTGGAAGTTTGGGGCAAGCTGACGATCGATGGATATCTGTAAGTTCACCACACCCTTCTTAGCCTCCATAAGAATAACAGACAACTAACTGGTAACAACAGGAAATGCAGGACTCTGACGGCATATGCCTCGCTCACCACCGTCGGCGACCAATCGTGGTACGAGGTGGAAGAGGGCGAGAAGGTTCATGGCGCCAAGCTGGTACAACGATACTGAGCGAGGGCTAACCATGGTGTTTCTTTTGGGATTCTGGTTTTCTCTTTGGTTATGTCTCTCTTTTGTTCTGGTGATGATACACGGGTCTGCTAGGTTGGCGTTGGACATCACTGGGTTCCACTGGGATGAATGATTTTTGTTTAGGGGTTCCTGTTTGGTTTAGGGTCAGGGTTCGGTTCTGATTTGGGTGTGGGTTTAGGTTTGGTGTGGTTTGGGTTTGGGTTTGGTTTTGGGTTTGGGCTGGCCTTTGGGTCTTTGGGTTTCTCTCTTTTCTCTTCGTCTTTTTTTTTGCTTTGGGTTTCTTTCTCTTTTCTTCGTCTTTTTTGCTTTCTGTTCTTCTCTCTCTTTCTGGGTCAGACTGGGACTCTAGACTTTGCATTTACACACTTGGCATGGGGTTTTACGGCTTGGTGGGACATGACTACAGGATAGGCTCACAGCCGTCTTTTTCTTCATGGTATGGAATCGGGTTGGGCGAGACCAGTTTGGATACACATACAGGCTTCCTTCTTTTGGTTCATTAGACATTTAGATTTGGATCGGATAAATATCCACCATTCAGCACGATGCCATCATACCCATGACCAAACCCGCTACAGTTACCCAACTTTTTGAATCAACATTTTACCCACAGTTTGTCTCCATCAGTAATCTGCCTTGGAAAGCCTAAAACTATACGGGTTTTTTGCCTATTCACGAAGCCCCGCTGTGATTCAGACCGGTGTGTCGTTGATATTGTCAGAGTCTCGCAGTCGGATGAACTTTGAGGTCAACAAGTCAATGCTCGCTCCTTGATGACCCGAAGATCGGCGCTGACAGCCTAAATAAAACGGGTCCCATCTTTCGAGCAAACATCGAAAGAGGGGCCTGTTTGGGGAGGGAGAGCTTAAACGGTGGGGTTCGAGAAGGCTGAGACCGGCCCTGCTTGAGCCCCGTTGAGGCCAAACACTCCGCCCAGTTGAATTGCAGCAAGATCGCTGGAAACCCTTGAACGGGGGCCATGCAGCAGCGAAATGCAGCAATGGATCCAGACTTGGCTCGAGACTGGTCTGCCGAATGCAATGCAGCTCCGCCCCGCCCCCCCTTGTTAAAACGTGGGGGCTTGTAGCCCCACCTGCCTGCCAGTGCCAATTGCTTGGCGCGACCTGCAGCTTCGCAACCGCGTTCCACATTCACCACCAGGCTGTCCATCGCGAGAAACCCTCTTGTGAGCGCCAGCAAAGCGACGTGGAAATCACACCTTCTAACCGAGTCGCATTCATGGAAATAATCTGAAAACAGAGAACAATGCGATATTGATTGAAGGGCGGTAATAGCGACATTATCCCACGAGACACAGCGGGATAATTCGTCACAAAGAATTAGCATGGCCACGGAAGACGTTGTCCGTCGCGACCTGATGGATGAGGCCATCTCCCCCCGGCAGCCGGCGCCCTCCATCGAACGGACCATGCAGCCGGGGAGCCGTCTCAGTAACCCCCTCAACCATCTCGATATGCGCGCCGACCCCGATGCGCAAGCCACCGTTTCTGACTTCCTCGACTTTACCGAATACCTTCCTGCTGATATCACCCGTTCCCTAACTTTGATCGGCAACCTCAGCGAAACCTACGTCAACAGCTCGTCTAAGCTGAACGACCTTAGCACCACCTGGGGAAACCTGCCAAGCATCCCGTCCGGCGACAAGACCGGGGCCGTTCGTCTGCGCGAAGAGATCGCCGATGACCTCCAACACGCTTTAAACTCTCGTGTTTATTCGCTCGCCGAGGCTCAGCGCATGACCGAGAATGTCCTCCGTCACTATGCCCGCGCCAAAACTATACTCGGGAAACTGTCGACGATGCGGGAGAACTACTCCGCTGCCGAAGAGCAGAAGAGCCCCGTCATGACCAAGTCGCCCCAGATGTCGCGGGCCTCCAAAATAACGACACAGAACGACGGGCAGAAGGTGCGCAGACCTCGGGTCCCGCGAATTACTGTTCCGGGAGAGGTGCTTGCCCCTTACGACTTGAACTATGACGTATATACTACGGGGTCGGATAGCAGCTCAGGGGAAGAGGAGGAAGAGACCGAAAGTGTGACCCCTGCTCCGCATGCGCGCATCAAGTTGGCCAAGGGCGCGTCAAAAACGCCGAAGCCCGGCAGACCACCTCGGCCTGCGGGCTCTGTCGCAACACCCGGCACGCCAGGCGCTGTCTTGCTATCTACAAGCGCCGCGATGGCGCAGCTGGCGCCTCCCCCCGTCAACGCTGTCGTCGGCGGGCCGGACGCGCCTTGGGGCCAACTCACACCTTATGAGCTAGCCAGACTTAGGAAACGCATGAAAAAGAATGCCGCGTGGACACCTAGTGATACCATGGTGGCACGCGAGCTCAACGGGCTGGGACGAGGTATGGATGCGTTCCGAGCCGCGAAGCAGAAAGCCGAGGAGGAAGGGGAGGTTTTCGAAGGCAAGATGCCCACCCCTGATGTCGACCCCGACACGGGCCAGACGCGGATGCCAGCCGGAGCACTGACGCTGGAAGCCCTGGCGTCGGATGAAAAGAACTTGAGCAATCGTGGGATGAAGCTCAACGAGGCTAAGAAACTTAAGAGAGAAATGCTGGCCAAAATGGCTGCCGAGGAAGCCGAAGAGTCCGCTAGGAGGTTCGACGCCATTGCTAGGACCTTAATGTCCGATCCTAACCAAGCCAACGCTCAGGATCAATCCAAGGCAGCCACCAAAGCAAAGGGCCAGAGAAAGCGCAAGCGCGATTCGGCCCCCGAGGCCGAGATAGAGAAGCCGGAGACGGTTGAGGGACAACCGCAGCAGCCCCAGCGGCCTCAACTAAAGCGGACAAAGACAGAGACTCCGGTCCCCCCTCCACTCCTGACGCCAGGCGGCTCACAGCTGCCCCATGAGACCCCGACACAACCCCCCCAACGAACCTCGAATGCGGGCATGCTCCATTCCACCACGCCGATTCCCCTGCCAATCCACAGCCAGGAGCAGTCCATCACAGCGAAGTCGGCGACGCCAGCGGTCTCAGCAACGTCTCCAGCCAGCAGCTACGCCGGCCCGACCAGCGTACCCACCCTGGCGCCCGTCAAACTTCCAGCTGCCGAAACCCCGATCCCTCCTCCGGTGATCTCGCCTAAAAAGTCCATGACACCCATCCTCCCCCCAACCAGGGAAACCCGCAAGACTCAGGCAGCGCGTGCGCAGGAGCAGCAGCAGCAGCTCGATGCTCGCGTAGCCCAAGTCATAGGCGACATTTCCCGCTCCACAAGCCCAGCAGCCACCCCCAAACCCGACCCTGACGCTGCCTCGGCCGTCACGCCCACCCCAGCCACCAATAGCACAGTCCCGCGCCGGCCTGTGTCCCGCGGTAAGGCCGCCAGTCAGGAACCACAGTCGTCCCTCGCTGCAGACCGCCCCCGTCGCGCCAGTACCGCCCGGAACACGCCTGCCCCCGACCGGACCGACCCACAACAGCAGCAGCAACAGCAGCAACCACAACCACAGCAGCACCCGCAACGAACAACCCCAACCCCCGCCCCAAGCACAGGCACAGGCACAGGCACAGGCACATTCCCAGGCCCGGGTTCATTCACAGGCACATCGGCGGCGACCGCCGCCACATTAGCGGCCGGGGGCGCCCGCCCCGCGGCAAACAAGCGCACAAAGGGGCGCCCCCGAGTCATATTCAGCGGGCAAATAAGGGGGGTTAAGAGCGCGTGGGCAATGGCAAGGGGGGCGCCCGCAAGATGAGGCGTTTGGCCCCGCGCGAAAGAGTCCGCTTGCGTTTTGCCTTCGGCTTCGTCCTAAAGGGCGTTGGGAGGCGCGGCAATTTCTGTGTGAGGGAGTCCCGGTGTGGCTGTGGGGGGTTTAGGTAATGTTGCCCGCCCGGGAAGGGGTTCCAGAAGGTAGAGTTTAATAAGAGGGCAAATTTCATGATTCGCCAGGGGAAAGGTTTTGCCTGTGTAACCGGGTTATGTTTGGGACTTATATCCAGGTGGAAACGCGGAGAGGGAGGGCTTCTCCTCCTTTTTGTTTCCCCCCCCCCCCCCCCCCCCCCCGTCCCCCCCCGTTCTTCTTCCTTCTTCTGGGTTTCTGGAGATTAGGGGTTTCCCTTTGAATCGCTGTTGTGATGATTGATGGTTCTGGTTGCTGACTGGACGTGAAAACGACAGAACTGCAAACTCGAGTGGTTCCATCTCGAATGTGTCGGACTTAGGCGGACATCCCCGCGCGCACCACGAAATGGTATTGCCCGGACTGCAGGAAGCTGCTCAACATCGGTGAGAAGGGCGAGGTCAGTGCCCGCGGGGTGAGGGCCTGACTTGCTTCGGCGTCCGGGTTGGAGTCGGAACCGGAGTTGGAATCGCACTCTGACACCTACTTACATAGGTAGTGGGGGGATGGGCTTGGAGTGAGTGAGTTTGGGGCCCGTTTTGCTTTCGCTTCTTGATACTTTTACTTTCTTCTTCTTCTTCTTCTTCTTCTTCTTCTTGTCTTGTTTTACTCGCGTTACCCGTCTTTGTTCGTTTCTCTGGGCTTATACGGCCCTCTGGGGATCTAGGGGGGGATTTGGGGACGGTTATAGTTGAGGTGTTGAAACGTGGTTTAGATAGGGTCTGCGCCCCGGCATTGGGCGCGACACGTTGCGCATACGCGTTATGCAGGCGCTACCTTATTGCTTGAGCCTAAAGAGGGCATTCAGGGTTGTGGTGTATTTTGTTGGCGTTGAATGTTGTATGTGGTATTTTGTATGGAGTTCTGGTGGATGACCATGGGAAGTGGGTGATACAGGCGTCGTTTCCATTGCTTGTTCTCTCCTACAGAGAAGGTTGTAAGGCTACTTACCTGGCCACCCCAAGTTACCAAACGTGATGCAAATTCTACTTAGTTGTCTTCCGCTGTGTTCTCTATTGACATAAGTGGCAGTTTCTTGTCCGGCACTCGCTCATGGACGGCTAGGTGCGGAGGTCAAGCTCAAGCAGCGGGCAGGTCGGGGAGCTGGGTTAGACAACGCAATGATTGCGTACGATCTAGGATGGCACATCACACCGAACCAATAGTATGATAAGATTGCATGGTACAACTAGGTTGTTGCATGTGTGTTCGCTCGGCAGGAGCCGTGCAAGAAGCGGGCACGCACGCACGAAGCGTTCTAGGGTCTTCTCAGAATCGAAGGTGTGAAGAACCCCGATCTCCAACCATCCCGGCTTGTCTCAACTCAGTTTTCCACATCTGCTGTCCATGGCCATGGCGGCCAACGACACCACCCAACAGGCACTCGACGCCCTCACGAAACGAGACATGAGTTCGAATTCGAACCTTGCTTCGGGTTCGCAAGCTATACCCGGCGGCGAATCCGGTTATGAACCGTTGTACCCCAACAACATACCCACAGACTCGGCCGTCAAGAGCTTCATCACCCACTTCTTCGAGGTCTCGGATGATCCGGGTCGGAATGACGAGTGGGTCGGGTTCTTCGACGAGAACGCGACGGTTATTATTGGAAATGATGTGGCCAAGGGGAAAGAAGGTAAGTATTTTATTTTCTAACTAGGTCTCCCCTCTAAGATGGTTACTACATTGGTACCTGGTCTTGACATGGTTGGCTAATTTAATCCGATATTCTTGTCAGAGATTCGTAAACTCAGAGAGCGCATGTGGAAAGAGGTCAAGGCACGCAAGCACCGGTTGGTGAAAGTGTTCCCGGCCAGTTTCTCAAACGACCGGTCAGCTATTGTGTTGATGAACCAGGCCGAGTATATGTTATTTGGGGCGGTGGCGTACAGGATGAGAGATGATGCAAAGGAGGATGCAGTGGCTGGGTGGGCTGGGCATGCGCAACTGCTGAGGGATGGAGTAGCTGCGCCGTGGCGATTGGGGTTTTATCGTGTATATATCCAGAGGTGAGGGATAAAACAGAGTTGGGCGGCAAACGGTTGCTGATCTGGGAGCCCGTTTAGCCATCATCCAAGCCGTACCCCAAGTGCAGAAAGATGCCGAACGAAATTTCCGACTGGAAGAACGAAAAGAAACCGGAAGCCAACTTCATGTTTTACTAGGTTTCTTTTATTTGATTTCTTTTGCTCGATTTCCTTTCTCTTTTCTTGCTTCCCCTTGCTGCCTTCTCGAGCTCGCCTTTTTTGGCCAGAGGGTGTGGTCTGTCATGTAGTCAGGTGGCCTTCATGTGACCTTTGGTTTGTTCTATCCATTCTGACCTGGCGGGGAATGACGTGTTGGCTCTGGGGGGGGCGCGGGGTGACGGGGAGTGACCCTGATGCAACTCCACCGACTCATCCGGCGAGATCATGCCTATCTCCAAAGGATCATCTTTCCGGAACCGAATCTCCGGGAGATAGACGTCCAGTGTCGACAATTAACGGTGTTTCTACGTAGAGTGGTAGGGTACAGCTCACACTGACCGAGGTCATTGGTGAGGGTCAGCAGCAATGCGGGAAGGTCAGGCCCCTTACCGCGCCACGAAACCTTGATGGATGGCTTTGCGACAGGAATGACGTAAGTTGCCGTGGAAATGAGGCCTGGAAATCAACGGCCCCAGAGCCGAGACGGCGCTGTCCTGCGACGAGAATAGTCCGATGGCTTCCCATGACTCCCTAGCCGACACGTGTTGCTTCTGGGTATACACCTTGCGCGAGCCAACTGTTTATTGCGAGAAGTGTTCTCAACGAAACGATAACTTACCTCCAACGTTCTTGGGAATCCATCACCGCTCGACGAAAACAGCGACAATCAGCCCCGCTAGACCCTGATAACTGATGCTTGTCTGGAGATCATGCACCCGCGCTATTCCGTTCACAGCTGAAAGACCCCCAACAGAGAGCGGGCTGCCGGTGCAGAAAGGCCCCACTAGCCCTGTGACCCCAGCTTGCCCAGGAACGAACCCCTCCCGGTCTTGCCTTCTTGGGCCCGCGTCCTGCAGCCAGCCCCGCCTCAACGCGACACCCTAGGCGGTTGCACCTGTCAATCCCCCCCAGCGGCCTCGCTCCGAGTCACAGCAGCCAGCAGCCAGCAGCCAGCAGCAACCTTACACCGGCCTGTTGACACATCCATCAGTATCCCGCCATTCTCTACTGATCGAAACAAGCGAAGCTTTGCACTTACTATTGTCAATAACGAACCAACCACTTAAGACAGGGGGAGCTCTTCTTTTCTTTACACCGTTCTGCATACCCGGCGTTTTTTTTGTTTCTTCTTGGTCTTAGAAGAACCCCCCTTTTCACGTAGGCAGTGCCTTTAGAATTACCGCTCTTTTGTCCCAACCGACATCGCTTCCGCGCATATAGCCCGACAAGCTGGGCTTCCCATCTGTTCTACAACCGACCGCAAACATATTATAGCCGCTTTATTTGCCGTCGAACACATAGATCTCCCCGATACCGCTTTCTCCTTGGCACCGCCTTCCGCCCAAAGCCGGACTGACGCTGCTCCTTTCTCTCGGGCAGGCCGCTGCTCGTTTTCTTCCCTTGGTTGCCATTCATGCCGGGTATGTTTGGCTCTTTCATCAGGCTTTCAACTTCTCCAACGCCCCAGCAGCGTCCCCGGAGACTTACTCTGCTTGAACAATATCTACAGTGACCCAGAAGCGGTCTCTATGTTTTGAGGACTGCGGGCTGACCTGCCATCTTGCAATAGGCTCTAAGAAGGACCGGAAGAATGGCAAAGAAGGCGGCGGCGTGGTCGCAGCGGTGACAAAACATGGTGCTAAGTTCTCGTAGGTTCTCTCATCCCCTTGATGGAGTGGCCCCCCGCTAGCTTACCGCCTCGTCTTGGGATCTTATCACTAACCCACGTCACAGCAACGAGACCACCACCCAGGATTCTTCTTCCAACCCTTCGCCTATTATCACTCCAGAGATGAATCCTTCTAGCCTGTCGTCGAACGATAACCACATCACCTCGCCGATGCTGGACGCTGTTTCATCGACCTCTTACGCAACAAGCAACTCGCCGCGCACAAGAGAATGGGCAAGAGGGCTCGGTGCAGGCATGGCTGGGTCTCCGGGGAACCTCATCAACCTGGCCGGGGAGTCACCTCCCACGGCGCCCTCCTCATACGAGGACACGCGCGGTATGCGGTCCGGCTGGTCCTCGCCGAGACCGGCTGTTGGTTACCATCCAGCCTCGGCTTCTCCGCCGACTGCTGGCCGCCGGCCACTTAGTTTCCACCTGGACAACCAATACTCCCCCCCGGACTCCCATCTTCATCTCGCCGCAGCGGCAGCGAGACGCAGCTCGATGCACTCGCACTACACCCAGGCTAGGGCTGTTTCGAACCCGCCGCTTCCGCATCAACCACAGCCGCACTTTTACGGTGTGCCTGCTCTTGATCTTAATATGCAGCAGCAGTCTGGCATGAATGCAGGCGAGAAGGGCTATTATTTTGGCTTTGATACCCTCTCAGCGCATGATGCTGATCGCGCCCCTGGAAAGGACAGCGTGGTTCTAGCCGGGTATGAGGGAGGGCTCGAGGTATTCTCGGTTGGAAAACGGGGCCTCGAGAGAGCTGCCAGTCTTAAGGGACTGCGCGGAGGCGTGTATCACGCCAAGGTTCTGCCGTGGACACCCGAGCACTCTGAGCTGTTCCCTCTGGTTGCGGTAGTCATCCATGGCCCGACCATCCCCGTGCCGCTGCCGGAAGTCAACGTCGAAGGGGACTACGATGCGGTTTCTGCCGACAGGTCCGAGGCTATGAGTAACGCTAGTCCGGATCCTGCAGCCAGGAATATTGGCAACCGGACTGCCCCTGGCTACGTCGAGTCGTACCAGACAACAGTCGAGGTATTCTCGCTGAAAACTGGTCGCCAGGTGAGCGTTCTTCTTGAGGCGCCTAAGATACCCCTCAAGTCGCCCATCGCAAGCCCGAGCTTCAAGGCTCCTTCACCGAGCGGCGCATTCCATGTGCTTGCCGATGGCGGCAACATCGTTGTATCGTCTGGCGTCACGGGCGAGTGCTGGATCTACCGCCAGGCACCAGCCGCCGACGAGCACTTGCCTCACTTCTACTGCCACGGTAAGGTTTGGACGACCCTCCAGCAACCACTCAAGGGGGAGGCGGCTCCGGAGCCCGAGAGAGGCCGTTCTCCCGCTCCTCCACGCCCCCGGCCGCAAGTTGCGATCCTTAGCGTCAGCGGCAGATGGATTGCTTACTGCCCTGCCACACCGTCCTCTCAGATTGCGTTGAGAGCGTCTGTCCCTGTACCCGTCGTCGGCCGTGCTCCCGGCCTGGCGTCTGTGACGCCACCGCAGCTGCCGCCCGCCGCTGCCGAACTCGACCTTCCCCTTCCCGAGAGTGTCATGAACAAGATCATGAGGGATGCCACCCAAGAACTGATTCAGGGTGCGAAATGGGTTGGCAAGCAGGGTTGGCAGGCCTGGAACAATTATTGGAACCCGCAGACGAATCAGCCACCGCAGTCACCAACCCTCGCCCCCCAAGGCTGGGGAGGAACAGGTGGTGTACGGCCGGATCCCTCGCAGTTCCCACCGACTCATGGGACAGTTTCCCAGCCGATTGTGAAGGAGCCAGGTCTGGTCTCGATTTTAGATATTGAGAGTCTCTGCTCCTCGGTAAACCCGCATCCAGTTACCACATTTGCCATCCCTCATGGCTGCAGCTTTCTTTCGTTTTCGCCGTCTGGCCTTGCTCTGTTTAGTGCGAGCAGCAAAGGCGACGTGCAGAGCGTATGGGATTTGATGCGTATTCAATACACAAAATCCTCGCCTCTACAGGCTATCGGATCGCCTCCTGGCGGCCCGCGGGTACGTCAGATTGCCCAGTTCTCTCGCATGACTGTGGCACGCATTGTCGAGGTCGCCTGGGCACGCCCGAATGGCGAGCGTCTGGCGATGGTCACAGAGCGAGGCACCGTCCACTTATTGGATCTACCGTCAAGCGCCTTTACATGGCCTCCACCCCGCCGCCGGAGAACCCAAGAGGTCCAGGCTGCGGCCCCGGAAGCTCCAGCTACGGCAGCTTCGATTGCGTCAAATGCACTAAGCTCCGTCCGCGATGTCGCGCGCCCGCTCATCAATCGCCAGCGTAGGAGCAACTCCAACGCGCCGCCGGCCACAGGCTCAGCCATCGGTGAGTATGCCACGCATGGCGGGAAGGTCATCGCCGCCAGTATCAGCCATTCGTTGGGCAAGACTGGCAACGCAATCAGCCAGCTTCGCCACACGGGGGAGAACAGAGTCTCGCTTCCTCATTCGACCTCCCTACCCGAGCCGTCGTGCGTGCTCTGGGTTTCTAAGAAGACAAGCCACTCACTCTTCGTCCTGGGCGGCGGCCTCGTTCGGATGTTTTCGACTAAGAGCAGGATCACATCCTCCGGTGCCAACAGGCGTACGCAGCGTCTCTCGCGATACAAAGACTTCCAGGTCCCATTGTTGCCGGACGATGTCCTGTCCCCGCTAGTGAAGAACATGCTTGATCCTGACGAGTACCTGGATATTGAGCATCTGGATGCCGGTACCAACACCATGGTGCTCAACCAGCCCAGGTCACGGGCACGCGTCCACGACCCGAGCGCCGAGTCTTCCATTCCTCAGGCCGAAATAGAGTCAAGCGCGCCCTACCAGCCGTTCCACACTGACAAGCGGGTGGGGTTGTATGAGTTTGAGGTGCCTCAACAAGAGATGGCCCTCACTGCTCTCATGGCAGCAACTTCGCTAGACGAGGCCGCATCAGAACCCACTCCGCGCCGGAAGAAGGGAGCTCGGCCGTCCCAAACCCAAAGTGGCGCGTCGACTCCTGCGGGGGCATCTGACGCTTGGGCTTTCGGCCAGGCGATGGAGGCAACTAAGCTCGACCTCGGCATACCCCAACTTCCAGAAGCCGATTCGTTCAACCCGCCACTTGATGCCTCGCGCGCACTCCCGGCGTCTGCAATGGAAAGGATCCTACAGCGGACCGGGGATGACGACGCGCAGATTGTGGTCACGACGCGCCGGAGGCGGGGCCCGGCGCTCACGCAGGATGATGATGGGTTCTTTGAGGACGATTGCGAGGTGCTTGATTTTGCGGACCAGAGGGTTTAAGGGGTTACCCCGGCTCCGTCCTGGGGCGTTTCGCATGCATGTTTTATTTGCGCTGGTGCCCTTTTGCGTTCACTTGGTACGCGTTACGCATTGGACGCTCGAACCTACCAACTCAACACACGAGTGCGTTATGCGACGGATCCCATTCGTTATGGAGAGACGATGATTAGCATTGGATTATCTGGGCACTTTCGCTGCATTAGCATTGGGCAGAGAGGTATCGTACCCTGAGGGTAATCGTTGGAGATCGTTGAAGTCGTCTCTCACTCCACTCCGCTGTTTGGGTTTTGGCGCCTTGATTCCGCCAGGGTTTGGTCAGTTCGGATTGGGTTACCGGGATTCTTGCTGCTTGATTGCTGTTCTCGAGCGGGTTTGACCGTTGGCGAGTATGGTGCAGCGGCCGAGGCTGGTCTGGCTGATTTAATAGCGGATGTTGAATAGGGGAAGTAGATACCTTAGATACCTATCAAGTGTATGCATGTGCCCGGCTCGCGTTTGTCCGAGTAGTGATGGAGGATAGGAAATAATAACTCGAGGCACAGCTCAAAGCGTTGAGAACAATGTTAGCTTAATCTTGGTGTTCATCAACTGGATGACACCAAGCGGTCTCTTTGATAGGAGAGCCGTTCGAGGAAGTTGGTGGTTTATGTTTTTATTCGTCGAGCGCTCTTACACCTGGTTCCTTTCGTCGCCCATCGTCCTCCATCCCAACAACCCCCTACAGCTCCTACCGCCGGAATTAACACCAGATATCATGAACAGACACATGCGCGCCAGCCCACCCACAACCCCAGCCATCCATGAACAGAACCCCCTTACAAAGTAGTACACCTAATTGTTTTTTCTTGTCTCCCCCATGCCGCATAAATAGCCCCCTTAATCCCCTCCCCAAAAACCTACCCCCTAGGTAACGAGTCCGACACGCATCGAAAACCCAATCAATCAAGCCTTCTTCTTGCCCGCCGCCCCCGACGCCCCAGCAGCAGCAGCCGCCGCCTTGGCCTTGGCCGCCTTCTTGCGGTTGCTGCGGATCATCACCACGCTGAGGAAGGAGCCCACCACCGCGCACCCGAGGAGGACCAGGATCACGGGGATGCGGATAGCCCACACGCGGGGCGGGAAGAAGTTCTGGAGGGGGTGGTCGGAGTCGACGAAGGGCTGTTGTTTTTTGGGAGGGGGGGTGGTTAGTGGTTGGTTGGATGTGGAAAAGGGGGAGTTGGGGGGGAGGTTGGGAGTTGGGATGGGTGGGTGATGAAAGGGGGGTATATGGCTGGGAGGGTAATGCTTACCATCAACAGGGTCCAGATGGTGTAGTAGAGGAAGACGACCGACGAGGCCACGAGCATGGCGAGGCCGACGAGTTTGTCGAGCTGTGGTTTGGGCGGGTTGGTTAGTTGCGCTGGTTCTATTTCATGCTTCGCGGTGGAATTGTTGGGAGATGTTGGCTCACCATTGTTGAATGAGGGTTGGAAGGGATGGATTGATGGTTCGGAGGTGTTGTTGCGAGCGCGATTTTGACGTGGGCGGGCAATCGTTGGTGGTGGATTACAGATTACATGGCCTGAATGAAGCTCATCTAGGTCCCGCGACAACTGACTTCCGGTTGCGCCACGGTGACCTTCCGCCAAAAATGTAGTCAGGGGTTCGCGTTAGCGCGTTCAGCCGCTAGACCCCGGCAGGCAACCCGCCGGTGGAGCCTCGCCGAAGCAAGCCTTGGTTGCACCAGCCTCCTGGTCAAATAACATTTTGTTAGCTTTGGCTTGCTTGCTTCTGATTGCGAAGACATCATCACACCTGACCTCCGAACAACCTGGTCAATCGCCCTCTATTCAAAGTTCGGCATCTCGCATCTATCCCAGTCTATAGACAGGGTGCGCTTTCTTCGCTCTTTTCAGGAAGGAGACTTTCTGTTTGACGAAGGAAGAAATGGCGACGGCGGAGGCAGAGGCGCCTGCGCGCCACCATTTGGATGACCCATCACCATCCCCCATTGACCGCCGTCCGTCTCCGAGCCCTCGCCGTGAGCGGTCTCTATCTCAAGGCTCCCGAGATTCCCGAGAACCACGCGATATCTCCCCGCGCCCTCGAGATGCATCACGCGACCCCTCTCGCGACAGGTCTCCCACGAGATCCCCCATATCTCCTCGACGACACTCGTCGCCCCCCCACGATCGTTCTCCTTCCCGCTCTCGCGATCGATCCCCCGTTAGGTCCCCCCCAAGAAGACGTTCGCCACCTCCCGCGCGACGCGATGCCGACAGGTACCGACCCATCAAGAAGGAGCGCACGCCGCCACCAGTCGCCCCGGTCAAGACGGAGGAGGAGAAGCTGGCCGATGCGCGGGCCGAGTATCAGAAACTTTTGAACCTGCGCAGCCAGGGCGTTTACCTGCCACCTCAGAAGCTACGCGCTCTCCAGGCCGCCATCACCGATAAAAGCACCAAGGAATACCAGCGCATGGCATGGGATGCTCTGAAGAAGTCCATCAACGGTCTCGTCAACAAGGTTAACACGGCCAATATCAAGTTTGTCGTGCCCGAGCTCTTCGGCGAGAACCTCATCCGCGGTCGGGGCCTGTTCTGCCAAAGCCTGCTGAAGGCGCAGCATGCCAGTTTGCCCTTCACCCCGATCTACGCCTGCCTAGCGGCCATCTGCAACACCAAGTTACCGCAAGTGGGCGAGCTGCTGATCAAGCGGTTGATCATGCGGTTTCGGAAGGCCTTCAAGCGGAACGACAAGGCCGTCTGCCTGTCCTCGACCATGTTCATTGCTCATCTGGTAAACAACCAGGTGGTACACGAGACGCTTGCCGCGCAGATCCTCCTTCTACTATTGAGGAAGCCTACCGACGACAGCGTCGAGATTGCTGTGGGACTTATGCGCGAAGTTGGCCTCTTCCTGGAGGAGATGTCGCCCAGGATCACCAATGTCGTGTTTGATCAGTTCCGGAACATCCTCCACGAAGCCGACATCGATCGCCGGACGCAGTACATGATCGAGGTTCTCTTCCAGGTGCGCAAGGACAAGTACAAGGACAATCCGGTGATCAAGGAGGAGCTGGACTTGGTTGAAGAGGAGGATCAGATCACGCATCGGGTCGGACTAGATGACGAGATCGCGACCCAGGACAGCTTAAACGTCTTCAAATTTGATCCTGATTGGGAGAATAACGAGGCGGAATACAAGCGATTGAAAGCGGAAATTTTAGGCGAGGGAAGCGACGATGAAGACGACGAGGACGAGTCGGAGAGCGAGTCGGAAGCCGAAGATGAGGAGCAAAAGGCGATCGAGATCAAGGATCAAAGCAACGCTGACCTCGTCAACCTCAGGCGAACCATTTACCTCACCATCCAGTCGAGCGCTGACCCCGAGGAAGCTGCACACAAGCTGATGAAGCTGCGGCTCCCTCCCGGCCAGGAGCCTGAGTTGGTGTCCATGATCATCGAGTCGTGCGCCCAAGAAAAGGTGTATCTGAAGTTCATGGGTCTGCTGGGAGAGCGATTTGCTCGGTTGAACCGGATGTGGATGGAGCTTTTCGAGGAGGCGTTTATGAAGTACTACTCGACCATCCACCGCTACGAGACCAACAAACTACGCAACATTGCCCGGTTCTTCGGCCACCTACTCGCGTCAGACTCGATCGGTTGGCACGTTTTCTCCGTCATCCATCTCAACCAGGACGAGACGACGGCAGCAAGCCGTATTTTCGTTAGGATTCTGTTTGAAGACCTTCAGGAGAACATGGGCACGGTCAAGCTCAAGGCGCGCATGAGTGAAGATGTGCTGCAGCCCAGCTTCCAGGGCATCTTCCCACACGACAACCCGCGCAACATCCGCTTCGCTATCAACTACTTCACCTCCATCAAGATCGGCTACCTCACCGACGAGATGCGTACCTTCCTCGCCAACATGCCCAAGCCCGCCCTTCCAGCGGCAGCCGCGGCAGACGATTCGGACTCCGAATCCGTATCGAGCTACTCCTCATACTCCTCCTACTCCTCCCGGTCCCGCTCGAGGACCCCGCGCAGGGCAATCGACCGCGACCGCGGCCGTTCCATGTCCCGCACCCCGCCCCGCAGAGGCCGCGACGACAGATCCTACACCCGCAGCCGCAGCCCCAGCCGCCGCAGTTACACACGCTCCATCTCAACCGGCGGCCGCTCACTCTCCCGTTCTGGCTCCCCGCGGCGGACAGCCCGTGGGGGGGGACGTGGCAGCCGTCGCAGTATCAGCCGCACCCCGAGCCGGAGCCGCAGCCCAAGCCGGAGCCCGACACCAAACCGGGCACGCGGCGGCGGGGGAGCCAGAGGCCGCGGGCGCAGCTACACCCGCTCCCCGACGCGCTCCGTTTCCCGCTCCCCGCTGCCTGTCCGGCGCGGCAGGCCGCTCACGCGCAGCCGGAGCGTAAGCAGCAGGAGGAGGTCCTACTCCCGCTCGCTATCCCGATCACGCTCGCCGCCAGCTGCCGCCGCTGCTGCGAATTCTGCCGGAGGGGGCCCCGCTGGCCCGGCGAAGCGGCGCCGGCCCGAGGAGGAGTACTCCCCCGGCCCGCCGCCGGCTAGGAGGGCTAGGCGGTATAGCCGGTCGCTGTCGCCTGTGGCGAGACGGGACTCGAGGTCGAGGTCTCCGATCCCGTTGGGACGGGGGAGGCCGTCGGCGGGTGGGGGTGGGGAGCGGGGACGGGATTCTTACTCACGTTCCTTGTCGCGGTCACCGCCGCCGCCGCCGAGGGTAGGACGTGGTGACGGTGCTGTGAGGGATGGGTATGGTGATGGTGGTGGTGGTGGTGGTCGTCGTCGTCGTCGTGGGGGGTATAGGGATCGAAATGATGGGTATAGGGGCAGGCGGGATAGCAGGAGCAGGTCGCGGTCGCCGGTGAGGAGCCCGGTGGGTGGGGGCCGTGGCCGTGGTGGTGATGGCGGTGGCAAGCGCAGGCGGGTTTATAGCAACTCGCGCTCGAGGTCGCCGCCGGGACTTGCTAAGCGGGGTCGGGTTGATGGGTAGTAATCTGAAGGGTGGTGTGGATGACCTGCTGGTGGAGCAGGTAAAGGGGAGATTGTAAATTGTGATACCATTGTTATCAAATCGATCGAGTTGCTGGGCTTTTTTTTTTGCTTTTCTCGGTTTGGGGATTCATTGCAATGGGGCTATGAGTATTCGGCTACTAGCGAGATATCTGTCTATCCGTCGAGTTTCTTGCCGTCCTGATATCGAACCTGCGCTCATCCCTTGACTCGGGCACTGATCGCAAATGGCTACGGAATACATGGCACAGCTCGGCCCACGTTTCGCAGGAACACCTCCGAACAGGAGATTGGTCGTTATTTTCCTGTTTCATTTGATTGGTATTTAACACCTGGTCGATAGAGCTCCTAGTTCCTCGAAAACTCGTGGTTCCTCGGCACTCCCACGTATCATGTCTCTCAATTGACGTGTTTGGAGGTCTCAGCGCGGCTGTTGAAAAAGGGGGGGAGTCGAAGTCCACCGCCCACTCGGCTTGCTTCCCCTCGCCGAACTAATTTCGTGCGGCGGCCACGTCAACAACGCGAGGCTGGCTGAACGGGCGGGGCAGCTGGTTAACTTAGGTAGTTATAGGGCATTGAAAATGGACTGCTGGCGGCCAAAAGCAGTAAATCGGCGAAAAGAGGCTTCCGTTCTGCTCTTCCATGAGCTTGGTCCCGGTGTGACATGAGAACGTTTGGACAAAGCAAGAGTGACCCCATCCTGTGGAGTAGGTGTGTGGTTATTTTTGTGCGCGTTGGCAGTGATGCCATTTCAGCCTTTTCATCTTTCGTCTGCCGTTGCCGGATCGCAACCACCGAGATGGACATGGACGCCACCATTCCGGGAGCTTGCAGTGGCTTCGGGCTCTGTGCTTGAACTTCCAGAAGCCATTTCCGGTGTGTCCAATCCGGGGTGGGCAGGCTTGGCATTTAGTGGGCCCCTGAGATTCACCTGAAACACAGTCGATGGAGGCTGTAACTTACGGATATTACCCACCTGTAACTTCGTACTGTACAGCGTACCGTTACCGACAATTTGGCAGCCTTCCTCTAACTCCTTCGTCCTCAACAGAGTTTGAAGAAAAAAACAGCGGTGACGCCGAGAAACAACAGTCGTGTCACCCGACAGGCCATGCTGACGACGACTCTTCAGCCGGCCTATCATCAACTTGCAGACCACTATCCGAGAACGGGTCCTCGGGAGCCGCCTTGTTTTAGTTAACGTCGTCGGTGCGCATATTCTCTGGCAACACAGATACGGTGCTCCCTAACTACCTCATCAGCCCTGCTGGTAGCCGACGTCTGCCCATGTATGAGAATACGGTTAAGGTAAAGTTAGAAAGGTGGTCGAGCGAGGTATGTGTCTTCCACCTGCCGGAGCTTGACGCCGTTGTCCACTCAGCGACCGGAATGCCCTGTCCGCACCCGTTCCCTGTGCTGCATAGATGGCCGGCATGTCGCCATGGCCGAATCTCTCCCGTTTCCGTCGACATGCAGACGAAGAGAAAGGGGAAAACAGGCCTTGGTCTGTCGCACCGCTTTCCCACCGAGGCGGATCCCCGAGCGTCGGTAGCATCCCGGCTGGTCATCCAGCCTCTCCAGCCCGACGCCGGATACCGGACGAGGCGGCGGCGGCGGCGAAGACGGCCTCGGCCATTGGAGCGATACCAGGAGAGTGGGCAACGGCGGCAGCTTTGATACAACTGGTGCACAACACACAACATCCGTGGCTGGGTGGCTGGCTGACTCGATTGGCGCGACGAATCGGCACTTTTACCTGCAAGTTCGCGCCCGGTCCGCTTGGCATGGCATTGGTTGCCATTCAGTGTCAAAAATATTTCAGAAGCTCCGAGACCTTTCGACGATCTGCGAAGACGATGCTGGATCCATCCCGCGTTGCAATGGCGTGTTGGTGCCTGTGCCTGTACGTAGACAGTGAAATTGCAAGTTCGATATTGTAGATAATTCGGGCGGTGAGACTGGTCAGGCTGTTGTTGAAACCCGGTCCTTTAAGACATCGATACCCCAGATGCTCGTGGTGTAGCTGATGGAGACGCCAGCCCGCGAGGGAGGAGGGTTACATCCGAAGTTGGTGCGTATCGTTTCCCCTTTTAACCCCCCCTCAGGGTCCTCCGCATTCTGGGAGACGTGCCGCTGCGACCGCTAACTAGCATAAAGTGATTTCAAGCTTTGAGATGTTGGGCGATGGTGCTGGGGCAAGTGCTTCAAGCCGGGATATCCCATTCTTGAGCGGAGGTTGGCTGCCAGACACCAAAATCGATTTCACCTTGCGGCGAACCAACATGTGGAGTTGATGACACCGTCCGAGGTCCGTCCGGTCGTTGTGCCTCCGCCGCACTCCCTCCGGTGTGGCCGCTTGTCCTCGAAAGCTCTTCGTGTAACAGCCGCGTACTTGCTGGAACCTCGTTCCACTCTAAACTCGACCCTTTTCACCGTTGTTCGTCGAATTCGTCTGTCGGCAGACATCCCTGCTGAGCCCTGAAAGGGCAGCGATCGCAAGGGTGGCCGAATCTTGGCGCACTTCCCCCATGGGGCACACCCCAGGGTTAGATCAAGGCATTGCTTATTAAAACGGCTGGCCGCTACCGCTACCGTTAAAGCAGTAGTTTCGGGGTCCTGTCGCCAACTTGCGAATGCTCAAATTTCTTGCTTAAGAAACGGGGTTCGGCACTGGCAACTCGTTGGTCCCTACCTAGTTAATGCCTGGTGCTGCTTGCTTGAACTGCTGCGCGATTGCGATGGCCCGAAATTTGAGACCGGCGAAATGCTGCATTCATGGTTGAGCCCACTTCATACCCCGGCCACTCAGCTTCTTTCGGGCAGCGACTGCTGGACTGATGCAGCACGCGCCGGAAGAGAGCGTTGCGGAAACGCTGCAGTCGTGCTTCGCTTGTTGTTGGGCGCCTGCCTTGTTTGTAGGATCTCCTGTTCCGTGCAGCACTCCCTGCGACCTCGACGGGTCGTAGAGATGATCCATCGGGAAAAGGGGTGAGTGAGGAGGGCCCGTTGCTTTCTTTTGACGATAATTATAACGGCGCAGACAAGAACACTGCCACCATTGCTCGGAGATTCGAACAAGGTTGTCAGAATTCCAGAACCGTAATCTGTAGAAACAGGAAAGAAAGAAAATGGCAAAAATGACCATTGCTACTGTGTATGTACACAGTACTCCGTAACTAGGCTAGTTAGGTAGAACCGGATGAGTTTCTGGATGCGACACGAGATGGCAGGGGTCTCTTTGCAGGGAGGAGAGTCCGAGACTCCGGCTGTTGTGTGCTCTCTGACCTGGCCAGGAAACGCGATTCGTCGCCTGTCAGTTCGCGCGCGTTGGGTACCTGGCAGGCACTGGTGGGGTTCCGTTCCAACAGGCGAAACCGAGACAAGGCAGGATTCCATTCGAGAAGAACAGAACTGTCAAAACACCACCGCCAGAAAGAGAGATGGGAGACTGCGCGGGGGGGATTTGGAGATGCCTCAAGAGTCCCGTCAAGGTGCGGCGATGATCCGAATTAAATCATTTAGCCTTGTCAGGCGTGGATCGTAAGACGCATGCAAGAGCCACCTCGATACGGTCGGCCAGCCAAAAACATTAAAACGAGCTGCTCCTTCCGCCCCCCTGACGCAGTGAGCTTCTGGCCGCAGGAGAGGCCCTGCTAGCGCGACTTGGGTTCATGCCTCGTTTCCATCTCATCCAAACCAATCATGAAGCCCGTTTTCTGGCCTCTGTCAACACAATCCGGAACAAGACTTGTTGAAAACGAGGAAGGACCCTGTGAAAACGATAAAACCTGACCGATGGAGAAGAGGGGATGAAACACAGTGATTATGTCACTAATGAGAGACAGAGCCACCTGCAGCCGATCAGGAAATGCAAACGGATCGAAACGTTGGGGAGCATGAGATGATCAAAGCAAGGTTAGCTTTGAGCCGAGGCGAAGAATGGATGGCTTCAGGGGGGGGCTACTGATGACGGAGGATGGAATGTGAGGAGAGCTTCGCCCCGACTCCCCCTAAAATGACACCGTACCGAACTGGCCGTTTACCACCCCACGAAGACCTGGAAGGCATTAGGTCGTTAACTTCGTATGGACACCGTAATTACCGCCTGGCGAGATTGATGCGCCAGTGGGTCGGGTGGAGTTGCATGGTAGGTTTGTCTTGGAATTTTGGCCGCAGGCCGATGGACGGGAAGAGGCACCGATTCGTTCCAGGGGCTGACTGCTGGCGTGCACCACCGTTGCCCAGCCTGTCGATGGTTTGCCTGTCTTTCCGCTCGCTGGGACGGTCCTGGCCAAAACTTCCTTCAATCGAAACTGGCCCTTTCGTTCAGTTTCCTATCACCAATCCCCTCCTATCGTTCAAGTCTTTCTTTTTGTCTTGTCACTTCACCACGTGTCCCGGTATCCGATTCGAAAAATTATCCTTTTACAAACCGTACTGTTCAAGGTGGCACTGAGCCCCTTTGAAGCCTCATCCCCTCGAGCAGCGTCGAGCCGCCTCGTCCTTCTGTGCCTCACCTCATTTGTTCACCTACCACGCCTTTCGTTCGATTCTCTCCCCGCGCCGATTTCCTACGCAGTTGGTGCTTCTGGGTTTTCTCTTGTCACGGCTATCACCCCGACTTCCATTCCACTCCGTTGCCTGTTCGCCGAGTGCGTTCCCGCCCTGCGTTCTCTTCCTGGCTCGCTTTCCTGCCCACGCAAACCGGCCACTCTGGGCCGTTCTACCAACCGAGAGAAAAAAAAAGGTCGACTCGCTCGCTCCGCCTAATTCCACCACGGCACCAACGTCTGGATTCTCCCGATGTGCTTGCTATAACGACCAATTTTGCAGGTGTCAGTAGTGGACGCTGCGTTCCTCCCTTCTTTAGTTTCGACAACCCGACGAAGTCTCAACCCGACAGGCCGTCCGCGGTAACAGTGGACGACTGCTCTCCCGAGACGAGCAACGGGCTGTTCCCTTTCCCCTGGTCGCAGGCGTCCTTCAATTCTACTGTGTCACCAACCGTTGAAGGTTTCCTATCACCGCGCCCTCCATTCTCTCTTCTCGAAGATCGGCAGGTACGTGATCCTGTTGCATCGGTCTTGCCACTGCCCCATTTTCTAGCTCGCAACAAGCAGCTCCGTGGCGTTGCTACCCCACGAGCATGGTCTGCTTGACTCAGCGGCGACGCAACCTGTGTGGAATGTTTTAGCTAACATTGTGCCGAGCAGGAATCCTACCGATCCCGAGCCACCTAATTTTCTCGTACCTCACTTTGAGACATCTTCACACACGTCTCACACCTCGGGGCCTGGGATAGACAAGGCTGCGTTAAAAAATTGCCGCCATTTACCATGGCCGCCCTTGTACAAGGCTACCCCCAGCAGTCGGGAACGGTCACGGTGCTTCAGGCCCGGCCATCGTCGGCTTCGGGAATGCTGCAGTCCCTTCCGGTCCAATCGGCAACATCATACGTACCTGGAGGCTCTCACAGGAATAGTGTCCACGGTTTACCTTCCACAGTCACCGCGCCTGTGGTGTACCATGGCGGCTCAGGTGCCGGCCAACAATATGCCCTTAGGAGCATGCCTAGCCTTAATCCGGCGGCGCCTTGGCAGCAATCCAGGGCGCAACGAACATCCTCTTCCCCCGCCGTTCCCACCATCCAGACCCTCGATTATTTACAGCCCGCTGTTGCCCGTTCTCGGTACTCGGCGAGTGTCTCTATGACCAACCTCCCCAGCACCGCGAATCAGGGGCTGCAAACGATTGTTGGGGCTCGTGACGATTCTGGGCTACCGGTGCCCGGCACCAGGAGAACCGCAACGGCGCCCCGGTCGTCCCAAACGAACAATGGGGTATCAACCCAACCATCGCTTGCGCCAGCGGCTCCCATTCGGGCGGCCCCCGAGCGATACAGACGGTCGGCTTTGCGTTCGGATTCGGCAGGCGCGGCAACTGGTGCTCAATTGCGGCCGTCGCACTCAGCCATGCTGAATAGGCCGAATAGTTTCGTTGGTTCAGTATCCGCGGTTGATGATACGGGCTTTTCTCAAAGCCAGCCCCATGGCGAAACCAAGAGGGTCCGCAGACGCAGCATGCCCGCGCTGGATTCTCCCGGTTTCCCCATCCGCCTAACCCCGCACGACCTGAAGCAGCCGGCAGAATCGAATCGCCCTAAGACTGCTGATTTGGATGGCAAGGCTGGCAAAACTGGGAGTTCCCAAATCACCGACAAAACAAGCAATGATGAGCAACCTGGGAGTAGCCGAAGCGCTGGGGCAAATGTGAACCCCTCTTCTGTAAGTTCCTCGATCCCGCATTTTCTTTCTCACACGCCCGCAACTTAGGCCGGATTGTCCAATCATACGTTATGCCCTGCCTTCTGCGGTTCAAGACTAACACGAGTTTCGCTTCCCCCCGTCCAGTCCGCCAACCGCAACGGCTCTGACCCCACTGGCAACCCCACAATGTCTACTTCCCTAGACCAGGTTGGTGCCAACCAAGATTCTTCACCCACCGTCAATGTCCCGCCGCGGAGTTCGTCGACCGATGCCTCGAACACCAAACGTGCCGCCAACAACTCATCGCCGCTTTCAAAACCCGTGACCATGGACACGGCGGGCGAGAGCGGCCAACCTGCGGAGGCTACCGACTCGGCAGCCCAGGAAGTGGTGTCTTCGCCTCGTTTCGAGAGCGCCGCCGTCAGGCAATTGACAGCGATCAACGAGAAGCGGGGCCGGCCTAAGAGCAAAACGTCACGACTTCGGCGGGCATTTTCATTTGGTAGCGCGGCCGAGTTTAGGAAGGCCGCGGATGAGAGTGAGGAAAATGGCGCCGGTAAACTTCACAAAGACCGAAACCAAGACGACGCGTACGATGAGGAGCAAGCACGGATTGCCGAGCGACAAGAGGCGGCCGGAATCGGGAGCAATATCTATGCAGGTGGAAGATTTTTCCACGGATCAACAGACAACCTATCCATCTCATCCACGGCATCCTCGGCTTCGATTATGATTCGCAAGATGGGGCGTGGCATGAAGAAGAGCACCCGGTCGCTCGTCGGGCTTTTTCGACCTAAGTCAGTCGTTGGGGTGCCGGCGGCAGATGCGGTGCCGGAAACCAGCCACGCCGCCGTGTCCATGATCACGGCCGAAGCCGAACGGGAGCTGGTGAACGTAAACGCCGATCCCAAGGCACAAGGGGGCGGCACTGGGTTTCCCCGTCTGGAGCGGAACTCGATCGACGCGGCAAAGGTGCCGACGGTTGAGCCGGAACGGGTGGGGAGCTCAGGCACTGATAGCACAGGAGCACGGAAAAGTATTGTCGGGGGCGAGAAGGAGCGGGCCGAAGTCCTGGCTGCCGTTCGCAAGGGAATATTGAAGCGTAAGTACCGGCATCTCTAGTGATGTGGGTTTGGGTTCGACTGACTGTTTTTCCTGCTTCAGACCGCACCGGCTCTTCAAGCCCATCTCCCCGGCCGTCAGAGACTAAGGGCTCTGCTTTTGATTTGCCCAGTGTCCCATCAGTGACGGATTCTCCCAACTCGAGCGCACCTAGCACCCCTAACGAGGACTCGCACGGTCACAGACGGACTGGAACCGTAACGATCGGAAACGAGGACTACTTTGTCTCGGCTCTCCGGCTTCGCCAGGACACCAAGAGCGCTCCCGGTACTCCCCAGAGCGCGAAGCGCAACGCGACCTTTAGCCCACGGATTGTTTTCTTTGAGACATGGCCGAGCCAGGAGTATGACCGTCGCGGCGAAATTGCTACGTGCAATCGCCTGACGCCGATGCTGGCGCAGCAGATCAAAGAGGAGCTGAACACTTTCAAGATGGTATGCCTTTTAGCTTCTGAAGCAATGTTGTCGACGAAGCAACCTAACGTTTTGAGCAGGAAATGGAGGTCCACGAGAACTCTAAGATTTACACGCACTTTTTCTGATCATACAGGCGAATGGTTCGGAAAGCACAACACCTCTCGCCTCGTCTACTCTTATTCCTTTTGATACAGGGAGAACGGCGACATGTGCCGTGTATTTGAGCGGGTTTACATTTACCGCGGCGTTTCATGGTCAGCAGCATAGTACGGTGTCACGGCGTTTTTTTTCCTTCATGTTTCGATCTCGACGGCTTTAGCGGCTAGAATCATGCACAGCGCAGCACAGCGATTCATTTAATCACACGACACTCAGTCGGCTCTGTCTCTTTTTTCCTATGGTCGTTGGCCGACGCCTTTCCGGTCGGAGCCTGCCGCGACGTTGGCCGCTGGGTTGAGTAGGGAGTAGTAGGGTGAGGTTATCTGGAGACCAAGAAGGATGAGTGGATGGCGATGGATGAAGGAGAGTGGGCAAGCGTGGGGAACCAAATACGGCAGCGAGCAGGGCGGCCAGCCGCAAGACGTCCCACGCTCTCTCTCCAGCGGCGCGACAGTTTGGGATTTTGTTTCACCAGACCGGCACCGAAGGGTGGAAAGGCGGAAAGGCGTAAAGGCGACGACATCGAGGGGGAACCACAGCGACTCCTGGGCGTGGCGGCCATACACACGACAAACATGTTGTCTTTTTTCCCTTTTTCTTTTTGTCTTATTTCTAAGCGACAAAAAGTTTCCTCTCACGATGCCAGTGTCGGAGCGGTTATCATCTCTATCTCATTGGGAGGTCTAATCATGGTTCATTCTACTTTGTTCCTCTCTCCATTTTCCAGTCAGTGCCCTCCTTTTTTCATTCGGTCGTGGTGTGGGTGTTACATAGTCATCGTCCGATCCGTTATCGTCGTCGTCGCTGCTTTGTTGTTAATCGGTCTAGTTAGGTAGTGGAGTGAATGTGGAAGTACAAATGAACAAACTTAGCAAACATCCCCGGCCGCCCGGGAAGACACGTCCGCCTGGATACGAGATTAAGCCTTGGTGAAAGGTTCACGGGATCCGTCCTCGCGTGGGGTGAAGGGTGGGGAGTTGCCAAGTTGGTAATTGGGTGTGTGGAGTGGGTGTTTAGGGGTACGGTGTGAAATGGGTTAGATTGAGACTGTGCTGGAGACAGGGGCTTTGCGGGGAATTGCATCATCCCGCCTTGTCGAGGGGTTTGGGCCAATTAGAAGGAGAAAGTGGTGGGCTATCTCTCAGCCTTGCAAAGAAGGCGGAAGGTTTTTCGCGATAACTCTTTTTTTTTATTCCCGAGTTTGGGAAAACACATCCATTCGTTCAACCTCGACGTCGACAGTGAATTACTGCCGTTACCCGACGTTCAACTGAGACGAGACAGTGGCGCTCGGCTTTATATCGGGATTCCGCGCGTCCATCGCGCGGACGTGGTCGATCGGTCGACCAAGAAGAAGGCTCTTTTCCATGGCCTCCGATGCGACACCAGCAGCTGCAGTCGCGGTTGCGGCTGCGAATGTCGTGAAGAAACCAAAGTTGCATGGCCGCGCATTTTATGAGAGCCTCGGCTCGCCCAAGTATATTGTTGCGCCGATGGTGGATCAGTCTGAGTTTGTGAGTAGAGTAGAGAGAAGGAAGGAGGAAAGGGGGAGGCTAATTCTGTCGTTTTGCTCAGGCCTGGCGTATGCTTTCCCGATCCTTCCTTCCCGAGTCCGAGCAGTCAGGCTTGCTCGCATACTCGCCCATGTTCCACGCGCGCCTTTTCAGCGAGAGCCAAAAATACCGAGACCAGCACTTCCAGCCAACAAAACCCGACTGCGATAAACTCTACCTCGACGGCAACCCCGCTATCGACCGTCCCTTTTTCGTACAATTTTGTGCCAACGATCCACAGGCGCTCCTCAACGCGGCGAAGATAGCCGCTCCGTACTGCGATGCGGTGGATCTCAACCTAGGCTGCCCTCAGGGGATCGCCAAGAAGGGCCACTACGGCTCGTTCTTGCAGGAGGACCAGGACTTGATACACCAGCTGATCAAGATCCTCCACGAGAACCTCGACATACCCGTTACGGCCAAGATACGTATCCTCGAGACAAAGGAGGCGACGCTCAAGTATGCACAGAACGTCCTCAGACCCACCGCGAGCATCTTGACGGTACATCGGGCGTCTACGAGACCATAAGGGGACTTGACTGGTCTCGCCGACTGGCAAATGACCCCATCGATCGGGCGCGATAATCTCCCGCGAGAAACAGTGCTCTTTGCCAACGGGAACATTCTCCAGTATGAAGACATATTACTAGTGTCTCGCCGCGACCGGAGCGGACGGCATCATGAGTGCCGAAGGCAACCTCAGTAACCCGGGCTTCTTCGCCGCTCCGCCGCCAGCAGGGCAGGAACCGCGCGGTTACTGGCGCGGGAAGGACGGCAAGGGCGGGTGGCGCGTTGACGAAGTCTTCCGTCGCTACCTGGACATCATGCACAAGTACGTTTTGGGGGTCCCCCCACCAACTCGGCGACCCCTCTTCCTCCCCGGCGACGACACGGCATGGATGGAAGAGGCCATCCCGCTGCCGGACCAAGACGGCCCCAAAAAACGGCGCGGCGACATCACCAAGGACAACGCGGCGTTGATCGCGGCCCAACTTGTCGGCATGCAGCCGCACCTGTCCACCAGCTGCGGCACCTCGTCTCTCGCCACCACGACGTGCGCGCCGCGCTCGCCCGCGCCCGCCTCGGCGAGGTGGCCCACCACGAGGCCCTCTGCCGCATGGTGGAGAAGAAGGTCGCCGAGGGCCTGCTCGAGTACGAGGCGTCCGGCGGCGCGAGCGTCGAGGCGGATATGCCGACCACGACGCCCGAGCAGGAGGCCGATCCGGAGAGCTCGGCCCGCGCGATACGCGAGTGTAAGCGGCCGTGGTGGGTGGTGCAGCCGATCATTCGGCCGCTGCCCAAGGAGGCGATGGCCAAGGGCGCGATACAGTTGAGCAAGAAGGAGCGGAAGCGGGTGGCGGCGGAGATGGAGGGGAAGGAGGAAAAGGAGGCGAAGAAGAGTAAAGAGGGGCTTGGAGGTAAGGAGGCTGCCGTGACGGGCTCGCTGGAGAAAACGACCAGCTATCCGTCTAGTGAGCTGGTCAGCGGCTGAGAGGCTCGAGCAATCTGTGTTCCAGTGGGTAATCTGCCGCCGGAACACAAGTCGGTCTCGTGCATGGAGGAGTCAGTCATTCCACGACGAGGTCAATTTGCCTCCTAAGACTCCATCCCGGCAAGGCGTGGAAGGAACTACGAGCGCAGTTATACGGGGTGGGTATCCCGTGTGTTACCGGCCCTTCAGCCCTACGTTTTCGGCCCCTTTGGCTAGTTTTACGGGGCAATACCCAACGGACGGTAAAGTCAACAACAACACAGACAAAGAAGAAAGAAATAAAGCAAGAAAAAACAATATGCAGAGCCGTTCTTGACAGTCCGTTGTTCCCTCCGCCAACCTCCCCGAAACCGACATATCTTTCGATCCAGGGGCACGTGGCAGATGTTTTCGTGGCGCGGATCTGCGACGCAGAAGAGGAATTGATATACGGTTTGTTGATAAAGCAATATTGGCAGTATCCTTCTCGAACCCGTGGTTTGGCTTTGCTGACATCCCTTTACTAGAGAAGGGACAATATCAATGCTTTTCAATTAGAGGTTTACTTGAATGCTTTAAGCTCACCACCACTTTGGCAGCCATCTTGATCTCACTATTTTGAGTTTCATAACTCGCGCGGAATAGTCAATCACCCTTTCACCCACTTCTTGGGGACGGGCAGGCGTGGAGGAAGAAACCAGCGGTCTCAGACCCTTGCAGTTCACGGCGTGGGCCTCGCCTGTGCCGATTACTTGGTAAGCAGCGCCGCCGATCGTCTATTCTGGATAGTCAAGTACCACTGGACATACGAATATGATTGGATCGAATACACGCCCAAGACAGAGAAAAGCCATTCAGCGCCACGCAATGTCAGCAGGAAATGCACGTCAGGCTGTTTTGGCCTCCCCGACTTGTCGGAGTGTGTGGCTCATCTGGTTGCATTTTCTGCTCTCAAACGAAATCGCAGCGGAGCCAACAAGCGCGTGCGGTGCCCACAAGAACCCCTGCTGTGTCGTGCTGCTGTGCCGCCGTCCCGCCGCTTGGGAGGGGCCGATGATACCTCTTGAACCTCTAAGAGGACAGGGGGGTGGTGGAGGGCCCGGAGCCACAAGAGATGGGAATAGGCTGTGCCCGTCGATCGCCAGGGCTAAAGGGTACCCAGGCCGAACCAAGGATCATTAGGGATGGCTTGTTCTTCCCTCATCGTCTCTCATTCCAGCATTGGCAATTCGCAGTTGGGAAACCACTTGCGACCGGCAATTCGTACGCGACACAGACCAGCCGCTAGGTATCCTTTGCGGCAGGGAGCTCGCGCATTGACAACGACATGCAGAAGCAGTCGGCGTGGGCCCACGGGCCGTCCGACCTGCCCGAGGCCGTTGACAGAGACGATATGCTGCCCGAGGTCGTCCACCCGGAACACTACCCGCATTCCGCCTACGAGCAAGACAAGCATCTCGCGCCGGGGTACTCTCCGTATGGTTATCAGGCACCGGTGGCTCCTGCGGTGGTCAACGGAGGGTCGCCGCGTCGGGGTTGGACACGGCGCACATGGATCATACTGGCCGTGATCATCGGTTTGGTGGTCGTCGGCATCGGCCTCGGCGTCGGTCTCGGCATTGGTCTCAAATCGAGTAGCGAGGACCCGGCACCGTCTGCTTCCCCCAGCGAAACCCCCGACGGCAATGGCTCCAATGGCGGATCGAGCGCCGCCGACAGCGCCGCCGCGGGTAATTTGTTTAAGGGGTCATCGCTGGCCGCCACAAATTATACCGACACCAACGGCTTCATCCATCTCTACGTGTTCTTCCAGGCGGCGAACAAGGAGCTGCTCACGTCGCAATGGGACTCGCAGAACAAGACATGGTCGACCATGTCGATCTCCAAGATCCTATCAAGCACCGGCCTCACCCTAAACCTGATCCCCGCCTCGCCCATCGCCGCCTACACCTACACCAACCCCACCTTCCAGACGCGCATCTACTTCCTCACCACGGGCAACTCCATCCGCGAGATCATCTCCTCCGAGGACCCCACCCTGGCGACCAACTGGCGGCAAGGGCAGCTGGGCAGCAACAAGCTGATCACGGCGGCGGAGGGCTCCAAGCTCGCCGCGCTGCGGCCGCACTGCGGGACGAGCCGCAACTGCCAGATCAACTACCCGTGGATGGCGATCGCGTACCAGGGCGAGGGCGGCGTGATCGCCGTCTCGCGCGCCGACGACTGGAAGCCCATGGACCTGCCCTTCGGCCCGGCCGAGCCCGGCGCCGCTATCGGCTTCTCCAGCGTCATGCGCAGGAACAACATCACCGATGTGGAGTGGAGCTTGTTCTACGACGAGGACGGCGACCTGCAGGATTTTATCTGGGAAAGGCTATTGGGGAGTGGGCCCAAAGGAATTTACATTAAAACCCAACCCAAACCCCCCCCCCCCCCCCCCCCCCCCCCTTCCCCTATGGTAGTTCCTAACCCCTCCATCACAGGCCCCTCCACCGGCTTCGCGCCCTCCCCCAGCGGCCCCAACATCGCGTCCCATTCTCGTACGATCTCGTCAACATGATGATCATCAACGTGGACCCGGACGGGGACCTCGAGGTGCGGACGTGGGACACCAAGGCGTGGAGCGGGCTGGACCCGCCCAACCTGCTCGCGGCCGAGGGGGCGCCCGACGAGCCCAAGTTCGCGGCCGTCGCGGGCACGTCGCAGCGCCGCGTGTTCGGCGTGGTGAATGGCACGGTGCACCAGTGGGAGTTCTTTGCGCTCAGTCCGCGCCAGTGGGGGTATTTGGGGACGGTCCCGACGGAGATGAAGCCGTGAGTGGGTGGCGAGGGGAAGGATGGGGGGATGGTTGATAAAAGGGAAGTTTGTTGCATTGGTGCGGATTCTGTATGTGCCACGATACCCTGATTTTTTTTTCGTGTGTTTTATTGTATTTATTACTATTCGTTGCATCATATCTACAAGAGTGTAGAATAGGGGGGCTTTATGGATTTCTAGGGGCAAAGGGAGGGGGTCGGGCATCAAAATACAGACACACACACACAACACAAACACAAAGCTTATTTGCAAAGGGAGGGAGAGGCGAGAATCGTGTGACACGACACACTTATAAAGCACTTACCTGGCTGTTGTTGGATTGCAGGCCACAACAAGGACCTGAGAGCTAAGCAATCGAGGGTATCCCGAAAGCCAAAACTCGATATTGAAACCAGCCAAGAGATATATTTCCAAAAGGAATAAGACCACAAGCCTATGTAGGAATCAAGCAACCGCCCACCCCCGAGACGCCAGCCAGACCCGAGCTCTAAACCAACAACCCCGACGAAAGCAGCGCCATAACCAGCACCACGCCCGTCGGCACCCACACAAGCCTCCCAGCCCCAGTCTCGCTAGTCCCTATAGCAGCATTGTTCCACAACATGACGGGCTTCCCTAACTGCGGCGTCTCGTCAACACTGCACACGGCACCGCACCCCTTCTGGGTCTTACCGGCGCCATCATCATCCCTCTTGATTTTGCTGGCCCCGGTGGCTTGCGCGGGGTCGGTGTTGTTGTACATGATCTCCAGCCACTGGATCTGCAGGTAGGCGGCGTCGAGCAGCGTCATGTTTCCGGTCCACTTGCCGCCGTCGCTCCAGGCGTTCAGGATGACGTTGCTCTCGTCGCGGGGCGCCTGGAAGGCGATCTGGGCCGTCATCTCGTCGTTGACGTACCAGGTGGTCAGGCCGGGGGTCCAGTCCATGCGGTGCTCGGCCCAGGCGGTCCAGTCGAGTCCGCCGGGCATGGTGGCGTTGCGAGTGGCCTCGGGTATGACCTCGCCGTCGTCGGTGTAGGCGGGTTGGTTGGTGCAGCGCATGATGTTGCGCGGGTCGGCGGTGCGGATCTCGAGGTCCGCCTCCTGCACGTCGGCCAGCGTCTTGCCGCCGCGGTACGTGAACATACCCGTGATGGCACCTGCGGCGCCCACGGTGCGCGCCCGCATCCGCAGCGAGAGGTACTTGAAGTTGGTCGACTTGGACTCGATCTCGGCGGCCGTCTGGAAGCCGCGCAGGCGCTGCGTGCGCAGGGTGAGGTAGGTCTGCGAGGACGGGTTGGGCTCCGTGTTGGCTTCGATGTAAACGTTGTTGGGCGAGTTGGACATAATTACGGCGGCGTCGCCGCGCACATTGTTGCTGTTGTTCCAGCTGCCGAGCCACCAGAAGCTGGTCCATTCTTCGCCCTTGAAGTAGTCGCTGGTCACGGGCGCGTTGGGACTGGCCTCTAAGTCCTGGACGACGGCCGGCACACCGGCATAGTCGGCGAGGCTGCGGAAATCGAAGAAGCGGTGGTTTGTGAAGTAGGTGCTTGTATCGTCGTTATTCCGGTAGCAGCCGCATTGTGAATCATCAGTCAAGGTAGGTTCTGCTATCGCCAAGGGGCCAAAAGCGGCGATGAACAACATCAGCGAGGACAAAGAGGCAGGCAGGGACGATATCTGTTTTATCAGCTCCATCGTCACCCGCTGTGCGTTGAGTACCCAAAGAATATCCGCAGGGAGATAGATATACACGGGGGCTATCAAGTCCAGGTAGGTAGGTTATAAGTCCTCAACTGGGGAACACGTGCCGAGCTGTCACTGACGCGGGACGGGAGACAACATGCGGGAAGAGCACATGAAAGCTGAGAGAGACGAAGGGGGAGATCCCGCTCTGGGGTGGATGGAATCATATACACACGGAGAAAAATGCGAGCCTGAAAGATGGGCTTCATATCCACCATTGTAACCATGCTTGGCCACTCCAAGAGTCAGCCTGGTTCAGGCGACTGCTCCTGCATTGGACTGGCCTCGACCAAGACGCGAGGACTTTTCCAGAAAAGGCTGTAGGTATTCCGGGACGTGCCATTGCATGGATGGTTTGTGTTGTGGTCTTCAGCCAGTGGCTCGAGTGAATCTATTGGTCAATGCCTTGGGGGGCACACCGGCGATCCAGACTCAGCGATGGGAACGGCGCATCAGGGCTACAGCACCAGGCGGCCCGGACCTGGTTGCTCATCCCAGCGAATCGGTGTCAGTCCGCATGCGAGTACAGCATGCCATGGAGAACGACCGACGTGCCAGGATCAGCATTTTGCCATACAAGGTGTGCGTACTTTGCAGCAGGTTGGCGGGCAGCGATATATCCGGCTAAAGAGAGGCCGGGTGGACGGCCTAAAAATGGACGAGATAAAGAGCGAGCTCGGCCAGATATTGATGGAGGCTCTCGCCGATCCTACGATGGACCCCAAATCCAGGGTAGCACTTGCTGTAAGGATGCGACGTTGGGCACCTGCGCTATCGTAGTCGTCGCAGTCGTCGTCTTAGTCCCGGGGATGCAGGTCTGAAGATGAAACGGGTGAGTATAAGAAGCGGAGGCGCTCTTGTCGATGACTTCCTGTTTCTGCCCAGGATGGACAGTTGGGCATCTGCCATCGATTGCGTATGACGCGTAAATCCGCGGCAGACCGAAGATGCCGGATGTCAGGTTGAAGGGTTATTCCACCAGACTGGGAAACACACAATGCCACATTGTGACATTACATACATACTGTGTACAACCAACTCGGAGTCTCGCCGAGACCGACCCGCTCGGGTTGCTGCAGATGACGGGCGGCTCAAAATGAAGAAGAGATCTTTGGAAGGAATACTGGTGATGGGCTTTGATTTCACGGATAAGAATTGTGGGCGGACAATGCATGGCCAGCTTCCCGTTGATAAAATTAAAAAAAAAAAAAGAAAAAGAAAGGTTGGAAAGAGGAAGAGCTTCGCTGAGAACCTAGGCAGGGAAGAAGGAAGAGCAACAGTTTAAGCTTCGGGGATTTTGGCGATCAGAACGGCAGTGCCTGGCATTCGGCAGCGGCCCGATGAGCTGCTCACTGTTCGAACCCACGCTCTAGGCTTGGCATGCAAAAACCCGATCGCTTGGCACACACGGCCCGATTGTCACATAAACCCGGTTAACGGCGGAATTCCAGTTCCCTCCCCCAAAACTGTCGCTTCTTTGCATCTCGGCTACGTGCATTCCTTTCTCCAACCTTCACAAAGCATCTCCACCCAGGTCAACGAGGCGCGAAGAGAGGATAACACCAAGTTTGGACACTTCATGAACGATTCAGTTATCAATTCTTCTATCCATCGCTCACGGCACTTGGTGCTGTCGGCATGCGATCCGTGACAATCTGAATCTAAATTTCGAACTACCTTCTCTCCCCTCCAAACTCCGAGTGGGATAGCTTCACCATGTCATCCTCTGCTACAGCCGAATCCTCGGGTCTTCCACCCGAGGCACAAGCTGAGAAGCCAAACCAGAGCCATGCGCATGAGCCAGAGCAAGCGCCAGAAACAGCCGAAGCACAGGAGACGGAATCCCCCATCGAAGCGCAAGGCTCCCCGTCCCCTTCGGATTCCCATTCCGAGGGCGAGTACTCCGGATCCGACGCCGACGAGCAGCGCGACCCGAATCCTACCAACAAGGCAACACAGCCACCACTCCCGAACGAACCTCTCTCCGACCACAACAACGCCGGGCCTCCACTCCCCAACGAGCCTCTTCCCTCTGATCCCACTGCGCCACCCCTCCCTGCGGAACCGATACCCGAGCCCGAAGACGACGGATGGGAGTTTCACTGGAACCCCAACGACCAGTCCTACTGGTTCTACAGCCGCTTCACCGGCGCATGGCAAAAGGAGAACCCACGGGTACCAGCCGCGGGCACACCTACCGCGGCCCCAACCACAACCCCAACCGCCCCCGTCCCAGCACCACCACCCACCGACAGCACCACAGCCCTCAGCAACCCGACCTCGGTCGCGGGCGGCTACAACCCCGCCATACACGGCAACTACGATGAGAACGCGTGGTACGCGCAGAACCTCCACGGCGGCGGCGCCGATCCAGCCGGCACCACCACCGCCACCACCGCGACCGGCGTGGCGGCCGGCGACGAGTACGCCTCGGCGGGCTTCTTCAACCGGCACACGGGCCAGTGGCAGACGCCGGAGCAGGGGGCGGAGCGGCACTCGGACGAGGCCAAGAGCCGGCGGCAGATGCGCGCCTTTTTTGATGTCGACGCCGCCGCCAACATGCATGATGGTCGTAGTCTTAAGGCTGAGCGCTCGGGGATCAAGCCAAGCCGGTCGGAGCTGAAAGCGTTTAAGGAGAAGAGAAGGGCGAAGAAGGAGGAGAAGAGGAGGGCGTGGTTGAGGGATTAATTTCTTTTTTGTTTTTTCGTTGGTGGGGGGTTGTTTCTTTCAGGAGGGTAATGACCTTTGGTTTCGTCGTTACTACTTACTGGCTGCGGATTTGCGCTGGTTTTTTGTGGTGGGATCGGCACGGTGAGCTGAGGTTTATTCTAACATTCGACTGGATGGGATCTTATCTACATTGGGTAAGTTCGGAAGGAAGGGTGTGAGTGATACCTGTTTCTCCTCTTGTAGGCATTTTCACGGATATGGCTGGGCTGGGCGCAATATGCATGCGCAAACAGGCAATGGCAATGGCGACGGCAGTGGTATAGGCGTTTTAGAGTTTGGGGTGGTGATTTATAAAAGATGGCAGACACAGACCAGGGCGTGGCCACGGAGCAAGTCGGTCTCAAGAGGCGACAATATCTGTAGACGGGCAAGAATTTTGCGGGGCTGCGTCGAGTCTGCAAACAATAAACATGAATAGCAAGATTTATACCCTATACATATGCCCCATACCTAAGTCTCAAGTCTAATACATCACTCGCTCATTCCTCTTCCTCCTCCTCGTCGTCCAAAGTCATGTCAATCTGAACGCTTCCCTCCGCTGTCACTCTCATCGCCACTTCTCCTCCTCATTAAGCCGGCTTCACCTTGGGGCATGGACAGCCACTTGCGCTGCTTTTGCCTTCCCCATGTCAACCCGCTTCGGTGGCTTGGCCGGTTCGACCTTCAAACAGCTCTCTCTTGCGCTTCAGCGGCGACGCTGACCGCACCGGCACCCCTTGTGTTTCCTGCGCATTGCTTTTGACCACCGCATAGGGGTTGGCACTCACCACCGCCGACGAGCTCGAAACGCTCTATTCTCGTCCCATCTATTCCGCACTCAAACCGGCTGGCTACCTTTCCTGTCCCCTTCTCCGCTTTACCCCCGTCCTTTTTCTCCTCCCCACCATCCACGGCTTCCTCCTCCTCCTCCTCCTCCTCCTCATCCTTTCCCTCCTTCATTTCTTCACCCCCTTTACCACTACAACCCCAACCACGAACACCCCGCCCCACCACCCTCACCAAATTACTCCTCACCACCTCCACCGCCTGATCCCGCGGAAACCGCCTCACCAAAAACGGCAGCACGCTCGCGTAGTACCGCCCGCGGCTGTCGCGGGAACGGGTGCAGGCAGCTGGCCAGCATGGCGTCGCGGCTGTGCGAGGAGGATCGCCGTGCGGTCCCAGCAGCCCGCGCAGGTCGGGCGCGAGGTTCCGTTGTGGGAGGTGGGAGAGGAAGAGCGGGAGGAGGGCGGTGGCGGCGGTGAGGTGCGGGTAGTGGTGGTGGTGGTGGGCTGTGGGGGCGGAGGTGGCGAGGTAGGCGTCGGCGTTGGTGAGGGTGGAGGTGGTGGAGTTGGGGTTGGGTTTTTGGGGTTTTGTGGCGGTGGCGGCGGGGGTGGTGGTGGTAGGGTTGGGGTCGAGGTGGCTGGTTGAGAGGAGGATGTCGTGGCAGGTGGATTGGATTAGTGGCGCGAGGGAGTCGACGGTGAGTTTGGGGAGAGTTGGGCCCGAGAGGAGAAGGAGTTGGTTGGTGAGCGTGTAGGCGGTCTCGCGCATGGTGGGGATGTGCCGGCTCGCGGTGGAGACGCGGACCATCTGGTCGAGGATGTCGGTGACAAGGGGGACGGCGTTCTCGTGCAGACGGCGGACGAGGGCGTGGTGCAGGCGGAGGACGGCGATGTGGATGTCTGGCAGGGCACTCCACAGCTCGGCCTTCTCGTCCCTCCCGATGGCGGGGTTTGTTTCGATTGAATCCTCGGAGCCAGAGGGAGGCGTCACGAGTGTTATCCTTGCGGTCAAGTCAAGAATTTCCCCAAGCGGGACGGTAACGGGGGCCTTGGTCGGGTTGTTGAAGTACTCGGCGAGGAACTCGAGCAAGCCAATGAGTCTCTCGGCGCCAGCCTGTACGCCACTCCAAGATGGCAAGTTCTCCTCTGAATCACCTCCTGAAGGCTCGGGGCCAGGGCGAACTGCCTGACTTCTATACCCAGTAGCTGACTCCCAAGACTCGACCACAGCACGGAAGATCTGGTCAACCGTGCCATGGGAGTCCAGGATTGTTGACCGAATAGCCTTCACCCACTCCTCGCTGCTGCCATTCTTGGGCGCAGTGTATGACAAGAGGACAAACAATCGGCGGGAGGCCTCCCTCAAGCTCTGAGGAACAACAACATCATCAAACGAAGTCGGGGCAATATAGGCCCTGAGAGCGGCCTTCATTTGGGGGGCGGACGGCCGCAAGGTAGTTGGGTAGAGCACCACAAGCTTGGACAAGGAACAGGCGACAGTGTCAATGAAGGATGTCGGAACCTTCGGAGGCCTACCCGAGGTAGGGGCCTTGATGAGTTGCAGGCAGGCTGTCACGTAGCTTGGGAGTGTCGGGGTGACCATCTCTCGAACCAGAGTCTGGTAGCCCTGGAGCAGCACGTAGATCTTGGTCAAAGTGACGATGCATAGCTCTTTTGAGGCCAAGGGGTCAGGTTTCTGGGGATTGTTAGTCTCTTTCGTTCCCAGACCCGGATTGGTGATTTCACAAACCTGCAGCACCCCGATCAAGCCCCTAAGCCAGGCGTCTGATGCCCGGAGGCTTTCCCAACCTCCCACGTCGATGACGGCCTTAACTAGACACACAGCAGCGAAGCGGCCTGCAGGACTCTTGCCGGTCAAGAGGGTTGTGATGTGCGTCTTGAGCTTGTGAACTAGCATTGGCGTCTCTGACGACTTGTCCTTGGCCTTATTTGCATCCTGGGCCGCAGACAATGGCCCGCCGCAACGAAGCACATGGTTGACTAGCAACGGACAGAGGCGCGGGAGGTCATCGACGGGCGTTGAAGCCAACCTACGGCAGAGGACCTTCAGATCGGGCGGCGCAGCCATGTCGAAGAGTGTTGGTCTGCCTGGTTTGGCGACTTTGAAAAAGACAAAGGTTGGATGTTGAAGAAATCGTCGGCTTATCGTTTGAAATTTAAGATTATCGATACAGAAGTTCAACCAGAACTTTGAAATCTTGACTTGGGAAGATGAACACTGATGGGTGTATGTACTCTGATGACCCAAAGTACCAAAGATTAGATTAAAGATGCGCTCCAAAAGAGCCACGATCGCAACCAACAATTCTTCTTACAACACCTTCAAACATGAAATCGTCTAGGTTCCTCTTAAGATTTTTTGTGGTGTTGAAGCTCACCCCTGTAAGTATCGAGTACCAAGACTGGCCAATCCCAATCTGCTGTTGGCGGTTGCATGTGCCAAGTGGGGGCCGCGCAGGGGACTGCCCAAGATCTCAATCAAGCCCCATAAGCTTTTTATCTGGCCCTGGTATTAGCGCCTGTCCATCATCGATCCGCCATAATCCCCTGACGAGCACCCACCGCCTCGAAATCCCAAGCAACATTTGCTAAACATACAACCATAATACTCGCAAGGACTTTTTCCGTCCGCATGCCTTGTGGAATCAAGTCATCGTAGTGCGAGTTGGCTTTCCAACCAGGCAACATGGTAATTTCCACCGCCTGTTACCGTTTCGAGTCCCCCAAGTAAGGCCCGCCGCTGACGGAACCGCCCCATCTACCTATAGCCCGACGCAGTCAAGGCCGCGCATTACATCCAACAGCTCGACGATGCCCGTTGCGACGAGAATTGGGATGCCGTTCCTGAGTTAATCCGCAAAGTGCGGAAGCACGCCCCGGACCGGTCCTGTACGTCTCTCCCCATCAACCCCCACCCCTCTCCCCAACTCCGAACTGAACCCCCCCTCCCCCTGGCTAGGCCTCACCCTGACCGCCGAAATCGAACACGCCATCGCCAAAGCGAACCTCAAGCCGACCCCCACCGCCCGAGCCACCTCCGCCGACAGCACCGCCCGCTCGTCTACAGGCTCGACCACACCCGCCGGCCTCGAAGCAGCAAACCACCTCCCCTCCCTCCTCACCGCGATCGACGCCGAGTCCCACCGGCCCGAGGACCGTTTCCAAGCCCGCGTCTGCGCAGGCTGGCTGCTCTGGGTACTACGCGAATACCCCGCCGCACTCGCCCGCCTACCACGCACGCTCCTCGAAACCGAACCCTCTCCCGAAGAAGGCGGCGGCGGCGACAACAACACCACCAACGACAGCGGCCTCCCCGGCAGCCCATCCGAATGGACCAAAGTATGCGGTCTCAAAGCGGCCTATCTCCGCGCCAACTGCCTCGCGCGGGACGGGCAGCGCGAGGGGGCGCTGGACGCCTTCGAGGCGGCGCTGCCCGCGCTGGCGGCCGTGTGGGCGGCGGGGCCGGCCGACGCGCGCCAGCAGACGCGCTACTGGGCCGAGCTCTTCCTGACCGAGTACTGCATGCTCGCCGCGCAGGCCCTGCGCGAGGGCGTGCGCTCGCTGCACGGGCCCGATTCGTTGGGCTGTTTTCGCACCTGGGCGCGCTACTGGTCGGCGGTGGGGAAGGGCGGGCCGCCCGCGCCCGGGGGTTATGGCTTTCGCGGGTCGGTGCCGCGGCGCAAGGTGTGGGGGGAGTATTATTTTGCCGTGTCGGAGGTTTTGCAGGGGGATTTGCCGTTCCCGACGGGATATTCGACTGTGGTGAGCGGTGGGGAGAATTCGGCACGGGGCCGGCTGCGGGCGGAGCTGAAGCAGGTGGAGGCGGCGTATCAGGGGCTGTTGTACGGCGAGACGAAGTTCCCTAGGGCGGACGAGGAGCGGCAAGAGGTGGAGGAGTTTGTGCGGCGGATGATGCAGAACTGGGAGATCCTCAATGGGCGGGGGTGGAAGGAGCATGAGTTGGGTGCTGGCGGGAGGGAGGGGCTATGTCGGGACACGTTGGAGAGCCTGTATGGCGCCGCGGCGAAGACGTACCACTCGACGGCGGTCTTGAGGCACCTGTTTACCGTACACCTCGCCGTGGCCGAGTTCGACCTGGCTTTCATGGCGTTCGACTCGTGGCTTGAGCTGGTCAAGAAGGGCAAGGCGCGGGTGGAAAAGACGGGCCACCGTGAGCCTGCCCTGGATAGCAACGCGACCGTGTTGGAAACTATCTCGACTGGCATCGCGGCTCTGTGCCGGTTCGGTAGTCGGGAGGCCGCGGAAAAGGCACACAAGCTGGGAGAGGAGCTCGAAGACTTGGTCGAGGGAGAGGAACGCCGTGATTCGGATACGACCAATCCAGACGACGAAGTTCCGCCGAATATTCTGGCCGTGGCGTGGCAGTCGGTTGGCCTGGCGCAGGCCGAGTGGGCGCGGATGACGTGCGACCCCGAGTCTCGCTCCACGGTCCAGGAAAAGGCGATGCAGTGCCTGGGGAGGTCATTGTCGCCCCGTTTCGGCCAAGCCGTCGACGCCCGGGGCGTGTTTGCTCTGGGCGTGCTATTCGCCGAGCAGCGCAAGCTGTCGGCCTCCATTGAGCTGGTCAAGACGGCGCTTCTTACCGAGAAGTCTCTCAGCACAAGTCAGGAGCTGCGTCTAGGGCCATATTGGCGGGAACGGTCGCTGATCCCCCTCTGGCATCTTCTGGCGCTCATGCTTAGTGCCCGGCAGGAGTATGTCATGGCTGCCAGGGCCTGCGAGGGCGCTATCGAGCAGTTCAAGGATCCGCACGTGTTGTTTGGGAGCAGACACCTGGACGGTGGCGTCCGGAGCGAGCATCTTAAGGAGGCCGGGATCAAGGACAAATCGGGCGATGGCCTCGTGGACGAGATGGACGACTACGAAAAGGAGAGCATTCTGCAGATTAAGATGACGCAGCTTGCCATCCTGGAGGTGATTGAAGGCCCTGCTGTCGCCGTCAACGCTAGCACGGAGCTGCTCACTCTATTCCCACGGCTATTTGGCGACCTGGAACAAAAGGTTGAACTCTCCAAAGCCGAGCCGCCCAAGACATCTGCCACACTACGCAGCTTCAGAGGTAGTGTCTTCGGCGGCAAGCACGAAAAGGCCCAACCGAGGCAAAGCGTCGTGAACAACAACGAGAAAGTAGCGACGGTACAGCCCCGGCCGCAGACCACACAAACAACCCAAAGCGCCGCAACCACAGTCCAATCATCCAGCGACGCAGCCGACCCGTACTCAAGCCGGAGATCGACTAAGTCGGCCAAGTCGGATGACATCAAGCGCACCCGCAACAGCTTGCGCAAACGCGATCGCAGCGGCAGTCGGGCTCGCGCACTCAGCACGGGGGGTCCGCCAGTGCCCCCGATCGACGGCGACAAATATTTTGCCGCTTTCGACGAGCGGGGCCTGCCCAACTACTTCCCCCCTAAGCAAACAGTGGAACCCCCCAGGGAAGCCTCTGGTAGGTCCTCATCCCGTTCGAGGACAGAGGCGGCGGCCGGACAGGTGACTCCGGCCTTCTCGCCGCTGCTGCCGTTCGTCCAGTTCTCGCCCGACCATAGCCGGCGACGGAGGAAGGCGATCCTAGTGAAGGTGTGGTTGGTAATCGCAGGGTTCTATCGCCGCGCTGGACTGCTCGATGACGCGAGCAAAGCGGCTGCTGAGGCGCAGAGTGCTGCGCAGGGCCTCGAGGCGGACGTGGTGAACGAGGCCTCGGTGGCGTTGTCGGTGCGGCAGGTTGGCTGGGGGATGGAGAAGAGCGCCGAGGAGGTCCTCGCGGATGTTTGGGCTGAGGTAAGTGCTACGAAATGAATATGCTGCCCAAGGGCCGACGCTAACTACGCACAGAAAGGGGAGCTCTCCCTTGCCCGCGAGCGGCCATACCAGGCGCGCGCCGACTTTGAGACGGCGCTGACGCACTTCCCCGATCACCCCGGTGCCATTGTCGGGCTCTCTAACATTCTCTTGGATATCTACACAGAAAAGCTGCTCCCGCCGCCAGCCGTGCCGGGGCTGGACCTCGGCAAGCTGTCTCTCGGTGGCGACAGTATCTTTACCTCCACGCCCGACACAAACAATTATCTCGCAACCCGCAGCAAAGAGACACAGACAACCCCCGCGCTACCATCCGCGCCCCTCGGCCTAGGACCAACGCGGCCCAAGCCCAAGCCCCAACCCGCCGAGGTCCTCGTCAACGGCCGCCCCATATCCCCCCCAGGCGCGGCGGCGGCCCCATCACCATCGTCATCGCTCCTCGGCGCGCCGCTGCCGCCGCCGCACAAGGCGACGTCGCTGCCGCTCAACGACCGGCTGGCGGCGCGCGACCGCGCCTACGGCCTGCTCTCGGCCCTGACCAAGCTGGGCAGCGGGTGGGGCTGCTCCGAGGCGTGGTTTGCGCTGGCGCGCGCGTACGAGGAGAGCGGCCAGCTGGACAAGGCGCGGAATGCGCTGTGGTGGACCGTGGAGCTGGAGGATGGGCGCGGGGTGCTGGGGTGGGAGGTGGTGGGGAGTGGGTATGTGTTGTAGGTGTAAGGGGTCGTCTCTCTGCCTTGTTGTAGGTGATGGATATGTTTTGGTTGTGTGGGGGTGGTGGTGGTTGTGTTGGTTAGGGGAGATATAGTAATGATAGATTTGGGAGAGTGAGGTGGGAATATAGACTTGTAATGAGCGATTCGGGTTTCGTGTTCGGAGTGTTGCGAGTTGTGTTGTCTCAGGGGCATGCCGTCTCCTTGATTCGGCGAATAATACCCAGCATATAAAAATGCCGATTTGATGCCCCACCTCTTGAACTTTGCCACTCCCTTGGGTCTCAACTCTCAGCTCTCAACTTCACAACCCCCGACTTTCATAACCAGACAACCTAAGCGAACGCAGTCCACCCAACTGAACACTCACTACCCACCAAACCAAGTCTACAAGACAAACCACCCACCATGGCAGCAACAACAACAGCCACCACCACCCTCCCCGAACTCACCCTCATCGTCGCGGCCACGCAGCAAATGGGCATCGGCCGCAACGGCGCCCTCCCCTGGACCGGCCTGCGCCGGGAAATGGCCTACTTTGCGCGCGTCACCAAGCGCGTGCCCTCTACTACTACCACCACCACCACCACCACCCCTACTACTACTACCACCCCCCCACCAACCGTATCCACACCCACGCCCACACCCACGCCGACAACAACGCAGGGCACAACCCAACCCCAACATCAACCCCAACCCCAGACCGAAATCCAAAACGCCGTCGTCATGGGCCGCCGCACATGGGAGAGCATTCCCCCCTCGCTTCCGCCCGCTGCCGGGGCGGCGCAACGTGGTGGTCTCGCGCTCGCTGCCGAGCGTGCCACCGCCGGCGGAGGGGGTGCTAGTTGTACGGGGGCTGGAGGAGGCTTTGCGGGCTGTTTCTTCTTCTTCTGTTTTCTTCTGGGGGTTGGTTCTGCTTCTGGTGCGGGGGGTGATGGGGGGGGTTGGGGCTGTGGCTGCGTCGGGGAAGGTGTTTGTCATCGGCGGGGCGCAGATCTATCGCGCGGCGTTGGAGATGCGGGAGGCGAGGCGGGTGTTGCTGACGAGGGTGCGCACGGCGTTTGAGTGTGATACCTTTTTCCCACTGTGTCTGCCCGAGTCCGGGGTGGCGGAGAAGGGGTGGCGGCGGAGCGGGCAGGCGGAGATGGATGCGTGGTTGGGGGAGGAGGTGCCGAGGGGCGTGCAGGAGGAGGCGGGCACTGAGTATGAATTTGAGATGTGGGAGAGGGTGGATTAAGTACGGCTGTTGGCCGGCCCGTTGGCTGGAGTGTATATTGTTATGTGTTACAAGTGGTGGTTTTCTCTTTTTGTTTACAGTGTTATACATGTGTGTACATGCCTTGTCACGACGAGGTAATTCCCGCCTGCGCAAACGCCGTTCTCATCGACGCCGTCGGCACATCGACGACCGCAGACTGCGTCCTCAACTCTGGGAGCACCTTGACCGCCGAGGCTATGTCCTCGTCCGGCAGCTCCCCCAACTCCCTCAACCCGGACCGCATCCAGGCGACCACGGCGGCCAGCGCCCGGGCATCCACGTCCTCCCGCGCCTTGAACAGGTTCCGCCATACGGCCGAGGCGAGCACGGCGTCGCCCTTGACGATCCCCTCGTCGCAGGCTAGGATCAGGCCGCGCCACTGGACGAACAGGTCCTTGAGGTAGGCCTGGCGGATCATGCGCGAGGTCAGCTCGTGCACGTCCTCCATCTTGGCCTCGGCCTGGTAGAAGAAATGGTTGACCAGCTGCGACTGCCAGGCCTGCTGGGCGGCCGGTTCGAGGCAGCGGAAGCGGACGACGAGCAGGTACATGTGCAGCATGGTGACCTGGGCCCAGGTACTGAAGGTGGGGAGGAGGTCGAGGTCTGCGGGGAAGCAAGTTAGCTAAGCCAGCCTGCCAGTCTTGTGTCGGGGAGAAAGAAAGCCGTACCGTTATGCCACGTCCCGGCTTTGCTTGTGCCAATTTCCTCGCCCTCCTCGGTGGTTTTTAGTGTCCCCGCCTTGCGGTCTGCGGCCTCAATGGTGTAGTCGGCCTGGGCGGCGCAGGCCTTGTATAGCGCCTCAGTCGCCCCGTAGATGAAGTAGTTGCTCTTCCCCGCCGACAAGCTCTCCCGGACGCGGTTGAACAGCATTTCCTTCAAGTTGAACTTTTGTTGGGGTGATGTCGTGTGGAAAGCTCGCCGTGCCGTTCGGCTGGGTGTGTTGGGTATTGTTGCGAACGGGAGGGTGGGGGCAGAGGAAGTGGTGGAGAGGGCACATCGTGATGATGCTGGTAATAGGGTGGCGTCGAGGAAATTCTGGCGGGAGGGTACTGTTATACTCTTGGGGAGCCGGCCGAGGCCCGCGCTGCAACCGCGGCAAGCCATTGTCTGGAGTTGTAGAGTTGTAGAGGGAGGGACCAAGTTGGCGCACAGAGTTCGAAGCTTGTCGCGATTCGGCCTTCCACCCAAAAAATGTCGGTTCGAATGTTCAACGATAGGGGTTAGGGTTGCGTATGCCCACGGAGGCATCACCATGCCACCAACCTATCCTAACGGACAAGGCAGATGAATATGTGAAGATGCAATGCCTTACGAGTTTCTATTTCTCAATTGGGACGTTAAGAGCATTTTGGCGTGAATAGCTCAAATTCATCCTACCCACCACCTTGTGATATAGCCACCCATATCATTTTCTCCATCCCTTGTTGTGTACAACAATATACTTACACTAATTTACAGGGACGTATGCTCCGTGCCTAGTCTAGTTCAGAGAAAACGAGCGAAGCGTTGGTGCCACCGAAACCAAAACTGTTGGAAACTGCCACCTTGACCTTCTTCTGTTGCGCCTCGTGGGGCACAAAGTTGAATTGTGCGCCGACGTCCGGCTTGGATAAGTTTAACGTAGGGGGGACGACGTTCTGGTAGTTCTTAGTCAACACTCACGCAAGGCCCAAGAAATTCGGTTGTACTCACATCAGTGATGGCGAGAATCGAGAACACGGCTTCGACAGCGCCGGCTGCGCCCAACAAATGGCCGATGGCCCCCTTTGTGCTGCTCGTCGTGATCTTGCTCTCGTCCTCCACACCCTCTTCGCCCATCATCAGCGTCCGGATGGCCATCGCCTCAGCAGTATCGCCGACCAACGTGCCGGTGGCGTGAGCGTTGATGTAGTCCACCTGCCCAGGTTTGACCCCGGCGTTCTTCAGCGCTTTCTTCATGGCCGACAGCGCCCCCGACCCATCTTCTCTCGGGGCCGTCATGTGATATGCATCGCCGCTGCACCCGTATCCCTTCAACTCTGCCAGAATCCTGGCGCCCCTCCTCTTCGCATGTTCCAGCTCTTCTAATACCACCACAGCGGCCCCTTCGGCCACCACAAACCCGGCGCGGTCCGCATCAAACGGCCGACAGCTCGCCGGTGGATCGTGGTTAAACGCGATAGACAACGACCTCGAGCGCCCAAAGCCGGCAAACGTAAGCGGGTGAATGCACGACTCGGCGCCGCCCGGCGACCATAACATCCGCATCGGCCAAAAGCAAATAAACCGCGCCCGCATCCTCCAATCGAGTGGGGCGGCCCCGTGGTACACGCCGTGGTGGCGGCATGATTCGGCCCGCGCAGGCCATAGCGCATGGCAATATGCCCCGCGGCGAGGTTGATCAAGATTTTGGGCACAAACAGCGGCGAGACCTTCTTGTAGCCCTAATCCACCCGGGTCGGGGGACACACCAGCCCACCAGTCTCAGCAAACAAACCCTACAACACACCTTTCCACATCTCACCCACACAGAGGAAGAGGAAAAGAAAGAAAATAAAGAGGCCAGCCTACCCCTCGATCAAAAGCGACACTGGTCGCATAAAAGTCGTCCAGGTTCCCAATACCACTGCCCAGACACACGCCCGTCATCTCGCGGTCGGCGTCGCGGTCGGGCCGCCAGCCGGCGTCGCGCAGGGCCATCTCGGCGGCGGCGGCGGCGTACTGCGCGAAGGTGGACATGCGGCGCTGGTCCGCGGCGTCGAGCCAGTCCGCGGCGCGCCAGAGGCCGTCGTGGTCATCGCCACCGCCACCACCCGCCCCGTCCGCCCTAGAGGAGAGGGTTGGAGTTGGAGTTGGAGTTGGAGTTGGGTTGGAGGGCACGGGCACGGGCACGATACCGGCGACGGTGCTGGTTAGGCTGCGCCACTGGGCCTGTTCCGCGGCGTCCCGGCCGCGGTCGGCGACGCTGACGATCCCAGACTCGGAGGCCAGCAGCCGCTGCCAGGTGCGCCGCACCCCCACGCCGAGGGGTGTGATGGCGCCGAGGCCGGTCACGACGACGCGCCGCATGCTGCTGGGGGCATTTCTTGGGGGGTGGTGTTTGGTTGAGGTGGAGTGTGGCGTTGGGAGGAGTCGAGGTAATCTGCCCTTGTTGTGTTGAACCGGGAAACTGTGATAACTTGATAACGAGAAGAGAAACTGAAACTGTAAGGTGAAATCGATGATGCATCTCAAAATCACAAAGCTCCTTGCAGCTTTCCATCGATCTTGAGCACCTAGCTTTATTGGGCTTAGCGGCTGCGGGAGCTGCCCAACCCTGTCCGAAACAGACCTGGCGGACCCCTGTGGAAGCTGGCGACTTGCTTTGTCCGGGGGGCCACTTGGCCGGAAACCGATCTGAATAAGACAACAACAAAACATGCGATGACAACTTAAGATACACCAAATAGTTATTTTCCTCAAAAATCTCCCAGATCGTCTGATTTGACGGGCTCGGATTTGAAATCCCGCCAATTCGTCTCCAAAGAGACACCTTGGGTCAACTTCTGGTCTGGGTCTCACTTTCGGGAGGGGTTACGTCCAGTCCACTTCAACTCACTTTGAGATCATCTTGATTTCGTGTTGTTGAGCTGCCGTCCACCAAACCTTAAATTAGGTAGTAGGTTTTTGGCGAGTACGTGGCCCGGACGTCTTGAGTGCTTCCCCTCGAGTGCGGCAACCCAATTCAGCCCAGCATCTTGCCCAGCAATCGAAACAACACACACACATCTAGCTCACAATGCACTAAACCCGCATTCTGTGTTTCGTCTTGAGTTATATGAGATTCCCAGCCTCAATCTCATGTTGATACTCGGATAGCATGGCCAAACCCTCGGGCTCAGCATCCTCCTCGGATGTATCTCTCCGCCCTCACCCATCATCGAACCGCCGGGACGGAAACTCCAAGCCCGAATCCACATCCCCAGCCTCAGGACTCGAGTCTAGCAGCGCAGGGCCCTCCCGGCCCCAACCCGGACCTCAAACCCCCTCCCTCGAATCCCCCCTCAGCCACCTCAAAGCCCGCCTCGTCCGCCTCCGCCCCGGCCACTCAGCCGACGGCAACAACACCCACTCCGACTCCGACTCCGACTCCGAAAACGAGCTCCTGCTCGACCCCAACCTGCCCGCCGACTACTCCCAACGCCACCAACCCCTCCCGCACCACGACGGCATCCCCCTCACCAAACTCCCCTCCCTCGACACCGACATCGACTCCGACTCCGACTCGGACCGCGCCCCCCTCGTAGCCGGCCACGACGCCACCTCCTCCTCCACCTTAGGAGAAGACGACGATGATGACGGGGAAGATGGGCAAGAGCGTGAGGAGATGGAGGACTCGCCGTACCCGGAGGTGCGCGCCGCCGTCCACCCCTACGACGACCCCTCGCTGCCCTGCAACACGGTGCGTGCCTGGGCCATCGGGCTGAGCTTGATCTTTCTGGGCGCGAGTATGAATACGCTGTTTTCGCTGAGGTCGCCGAATATTAGCTTGGGGGCTTTGATTGCGCAGGTTATTGCTTGGTGCGTTCTTTTTTTCCTTTCGCTTCTTTTTTCTTTTCTTACTTTTTTCTTTTTTTGGCGAGGGGGGGCGAGGGGGTTGGTTGTGGTTTGTGGTTTGTAGTTGGCTCTGCCAGGAACCTATATAAGGGGGAATTGTAAAGCTAACTGCTTGACTCCAGGCCTCTGGGAAGGGGATGGGCAAGGTTTGTTCCCGACAAGGAGGTAACCCTGCCAATGTTGTGGCTCGGAAAGGGGGTGGGAAGGGGGGCCGGGGTGAAGAAAGTACGACTAAAGCTAAACCCCGGGCCCTTCAACGTCAAGGAGCATGCCATCATCGTCGTCATGGCGAGTGTCTCCTTCTCCGTCGCGTACGCGACCGATATCATCCTCGCCCAGAAGGTGTTTTATAAGCAGGACTTTGGCCTTCTGTGGCAGCTGCTTCTGGTTGTGTCGACTCAGAGTCTGGGCTACGGCATCGCCGGCATGATGAGACGGTTCTTGGGTGAGTTCGCTTTTACATTTGCTTGCTCCTTGCCTAGAAGAAGTACTGACAACACAGTGTATCCCGCCGCCATGATTTGGCCCGGCAACCTGGTGTCCGTGACCCTCATGAACGCCATGTATGAGAGCAGCGAGGACCGGGATCCGACTGTCATTGGCGGATCTATGCCGCGGTACAGGTGGTTCGGCCTGATCACCGTCGGCGCCTTTGTCTACTACTTCATCCCTGGGTTTCTGGCCCAGTTTCTGAGCTCGTTCGCCTTTATGACTTGGCTGGCACCTAACAGCCCGGTTATCAACCAGCTGTTCGGTTCCAACACCGGCTTGTCGCTGTTGCCGATTACTTTTGACTGGACCCAGATTTCGGGCTTTGTATCGGCTCACCCCTGATCCCGCCATGGTAAGCGCAGACCAGGTTTAGCAAGTATGGACTCGGGGGTTAACAGGTAGCACAGGCACGCCATCGCCAACACAATGGTCGGCGTGGTCTTCTTCTTCGTCCTCCTCGCGTCTGCCCTTCATTACAGTGGCACATGGTACTCCCAGTACCTGCCCATGAGTGACTCGAACACGTATGACAACACAGGGAAGCAGTATGATGTGTCTCGTATTCTCTCCGCCGACTACACCCTGGACGTCGAGGCATACAACAACTACTCGCCTCTCTTTTTGAGGTAAGCCCCTGTTTTGTCCTTCCAAGACCCCGCTGACAGACCAGCACGACGTTTGCCATCTCTTACGGCCTTTCCTTTGCCGCCATCGCCTCTCTGGTTGTGTACACCTACTTGCACCACGGCAAGACCATCTGGCGCCAGTATAAGAGCAGCACAACGGAGAAGCCCGATATCCACATGAAGCTGATGAGGCGATACAAGGAAGCACCAACTTGGTGGTACATGTCGCTTTTCACTGTGGTGGGCTACACCCTTCCAATCCTGTAGTCCCGTGTTCGCTCACACGCGCTAGATGCTCTTCATTGGATTCGTGACTGTGCTCGCCTGGCCAACAAACATGACTTGGTGGGCTTTCTTGCTCGCCGTGTTCATCTCCTTCGTCTTCTCCCTCCCGATCGGCATCATCCAGGCGGTTACCAACAATCAGATTGGCCTGAACGTGCTCACCGAATTCATCTATGGGTACATCCAGCCGGGCCGACCGCTGGCGCTCATGATGTAACTTTCTCTCCCCTGTGGTACTCTAGAAGCGCTGATCTAACGACTTTAGCTTCAAAACCTTTGGTTACATCACCATGTCACAAGCCCTGACCTTTGTCTCGGACCTCAAATTCGGGCACTACATGAAGATCCCGCCGCGCACCATGTTCATGGCTCAGGTCGTCGCTACCACCTTCTCCTGTTTTGTGCAGGTTGTCGTGCTCAACTACGCGCTCAAGAACATCCCCGGCGTGTGCGAGCCCACTCAGCCGGACCACTTTACTTGCCCCGGCGGCCGTGTTTTCTTTTCCGGTAATACTTTATTTTCTACACCCCTCTCCTTCCTCCCCCTGTTGTCCTTGGCCTAACTAAGACGCATCCGTGCCCAGCCTCGGTGATATGGGGCCTCATCGGCCCGGCCCGCATCTTCTCTCCGGGCCAGATCTACTCTTCCCTGTTCCTCTTCTTCATCCTCGGCGCCGTGACCCCCCTCGTAATCTACCTCCTGGCTAGGCGCCGGCCCAAGTCCTTCCTACGCTACCTCATGGCCCCCGTCATCTTCGGGGGTGCCGGTGCCATCCCCCCCGCCACCCCGCTCAACTACCTGTCCTGGGGCATCGTCGGTTTCGTGTTCCAGTTCCTCATCAAGAAACGCCACTTTGCCTGGTGGAGCCGCCTCAACTTCCTGACCAGCTCGGGTCTGGATCTGGGCTTGGCTCTGAGCACCCTGGTGATCTTCTTTGCATTCACGCTTAGGGAGGTGGAGCCGCCGCAGTGGTGGGGAAATGAGGTGGTCAAGAGCACTATGGATTATAGGGGCGATGCGGTCCAGGTAGTGCTGGGGGCTGGGGAGACCTTTGGGCCGGCTTCGTGGGGGTAGCGGGGATAGCTGGACGGGTATAAGAATAGGGGCAGTCTATGAGAATTCCGTAGCAGGGTTGGCGATGGTATGGTACGGTCAAGAGGTTCCCCTCTTACCACCATGCCAACAACCCGTTCGCATATACCTACTACGAGTACCACACCAATCTCTGTAGAGGAGGGCAGCAATAACCCGATGCCGTCTACCAAAGCACCACACATCCGCACGTATGCACGCACGCAGGCATAGTCCGACGTCTAGGCCGTCCTTCTCGCCTACGTTGCCTACGCTGTGCTACACTACCACCGGCAGCCGGGATGCAACCCACATCATCCAGGTCCCGAGCCGACGGCGCAATGATGTTGTGGGTGGGTGTTCATGCACACCACCATCTCTGCCGTCGCACTCGTGTGACTCGATCCCGTTTCCGAGACAGATCCCAACAAATCTTGACGACACCCAACTTCATGACCCCCTGAGAGTATGTACCACACACACACACCACACACACACACCACACACGCACACACGCACACACGCACGCACCACAACGAGTTACAGCACACACCACTACCACCCATCGGCCTAATCATACGGCGCGATCGCCGTCTCACCGAGCCCGGAAAGCGGTGAAACAGACCAAAGAAGTAAAAAAAGCCAAGTGACGAAGGGCAAACCCCGTCTCATCGCTCTGATTGGCCGTCCCCAGTGAAACACACCTCCGAGGAGCGAGGAGAGAAACGAACGAGACCGGGACTTTTGTCCATCCATCCACACACGGCGGGCAAAATACACAGTACACACATAGTAGGTGGGCAAAAACGGGCGGGGCAGGGATGTCGCCAGCTTTTATCTCACCGAAAGTACCCCAGGCACCACCACCCCTCCCCCGACTGCCGCTCACCTCCCAAAGACGGACTCTTCTTCCTCTCCGGGGCACCGATCGCCTTGGTATTCCACCCTCAACTAGTTAATCCTCCGAGTCAGGCCGGCCTCGCGTTATACAGATGTGCACGCGGTCAGGGTAAGTCAGTCAGTCAATCTCCTGCTGGGTACCGAAGTAGTGGTGATGGATACGCCGGGTTTGTATTGCTATCCCGGTAAAAAAAAAAAAAAATGAAGACAACGCAGTGAAGTCAAAGCTCAAGTCCGTCCGTCGACTAGTTTTGTTAGTTAGTCAGGTCCGCCACATGACTTTTTCTTTTTTTTCTTTTTTCCCCTTCCCCTTGCGTGCCTCCTGTCCCATGTGACCAACCCCCGACTGCCAACCGGCCCAGGCCTAGCCTAGCCTGACCACAAACTCTCTTTCTGCAAGCGAGCGATCGCGCCGTTGCAGGCCCAGCTTGCACCAAAGGCACAAACCTGCCGAATCGGGAAACCTGCAAAACCCATCACATTCCCGCGTGCTTTTGTCGATTGCCGAACCCACGCCTCACACACAAGCACTCACGCCATGCACACCAGCTCCCCCTGCCCGGGTCGATGCTGACCGCCAGATTTCGTAGCCCAGTTTCACTCCTTCTGGAACAAGTGGGGAAGTGCTTGACGCCAAGCGGGGGAGTGTCCGGCCTATCGGATGCCCGTCCGGGGGACTCGGAGCCTGCCGGCGCCCTCGCTTACACCGGCTAAGCCGGAGGTTCGTCCGATGAAAAACGGATTCGACCCGGCTGACTGGGACCGGCTTCGTGGGAGCAGCCCACAGGGTCGGGAGGAAGAAGAATGAGCGGTATGCGCTGACTGATGGATTGGTCGTTTTTTTTTCCCTTCTCCTCACTTATCTCCGGGTTCGGGGCGTCGTTTGGTGGCTTGCAGGGTTCCTGCCTTCGTCGATGCAGGTCGAATTTCGAGCCAATGGTCAGGTGAGTCGTTGTCGGGTACACGAGCCTTTGCTGTCCCCCTTTTATGAGAAAAGATAAGGCTCTTCGAGTGTCGCCGCCCGTTGTGAGGAAGCTCCTCATCCTCCGTATTTCGCCCAGAGAGCTACCATTCCACCGTCCCGGGAAGCTGGGTCCCTAGTTCATCCCCCTCACGCAACGCCGCTAGAACAACCGGCATGAACTAGGGATCCACAAGACCGCCCTACCGGATTCTTCCACTCTTCTAGAAAATGATCGGCCAGTAAGCGACGCGCCACGATTGCAGATTACCCATGAGATGCTGCAGGCGGTCAGCGGGTGCTCACGTCGCGCTAGCCAGGGGTTCTTACATCCTTCCCTCTATTTCTCTGATGCATTGCCTATTCGTCGACTGGATCCTCGGACAGGGTTGCGACTCGCTGCTCATGGATTAAAGAAAACTCTGGATCGTACCATCAACTGTGCTCTTGGACTTCTTCGTGCCCCGGAGAATGCGCCGAGATACACTCATTCGCCGCCGAGACCAGGGTCTTGTTTGATGCCACGACGCAAGGGTTGCCAGTCTGACTAACCGCATAAATCGTTTCTAGACGGCGGCTGTCCGTTGTTCGGGCGGAACCAACGGAGTTGTGCATGACTTTGTGTGTCCGGCTGGGGGCTTGGAACGCTCGAAGAAGTTAACAGAGAACGGGCGACGGTCGTCATTATAGCAAATGACAAGGGGCCACTGGCGAATTGCTGATTTTGTCGAATCCAAGCTGCGCAAGGCTCGATCGGCTTTTCGGTATTCGTATCAGCGGACGTGTTTGGCTGCCCAGAGAACTCCCACGTCTTTTGTCCGGGATCACCCATCTTCGTTTGCGTTACCACCCCATGCGGTGTGACCCCTTTGTGACCTCCTCCCTGTAACCACCCTTGTTGCCGACTCTTGTACGGAAGGACAAGTACAAGTATCGAGTACTTGACGCTGTCGCCGTTCCCACTCGGACTCCGATTTCTGTCTGCAACATCCGCTGCATCGCAATCCCTAAGAACGAACCCAAAGCCCCCAATTCCGTCCTCACTCCACCATCTCTCTCAACATGGGCCAGATGATACCCGACCTCACACCGGGAGTGCCTAGGGTGCTCCATACCAACGGCGTGCCGAAGAAACCGCAGTATGACACCACCTTCACGGACAGGGTCATATCTGCCACTGGCCCAAATGCCAATGGGCGCTTGGTTGAAGTAATGCCCAGCTTGGTGCGCCACCTCCATGCGTTTGCACGCGAGGTCAACTTGACGGTTGCGGAGTGGATAGCTGCCGTCGACTTTGTAAGCTAATGTCCGCCACCCCTGCGACTCTGTAGCATGTAGGCTGACGTGATGTTCGACTGATGCAGATTAACGAATGCGGCAAGATGTCCGATGACCGGCGGAACGAAACCCAGCTGTTGTGCGATATCGTGGGATTGGAGAGTTTGGTTGACGAGATCACGTCCAAGATGCTGGCGACTTCCACCTCCGAGACCCCATCCGCCATCCTCGGTCCATTCTACCGGCACAATGCACCTTTGCTGCCGAACGGGAGCTCCATCGTCCAGAACCTCACCCCTTCAGTTCCATGGTATGAGCAAGCAGTTGCTGACTCTGCCTTTGTATCGGGCCGCGTCTTGACTAGCTCGGGCACGCCGATCAAGGGGGCGATCGTGGACGTATGGCATTCGGCGCCGAACGGGTTGTATGAGCAGCAAGACGAGTCGCAACCGGATATGAACTTTCGGGGTCGTTTCGAGACAGACGCGGCGGGTTGCTATGCCTTTTATGCATTGCGGCCGGTCCCATATCCGATCCCTGACGACGGGCCGGCGGGGAAACTGTTGGGCTTACTGGACCGGCATCCTTATAGGCCGGGCCATATCCACTTTATGGTGTCTGCTCCCAAGTTCCGGGCCTTGACGACGCAGCTGTATGACGACCGAGATGAATATATTACCAACGATGCCGTCTTTTCCGTCAAGGACGAGCTGGTCGTCAAATTCACGCCGCGCGAGGGGGACCCGAATGCGCGGTGGTCACTTAAGTATGACTTTGTGCTTGGTCGGGAATGATTTTAGTTGAAGGGGGGGTATCAGGTGCATTTGCTGTATTGTTATTTTAAAGAAAATTGACCGTTATCACTTTGTTCCCCATCGACTGCACTCTGTGGGTTGTCTGCGTCGGGTACGGTCGCTGCCGCTTCGAAAGCCCACCCAGAGCCCATCAAATCTCTTGAAAATGTTGTTTGGGCCAAACAGAGGCCTCCGTTCCTGCCGCGAAATGGGTGCTCCTAAAAGCTAGGTTTATCTTCGGATGTGGTCCTGTATATCAGCTAAGACCTGTATGGACGGAGAAGCGTACATTGTCCTTGCATGGGACTTCAGAGGCTTATAAGAGTCAAATACATACCGTACGGTTCTGTTGGCGCACCAATGACTGGTGGCGGGAACTGCAAAGCAATATTGTTCATATTCGGAGCCACCGAGGAGACGGGTGGGAGGTGGTTGATAAAACTGTTCCATAAACCGTCAAATTCGAACTCGATGTTTCCGCTTCCGCTAAGTGGTTCCGAGCTCGCAATGGACGAGTGGGCCGAAACACTCGGGCGACCGCCGACAAGTGTGGCGGGGGGCATGAGCGGTGGGCTCATGCCATTCACCCTAGCATCAAGTGCCACACCGGGCGCCTGCGTGGACAATATGCCTAGCAATGGCATCTTTGGTATCGATGGCGGAGTCAACAATCCCGGATCCGACCCGTTGGCCGACTGGGAAGTGTTTCGCCTCTGCATGTTCGTGCTGATTGTGAGCCCCGGATGTGCATGGTCGGAGGCCGGCCCATGGCGCGGGGCTTGGTTGTAGAGACAGCTGAAGTCGTCCGATAGGTTCGGCGCCGCATAAGCGTGGTCCTTCGTCCATTTATTGACCACTCGTGAAAACCTCGTGATGATATCAAGAACCCGCTGCGCCTGTGGGTCGATTTCGGCACAATATGCCATGATTTCTATGGCATCATTCATAGTATCGTTGTATTCGTCGGTGTAATACAACGACGAGAACTGATTCATGAGAATGACCAGGCTTGCTGCGAAGATAAAGTATCTGGGGGGAAGTCAGCTGGGCCCCGGCCAGCGGCCGCGGGTCATGCATCTTAGGCGGTGTAATACAATCGGGACTCACATGATAAAAGGGTTCCTGCGTGGGAGGTAGCCATCTTCCCATGCGCAGCGAGCTCGCTCAATTGTCCGGTAAGAAGCGATCACACAAGCCTCTGAAAACCTTGCCATCGATGACTCGCGAAGTTGAGGCGATTTCTTGATGCCCGACCGTTCCTCCACAAGCATCCAATTATGCATAACGAACAACTGCCGGGTAAGGAGTATGAGCGAATGTAACGATAGGAGGCTGACGTGAAGGGAAGCCACTCCATGTGCCGGGTTTGGAGGCCCTCCGCCAGACTGTCGCCTGTATGGTTGTGACCGGGAGGCTTGCTCCCAATTCTTGGACATATCGACTATTTCCTGAACCTTGGTGGTTGAGATCTTTCTTCGCGAGAAGACCTTGAGCGTTACGCCGATGACATGAGACGTTTCGACACAAGAATCCAGGCTGCTCGCATGAACGTGGTCAATCCCCGGCCCACCGATAGCGAGAACATCAGCCGCATCGTTGCGCGGCAAGATATTGCACGAACAGTCATCCTCGGAGATGGCAGTCGGTCTTCCCAATGTAGCAGCCAAGAAGCGGTCGAGAATAAATAGGGTTTTCCACAGATTCCTCCTGGCTCTCATCTCGTTTGGCGTGAAGATGACGTCCCGCATCGTCTCCTCTCGATGCAGGCCGAGGGCGAAAGCAGAACGGACAGCCATTCCTGGTTTGATTGGTAAGTATCACGGTGATGGTAAAGGGCGGCTTAAGGGAACCTACCTAGGTATGCATAAGCCCTGTTCCTCTTGGAGACTATGAGCATGTAGATGGTCATCAATGACAATGATTGGATGGACCAGAAATCGTCATCCTCGAAGCCGGCCCCGGGGTCGCACATGGACCTGGCGCTCCGGAAGAAGAGCTCCGCCCTGTCTGGCTGTGCAGCGAGCTGTTTCTGCACAACCACTTCCTCTCGACTACCCGGAGCTGGCGCAGCCAGCAATAGGCCAAGAGCCAGGACGAGGTAGAGGTTGCAGAGGAAGTCATTTCTCGCGGACGGAGGATCGTTGTAGCACTCCTCGACTGACCTAAGAAATGAAGCTCTGTCCAGAATTTCAATCAAACCGCAGGTCTAGCAACATCAGCAACCATTCTGCCTAACCATATGGGTAAACTAACGTTTGTGAAATACGACGCTATAAGGACGTCGGCAGTCTCCTTGTCCGGTAAGGGGCTAGGAAGCCGCACGTTGTCGGGGAAATCAATGATGCTCTCCAGTATGCGATGCCTCTTAGGATCATCGATAAAAGGTGAGCCCATATCCGACCCAGCTGTGTTCTCAACAACAATACGGATCAGCTGCAATATGGACAGCGTGGACGCGTCTCCGATGTAGACTGGATGGCAGGTTAGCAGGGGTCTTGTCAATAACCCAGCGAAACGGAGAGGACCTACGAAGACGTCCGGTTTGGTCCTGTAGCATCCGAGTCTCGGTGTAGATGTTGGTCTCCTCGGATAGCCCGTTCGCATTGTTACGGTTTGGCAACCTCTTGAAGTTGTGGAATGAACCTTGTCGAACATGATCCGGGACGGGCATGGAGATCGGCAGCTGTGTTGTCATCCCCGACATGGACGAGTCCCCGGATTGCTGTTCGCTCTGCGTCTGCTCCCACGCTTGCATTGTGTCGTGGGTTTGAGGGGAGGATTCCTCTGATGCCTCGAGCACAGAGGGTATGGAAGGCGGAGACGTGTCAAGGTGGCGCCGCTTAGTTGGTGACGCAGCAGTGTCCGTAGCATGGTCGGAAGCGTTATTTGGTGTGTAGCAGCACGTCAACTTCCTCCTGAGACAGGTTTGGCAGGGTTTCAAGCCATTGCACTAGTCGGGAATTGTCAGCAAGAAATGCAAGTCATGAGAACACGGACAGAGTGAGACTACGATAGTCACTCAAAGGGGGGAGACTCCAGAGACATGAGGACTCGAGATAGAGAGATCTCGTCGAGGAGGGAGTCAGTCCGAGACGGAGGTGACCACCCAACATGCCAGGGCCCAACGTCGATGCCATCCAAGAATCTGGACCATACGCTCGCGGACGATGCCTGCTCGGGGTCGGAGGGCCAGTAGATATCGCACACTTGTGCTACTACATCGGGACTCCCGTCTCCCCCTGCTGCTTTGTGCTTCGTAGCAAGTGGGCGAGCACCGCGCCGCCGACTGGGCATGCCTGCTTTGCTGGGGCAAGCATTTCCCCTTGAGCATCAAGCAACATGGTTGTGGTGTATCCCCACGGAGGGAGAGGAAGGTAGATGAAGGGAAAGACCAAGGTTTGGCAGCGAAGAAGTGAGACATCTGCCAGGATGGGGGTACGGCTGGATACGCCGCCGAGCCGAGCCAGCCACTGACAGGTCCTTGAAACGGGGACAAGGTTGGGCTTCTTGGGGTTCGACGTTGGCACCGTGCTTTCCCATATCCGCACGGGGGGAAAGGTGAGGGGGTAGGTAAGGTAGCGAGGGGAGATGGGGAAAATAAACCAAAAAAAAAAAAAAAAAAAAAAAAAAGGGTTCCGACCTTTTGCTTCCGGCGTTTGCACGAGTCGCAAGCCTGGGCAGTGCGCTGACGCTTGTCGTCGGGAACCTTGGGGCGCGTCATGGTGGAGAAGCGCAGGTGAAGGTTGATGGTGTGGGATGCGTGGGGAGACGCGCGCTCAGGCGCCCCGCCATCGGATAGCAGACTCTCCCGCCTGCTGGGTCTTGACGGCGGCGTGAAGACGGCAGCCGCAAGTGCAACGGTGCGGGTAGCGAGAAAAGAGACGATGGAAAGCCGGCGAGCGGGCTTAGCTAGTGCGATCGGAAGCAGCGGGCGCGCGGGGATCTGACGGAGCGGATGATGCACACGAGACACATCGGCAGCAGGGCCGGCAGTAAGAGAATCGGGCTGTCGGATGGAGGTAGGCACGCTATCTAAGGTAGGGAGCTATGTTGTCGGGGTCGGCAGGGGCCTTGCTGGGTCTGCGGGTTTGCTTTCTGGATCGGTCCAGTTTAGTGCCCGCAGCGGGAGAGCGCTTGGTGGCACGAACCGCTGTGCCGCAGGCTGATCCGGGGTTCTAGTACGGAGTGGGTAGTGGGTGGGAGATCTGGTCTCGCGGCGATGATGACAGCGTCATTGAACGAGAATATCGATACCGCCGGAGCCCTGCACCACGCGAGGGGAGATATACTAGTGCTGCGGCCACAGAGGGAAGCAAAGAAGAGGGAAAAAACCGAACCGCAGGACCAAGTTTGGGGCGGGAACACGGCCTTAGACGCACACCACCAAGCTAGATGGTGCGAGACTGGCCTCTAATAGGAACCCCTGCCGCCTGTTCTGCGGGTTGACGACTTTGGATAATCCTGGGCCGTGCGGTCGCTTGCTTTTGCGCCCAAACCTACCCAAGATCTGCTCGACGCATGCTAGCCGGTGACTGGCACGCCTCAGGGAGGCGGCATCAAGCCCCGGTGCTGGTGGCACGTGAATCCAGGTATCTGGATAACGGGCTGCCAGCTCGCCGCAGACGCATGAAACAGGCATCAAGAGCAGGTGCGGGGAATTGAGGCCAAACGGGGGGCCGCTAGGAGGCGGGGAGGGGCGGCCATGACAACAACAACCCCAAACAACCTTGGAAGCCTCACACGGGATGGAGGACGGCGATAGGTAGGGCTCGGCCCAGCACACGAACGGGGTGCCGAGACTGGAGGCGTGATTGACAGCGTCATGAACTTCGGTCGCGTTCGCATTGGGCCATCAGGCAGTGTGGGATGGCCTCGTGGCGCGCGTTTTGGTGTCACCGTGCTGTCAAACATCCAGAAGAACGCGGCGAGTCATCGAACCATCGAACCATCGCGCCATCGGGCTATCGCGAGGCACCTAAGAAGGGCACGCCTCCTCCCGCGGGAATTCGGGCAGGTCCAGTCGAGGGGGCGGGAGCACGAAGGAGGCGAGGCCAGTTTCCATCTCATCAAGCAGATGCGAGCCCCACGCAGTAAGCCTGGGCATGGAGCGTTGTGTGACAACGAAGAGGGGCGCGCCGGGTCATCTAGAGTTGGGGCGTCAGTGCGACCTACCTAGGCGGGCTGGCTGGTTGCCCGTTCGATGGAGACTCTTGGTTTTCGAGTCGCGGCCTGCGAGCGAATGCAAAGTTGTGGCAATGGAAATGAAAAGATGGTACAACGGATTCGGAGGGAAGTTACTCGAGTGCTTTGACCGTTCAGGGAGCTGCCTAGATGTATGTGCATGCCTACCTGCCTCCATATCCGACGCTCGTTCAGGTGCTGTTTGGTCCTTTTCCACCTACCCAACACGAGGTACCTGCCGAGCACCATGAATCCATTTTGTTGTGGGCGCTGAAAATCAAAATGGTGCCCTATGCATATCGCCCTAGGGAAGGTGAGACTAGCACGACTGGGTTCTTCCACAGCGAGGAAGGAACGTTAGGCACCCACGGGCCCATCGGATAATGCACCTAGCAACTTCATTCTTTAGCGGAGATGCGTTGCCCCATTGTGCCCCACTAGCACCTCAGCACTCAGGCTGCGGGTGGAGCCGAGAGCTACCCTGTCGACGGGAGCTTGGCTTCGCATCCGCGATCTGCTTAGAGGATCCGGGGAACCTTCCATCTTCAACGACGGGCAACCCGTAAGATGCGACCTGCAATCTGCGACATGAATGCTCCCCCACGGCTGTAGGAACGAAGACGATTCCGATCCCGAAAACAACGCTTTGCTTTTTTTTTCGATGGTCTCGAATCTAGGCGACCCCCGCTAGGACATAATCGTCTCGGAGTAAAGACCGATTGAACGACCTCAAATTTGCCGATTCTGGTGGGCACTGCACTGGCCAAGCCTTCCTTGCCGTCGGTGGACCGTGGGCTACGACGCTCACCAACCAACAGCCCAACGCAACGCCGAATGTTCCCTAAGACGGGCGGAGATCGGGCGAGATGTCCCAGGTTTTACTATGACCCGGGTGATGATTATGGCAAGTGGGCAGCGCACCAACAACCGACTAGGTAGCCCGGTCGGGACCTAGGCGAGGTTCCTCGGCTCCATTCGCTCAGGGACTGTTCAACCACTCCCACCCCATCTCAGATCTCTGGGTGATCTCCGAATACCTGCAATGTCATCACCCATCATCACACACATTCCTGGTTGCCGCCATCCCAGTGCCTAGGGTGGTTGCCTCGGCTGTTGCTTGTCGATGGCGTTCGCGGGGCGCATCAAATCCGCCAGGATGCCTCCCCACGTTTCCCCCAGTTGGCTGCTGCAGCCTCCCCCAGATTCAGGGATTCTGTCCTCGAATGGCTGCCATTTGGTGCCCCAGTAGTTCTGTACTGTACCACCGACACAGTACAGTAGAGCCAACCGACTTCAGATACACGACGCAATAGCCCCACAGATTCCGCCTGTCACCAACGCCTCGCCTGCCTTGTCCGTGTCTGGGGTACAGGTCCAGCCCCCACTCTTCGCCATCCCAGCCGTGCTACCCGTTTCCCCAATATTTCACGGTTAACAAGCTCAGCTCTCAGTTTCTCGAGCGGACACTCTTATGTCTCAGACTGAATCGATGTCACAGCGTCGGATCTCGTCGGCCGCGTGATCACGCTTCGGGTCTCACGGCGACATTTCTGGCAGGTGGCGGGACTTCTGTAACCGGAGATTCTGCCAGGTCCCGACGAGTACGCCGGGCCGAGCCATACTCCCCATCGCTCCTGGGTAGTGGCGCGCGGCTTGGGAGCACGTGGTGCAGAGCTTGGGGATTCGCCAATGTCTCTCTCCAGCCCCCGGGATCCGTCGGGCCCTAGCAAACGACGTAAATGTCGGAAGGGACGTGGAGAACGCGGGTTTACGGAAATCACAACCCCAATCAAGACCTTCGCCTCCCTTAGATCCGCTCCGTCTTGCCCCCTGGGTCCCGCAGACGCGTGGGGAAACAAGGGCCGGCCGTGGTTATGGATCCGGCGATGGTTCCTCATCTCTTGTCTCTTGTCCCGGTCAACATGTGCCGGATATCACCTCAGCTCACCAGCGGTCCCCATCGTCGGCTCGAGGTGCGGGTCTCACCAGGCCCCTAGATAATGTACAAAGTACACCCATGACCAACACGGTGTGATCATCAAAGGTCCTGAGCTTTCGTTCTCGGATGGAACCTACTTATATTGGCAGCTCGCCCGCACTTCATAAGGGGATGGACTTTCCCAGAACTCAGAGCATGCTCGCGATTTTGAACACAATGGAGGCAACAGCTACCATGGCACCAACACCGCCTTCCATGGCCTGGGGCTGGGACGGCGACGTTGACAAAACGCACTTCTCCGGCAACGATGCCGAGCAGGTGTCTCACCATAATATTCTTCTCTCCGTCTTTCGATATTGGCAACGTCTCATGGCGTTCAAAAACGACCGCGAGCCGGCCGCAAACGGCACTCAACCTCTTACACGACATTCCGTAGCCGCCGGAACGCAAGCGGCTCTCCAGAAATTGTGTACGACCTCCCTCGACGAGCTTCCAGGGGCCATCTTGGCGTTCACTGAAACCGTCGACGTTACCTCGACACCGGAGAAGGGAGATGAGGTGTACTTTCCAACCCCTCTCCGGGAGCAGGAGGCCACGGCGGCGATCAAGGCACTCGAGGCCTGTGCCGCAGCTGCCATTGCCAAAATTCGATATGGCACCGAAACCAACAAGATCCAGGTGGATCCGGACAAGGTCTCCGCCTTCTTGATGTCGGCCTATCTTACCACATTGGACGGCATCGATAAGCCAGACCCTCGTATCAAGGGCAGGATCCCAGGTGAGCACCCTTCTCAAACCAACATTCCATAGGGAGGAGGGGGGACAACAGGGCTGACCCCCGATCAGACACGGACTTAAACCGGGCCCAATCCGTCCTCTACCGCCGAATGTCGGCGAACCTATACAGCACCAAGAACCCCAACGAGTATTTCCACATTCATGGCTCCCTCGATGCCGATGTAACCCTCCAAATGCTCGGCCTGCCCAAGGAGAATCCTGAAATGACCGACTACCACACCATCATCGACTACATTGAGTCTGCAGTCAAGAAGCATACGGCTGCCGAGCTCGACGCCCTCAACGTCGCCCATCGGCAAGCCGGCATTCAGGCCCTCACATGGACCCAATTTCAAGCCACCCCGCACGGCAAAGCCATGTTGGACCTCCCGCCGCTTACCATCCGCCCCAATCCCTCCGACACCCACACCACCCCGCCCGCTCCCTTCCCCCCACTCCCTACCCCATCCTCGAGCCCCCAATACGCCCTAGCCGGCATCAAAGTCGTCGAGCTCTGCCGCATCATCGCCGGCCCAACAATCGGCCGGTCGCTCGCGGCCCACGGCGCCCAAGTCCTCAAAGTCACCTCCCCACACCTCCCGGACGTCCCATTCTTCCAGCTCGACGTCAACACGGGCAAGCACGCCATCCATCTAGACCTGCGCCGGTCCTGCCCCCGTGATCGCGCCGCCTTTGCCGCTCTCCTCGCGGACGCGGACGTGCTCATTGACGGCTACCGGCCGGGCGCGCTGGCGCGCCTCGGGTACGGGCCCGACTTCCTCGGCGAGCTCGCACGCTCCCGCGGGAAAGGCTTCGTCTACGTAGCCGAGGACTGCTTCGGCGGCGCGGACCTTCCGGCCTCCGCCGGCGCCGAGTGGGCCACACGGCCCGGGTGGCAGCAGATCGCCGACTGCGTAACGGGCGTCGCCTGGGCGCAGGGCCGGTTCATGGGACTCGACGAGCCCGTCGTCCCGCCCTTCCCCATGTCGGACTACGGCACGGGCGCGCTGGGCTCCGCCGCCGCCCTGGCGGGCCTCTACCGCCGCGCCACCGAGGGCGGCTCCTGGATCTGCCGCACCAGCCTCGTCCAGTACGACGTCTTCCTCATGGGCCTCGGCCTGCTGCCGGAAGCGGAGCAGGACCGGCTGCGCCGCGCGCACGACAACGACGCCGGCTTCTTTGGCCTGCGCCATAGCGACTCGGTCGACGAGGTCGGCAAGCGCGCGCTGGCGAGCATGCGGAAGGTGGTGCCGCGGCTGTTTGCGGAGGGCGGACGCGAGGGCGCTGAAGCGCTGATGCAGGAGGCATGGAGCGAGGCGTTTCGCGGCGTGGTGAGGTGGCCGAGGGAGGCGGTTGAGATCGAGGGCCTGCGGGTCGGGCACGTGCGAACGGCGAGGCCGAATGGGTGGGATAAGCAGGTTGGATGGGAGGGGTGGCGGGAAGAGATTGGCGAAGAGGTTGCTCGGGGTGCGGGAAAGCGGTAGCCGTGACGGCCACCTACCTACCTCTGGGTACCTAGCTAAGGTAGGTAGCTAGGTTTCCTTCCTTTTCCATTCTTATGTCGGGCATTTTGGGGCCGAGGGCTGGAGCGTTTGCGTTTGCGTTTTGCAACACGGGCAGGTCTGGTGAACCTACCTAGCGCCAAAAAGAGGCGGGCAGTCTGACCAAAGGGAGGTAGCTTTGATTTTGGCGGGCGCTGCATTAGTTATTTCCATTGGCAAGTCCCGTAGCACGCAGCCAGGATGATAATCACTCGATTCATTATCTCGCGCTACCGCGAGCCCAGACAAACACACGCAGTGGACCCGTCTGGAGTAGAGAAAACCAAGAGATCTATGACTGCTTGCTTGACTTGACTTGATTAACCTACACGCACCACCCACCACCCACCAACAACACCGCCAGCCAGCGAATGCCGGGCCTTCACAACACCAGCCTCGCCGGCTCGTTCTCCAACACAACCTTGACCCGCTCGAGGAACACCCGCGCTCTCCTCTCCTCCGCCTTGGGCACCTGCAGGCTGAAAAGGTTGGCTCCCGTCGACGACGGGCCGGGGAGCACGTTGGAGGTGGTCTTCTTGGCGGCGGCCGGCTTGGGTTTCGCGGCGAGAATGTCGAGGATGTCTGCCTTTTTGGCGGGGGCGGCAGCGGCGCGCGGGGAGAGCGCAGACGCCGAGGCGAGGGCGCCGATCTGCGGGACGTAGGAGCCCCGCGAGACCTTGCGGCCGCCGGACTTGTCCAGGCCCAGCACCTGGCTGAACAGCTCGTCCGCCGTCGGCTGGTAGTTGGCCGGCAGCGGGAGCTCGTCGTTGGCGACCTCGGTGGCGCGCGCGATGAAGGTGGAGAGCGGGAGGAATACGCCCAGCGTCTTCTCCGTCTTCCTTTGGGCTTCGATGACGGCTGAGAGGGAGACGGGGAGGGTGACGACCGATTTTGCGGGGGCTGGAGGGGCTGGGGCGGCCTTCTTTGCGGGCTTCGCGGGAGCCTTGGCAACCTTGATGTTGCTCAGGTCGAGGTGCGATGCCTTGCTGAAGCGGGAGGAAACCTCGGCCGGGGTGTTGGCGTTGATCTTGCCCAAGAAGGCGAGGACATCGCCCTTGAGAAGGCGGCCGTTGGGACCGGTCGGGGTAATATCGCCTACAGCGGACTCGTCGAGGCCGTTCTCCTTAAGGATATGCTCCACCGATGGGAGCAGAGGATAGGTCCTCTTGGAGGTCTTTTGTCCGGGCTTGGACGCCGCCTTTGGAGGTGCGGCCGACGGCGTGGATTCGGGTTCCGGAGTCGCCGGAGTTTGTGTCTTGGACGCTTCGGCGGCCTTCGTCGCTTGTGGGTTCTCGTCGGCAGGAATATTGAGTGTGCTAATGTCGTCGCCCTCTTCGGCGATGACCGCTATCCGGGTGCCGACCTGCACACCCTTGCTCCCGTCGCCCTGCATGACCTTCATGAGGGTACCGTCCTCTTGGGCTTCGACGTCCATTGTCGCCTTATCCGTCTCGATTTCGAGCAAAACATCGCCGGCGGAGAACTTCTCGCCTTCCTTGATCTTCCATGCCGCAATGTTGCCTTCGGTCATTGTGGGAGACAGGGCGGGCATGGTGAAGTTCTGGGCGGCCAAGGCGGCGGGGGATGTCCGGAAGCCTGCGGCATAACAAAATCAGCTTTGAGTTTTTTATGATTTTCTCGTCATTGCCATCTCCCTTCCCCAATCTTTCGCTGTGCTCGCTGTGCTCGCTGTCTTCTTCCGCCCTCCTCCCTTCCTCTTTTTTTTTTCTTTTCTTTTTCCCTCTCGCAACTAACCTCTGACCGTAGCATCCTGCCGCACCTTTCTCGCCGCAAGCCGCGCCGACATTCGGCATGCCGCTGCAAAGGATGCCATGCTGGCGACTGTGAGTGGAACCCAATTGGGTTGAGTTGGGATGGTGGACCGATTTGCGTTTGATGGAAAGATGAACTGCGCTGTCAGTCTCGAACTTGGCGGAAAGGGGACCGACTTAGGCGGTGGTCCAAGCTCTCTTGGCTTCTCAACATTTGCAACTTGCAGGGGTTTTTTTTTATTTTCGGAGCGACATCGTCAACAACCTGGCGGTTAAACATACTGTGCGGATTGTCGATCAGCTTTTTCGAGACTCGAACACCAAGCAGCTTCTGGAGCTCTGTGCCTCCTCTCAGACGGTGGTAAATTCCTAAGAACATATTGTTGACTATTCTATAAAGTGAATACGGTGTTTATTTTACTTCTTAACGGCACTTTTCTACGTTTGGTTGTAACTAATCTGTAGAAGCGAGCGTCGAAAGATGGAACTTGAAAATAAAAGTGGAACCCTGTTGGCGAGCTCTCACAGTCTGCTTAGCACCTCCGAAGCACCCGTGCGGTTGGACCCGATCCCATGCCTATCAATTGGGTGGGGGCTCTCCGAACCCCGATAGCAGGAGCTGCCGCCAAGCCGCAACCTCGCTTGAACATTGCCCGGCACCGACAAAAATTCGGCCCCGCCAACGACCGGACCCTGCTCTACCTCTCCATAGGTAAACCAATTGGCCCGGTCAACTTCAAAGGTACGGACCCTAGCAACTTCAGCACTCATCCAAGCCCAAACTAACCACCAGACATCCAGATGGCGTCCTTCTCCAGGGGATTCGGCCCTCGGCTACTACTCGTCGTCCGGCTACAAGTCCCGTCCGAGTGCGCAGCAACACAGGCACGACAGCTCCTCCGTGCCCGCTTTTCCACCACCCGACTGCTCCAAAAAGGCGGCCGATCACACCGACTCGCCAACAAGCCCACCCCCAAACCAAGCCCCGCGACGGCTCCCAAGCCCAAAGCAGCCACCCCCAAACCCGCACCCAAAGCCAAAACCGCTCCCATCCTCGGCACCACCACCGCGATCCCCGCCGCCCGTCCCCTCGCCACCAGCAGCGGGTACGCCGAGCAGCTGGCACTCAAGGGCCGCACGCTGCTGTACGAGTCGCCCTCGCACTTCTGGTTCCGGGCCGGGTGCTTCTCGTCCGCGACCTTCTGCGTCTCGTACGCCGTCTACCAGTACTGGACCGTGATCCTGCACCCGCCCGAGGGGCTGATGTGGTGGATCCCGCACGCCTTCGGCGTCATCCTGGTCTTCATGGCCGGCATGGGCGCCTACTTCGTCACGGGCGCGGGTCGCATCGTGCGGTCTATCGAGGCCGTCCCCGCTAGTGCGGTTGCCGCGGCCGCGGCGAAGCAGATCGCTGGTGCCGGTGGCAGGAGTAGTCCGGTGTATATTCAGGTCACCACCCGCCGCATGGGACCCTTCATGCCGGCCAAGAAGCATCTGCTCCCGCCGGAGGAGGTGCTCTTGCCGTTCCGGATGTACAGCGTGTTTGGTGGCGAGATGGGCGGGCAGAAGGCGATGAGCTTGGCCGAGAGGGTGCGGTTGGAACGCGCGGCGCAAGAGGCCAGGATTGCGGAGCGCAAGTATACCATGGATCACCTACTGACGGCGCCGTTCCGGGACGCGAAGAAGGCCTTCGGCGGCGCGTGGGAGGGGATCGTTCGGTCATTTAACCGTGGCGGGTTCGTCAAGATCCAGCTGGGGAAGCAGGATTATAAGTTGGATGTTACTGGCGGCTGGGCGCTGGATAACGGGAGGGCTATGGATAGGCTGTTGCCGGTTAGGCCGAATGCGATGAGCGCGAGGTAAGGGATGTGATTTGATACCGTGGGTAGGCGGGCGGGTGGGTGTATTATGGCGGCGTGTGTACCTGGCTGGGTATGGTTTGGAAAATACATGTATAATATCCGTTGGAGCGCACTCACTTAGCCTTGGCTTGGCCACCACTCTTCTGCCCCCATCCTTCCATCGCTCCGTGGCTTCCACCCATCTTCACATGTGGCAGACCCATAGCGTTGAGGCAACAAAAATGGGTCTGGGGGTATTCCATGATGTGAGTTGATGGTCACCGAGATTCTCTGCTAGGAGCGTAACACGCTGTACGCTTTGCTACCAAGGACTACATGGTCCAACACCTCTCAATGACATAACAAAATCGTCCTATTATACGTCTCTTGTCGAAATCTCCTGAGACAACACCGTGCTGATTGCTCGTCACAAGGTCGTCGAAGGAGGTGAGTACCTAGTTTCACTTTCTAAGAACAATATTGTCGCAATTATAGAGAGTGAAAACGGGGAGTGGTGCCGAACTATCGACTCAACGTTGAGCTGAGGTAGCAAAGATGGAAGATGAGTAGCGAGGTTGGTTGATGGGAAGAACTTGGACGAAGCATTCGAGTCCTGGCAGTTGTCTTGCCCTGTCATTTAGTGGCGTGAAGTATGACGGCACAATAAAGGACACTGTACGCAGGTCCTATATATACAAGTTCTATCCTGCCAGATTCCATCGAGGATCACCGCCCGATGGGAAGTGGCCCTAGCGACGGTGGCTTAATTGGCACTGGCGGTGGTCCTGCCACCCCGGTTTCGAACCTGTGTAATAATTCCCTGGAGGTTGCAGGTTCGAGCCGGGGTGAAACAAACAGATTTAAGAGGGCATTGCGCTCTTAGATCTGTCCCGGAGAAATCCCCAAGGGAGTTTCGTAGCCGGCCACCTCCCCGGATGGGGGGCTGGCCGGTGAGCTTTTGCTATTTTTTTTCTTTTTATCCATCTAGCTTGCTAGGTGTTGATTGTCACGAACTCAAGTCTCTGTCATCGATATAACAACAGTCATTGAAGATAATAATGGGCATTGTACATACATGCCTGGATCTAGTAGGGAAGCCAACTCTTTTCTAACTTTGTCTTTACAGCTTTATAATTTGACGAGAGCATTCAATAGTTCTGCTCTCGCTGTAGTCCCCTTTCTAAATCTCGAGACACTTGAGGTTGGGCTGCCTATTACTGTTATGGAGGCACTGCATCAAAAGCGTGGATTGGTAGCTATGTTCCAAGTATTCTATCTCTATTAGTTTACCAAACTGTGCCTCTACCAAGCGATTACCCCCCTTGTTTCCATTTCCTCACGCTATACTACTAACAAAGTCAACATGTACAAATGCCCGGTACAAGCACATGGCTGTGCTGTCTTCCTCAAATCACTGAGCCGAGAGTACATGAATACAATCCTCACGAGAACAATCATAAACACCGAAATTGACGAAGTGGCTAAATATAAGAGGCCTAGCTTATTTCTCTTCTCTTATACCCCCTGCTAAGTCTCGGAGAGCTGGTCAAAACTTGATACTAGCCCGGAATATCGGCAAGACGCGGACAGCGACCCCGATTAGCCGGCGGTCATCTTCTCCCTGACCCCCAACAGCGCTATCAAGCCAGACGAAGCTAGCAACCAAGGCAGAGTAGAAAATGAGGTGCGCCACATCCCATACTCCTCAGTTAGTACCTTGGCAACCTTGGTAGGAGTTGAGGTCGCAAGCGACTTACGGCGCCCTGGAGACCGGCCGTGTAAGCCGCCTCCACGACGCCGAGCAAAAGTGAACATTAGTAACATCTTACGTACCACAAAACCGAACCCCCCGCTCAACCAAGCCCCGACCAAAACCAACAAACCTAACCCAGCACACCCCCAGGCAAAACCAGCACAGTGGCGCGTCATCCCGCCTGTGCTTCATTAAAAGAAGCCCCTCAAGGATCTCCCCAGCACGTGAAACCCCCCCCTCAGGGTGGTGGGGGACGGGATGGAGACAGAGACGGAGAACAGTCCCCCTCCCCTCCCCTCCCCCCACGACCCCAGTTTACCATGCTTACCCAGGGACTCCCAGGCTCCCAGGCCGAACAGGACCCTGAATCCAAACTTCTCCTGACCTTCGAGATCTTAAACGGCAAAACGGGTACGTGGCATGTGACCTTCCACAAAACCCGAGCAAGGGAAGACCTATGTTCGCCCCCCGGAACAGCCTGTCTCCCCTGTATCAAAATCCTGTCGATCTTCCCCAGACTTTTCCAACAATCCCCGGTCTCTCCGCTCTCCGTTCCCCGCATCAAGCGGACGTGGGTGCACGGGGATAAAGAAAAACAAAAAAAAAGGGAACTCGGCTAATAAACGAACGGTCCTAGAGATTGGAAAATTGGAAGCCGAAGTAATACTAAATGGTAGTATAGGCCGGCAAGTCCCGAGTGCGAGAGCCAAGTGCCCTCCCACGGGAAGCCAAAAAAAAAAAAAAAAAAAAAAAAAAGAGGCGATATGCAATCCGTCATGGCGCGCAACAAAAATCGGCACCGGGGGCAGGGGGACCAGGAGGGGTTACAGCACCGGCATGGCCCCTCCATATGTCGTGCATCGGTTACACCACCGTGATCACACCACCACCAGCACTCACACCGCATACGGCGCCTACGCGGCCACACCTGTCTATAATGTATGTACAACTATGTCTGTATGCCGGTAGGTAGGTTGGCATGTACTCCACCGACAAGCGGTCAGCCGTCCTGTCTAGGTCGTGTCCGTGTGTGTGTCCGTTGTGCAGCCAGCACGCCGGCAAGGCCGCGAATCATTACGCGCATGCCGCTTTGGCGTGTCCGACTTCGGCAATCTGGCGCCGACCACACACACATACAACCACCATACGGAATGCGGTTGGTTGGGTGGAGGGCGGGGTTGATGAGGCGAAGGATAAAATCCGGGATGGACTCGGCAGGCAAGCGGGATGGAATGAGTTGTGGGAAGGGTGAGGTGAGGCTGCGCGGGCAGGTAAGGTGTTCTCGGTGGCGGTGGGGTTCGGGGGGTTCAACCGCCACGATGGTGAGTTCTCGCTCGACTGGGAGGGGATTGATACTTCAAGGTCGTAAGTGGATAGCGAGAGGGGGGGGGGGGGGGGGCAAAAAAGATTGGCTCAGATGCAATGATGATGTGATGTGCCGCGCAGATCATTGCCGTCCCCTCTTAGTCGCTTCGCTGGAGCATTCCGTTCTGGCCTCCTGTTTGCTACCGCGTAGATGGTTGCCCCGCGAGGTCGCAGCAAAAGGACCCTGAAGAACCGACCCCTCCATGTCCATCCATACCATCCCGAACCCATCAGCCAACCGGTCCGAGGCAAGGGAAAAAAAGTCAAGAACAGCCCATGCAAGCCCGCGGCGCTGCTCGAGGCTAATGCAATGCATGTGCATTCAGATCATCCCAGACATTCCTACCTTTTTTCCTCCCTCGCTTCCCTGCTTTCACATATCCAACCGCAAGGCATGCATTGCCTGCAGACAAGTCCGGACAGAAGATGAGCGGTGAGGGACGGCTCGGAGAAGATGAGGGACTTTGGAGTTGACGTCTCACCGTTGAAGGGACTGTGGGGAGAGGCCCGTCGCGAGTCGTAGCGAAACGCGATGTCTGGCTTGGCTTCATTGCCCCGCATCAACCTTGCACCTTGTTCGCTTGCATGGTGTTTGTGTGAGTGGGAGAAAACCCTGCGTCCAGAGAGTGGGGGTACAGTCGACTGGGGGTTCCGGGGTGAAGGGCAACCCCGGCAAGGTCAGTCACCGAATGAGACGACCCGGGAGTGCCAAACTGGGCAGGCCGGACAGGGATGGCTGGTCTGCCGCCCCGGCACGAACTCGGAACAAATCAAGCGCCGCTGGCGCATCTTGTGACTCTTGCTTGAGACCCCACGCGAGAATGCCCCGGCTTGTGTGTTCCAAGTCTTTGTGTGCTTCGTCTCATGGGAAGTGTCATGTGCGGCGTCTTCCTCGAGGACGCCACGATGGCATTCCAATGTGATGTGGAACTCGAATTCAAGCGGGTCCGCTGGGCTTCAGATACGTCATCGGGACTTCCTGAGGTGAAAGCGTCTGCTTCGTCCTCAACCCCACAGCTTCTTTTCCGGGCTGTGGGGTGTTCGGCCGCAGGTGTGTTCGCACGAAGATCCCATTGGGCGCAACATCCCGAATGAAACGACAAATGCTTCGACTCGGCGCTGTTGATCTGCTTTCCAAAGTCGGAATCTTCGTCGGGATATCACGGACGGCCGCAGCTGTGGGTCGCGGGGAAGCAAGAGGAAAACGTCTGGGCTTGGTCTCGCCGTTATCACACGGGAGTCGGCCGTCGATGCAGGTATTCAGAGATCTAGGCCCCATGTCGAGAATGCCCCTAGCTACTGACAGAAGCGGCGGCGGCAATGTCTCTCCTCGCGTCAACACAGGTCTTAGACAATCGTCTCGTCGCAAACCACATGTTAGCTTTCTAGCCTTTTCCGTCGGACTTCGACCCCGCTTCCCGCAGTTTTGCGGGGAGTGTCGCCTTGGATCTGCATTCGAGGTCTCGTTGGCGTTCCTGTGGTTGCTTGGAGGGGCACAACCCAATCATCTGCTCTCTGGACCGGCAAATGCGGAAGCGCGGCCAAGAATAGGAGTGGCAACTTGGGGCGGCATGTCCATTCCATTCTTTGCGCTTGGAAACGTCGACCGTCAACCCGAGGCGGTGAGGCTGCAGGATGCCAGTACCCCTCTACAGGAGGTCAGTTGTGATGGATACACGGCGACCATCCTGACTCCATGACACATAAACGAGGCTGTAGATTGTGGAGTTGGAGGTTGAAATCATGAGATGTTGAGTCGTAGACCCTCTTCTGGCATGATTCTATCGAGTCCATCTACTCGAATGTCTCCGGCGGGGTGGAGGGAAGACCCATACTACACACTCTGGCTATTATGCCGTTGTTTGTCAATAATGCGAATGAGGGTTGGGTGGGGGTTAAGAAAATCGGCGCCTGGTGGTGAAGACAGGAGGTGGTGCGGTGTGGTTGCAGGGTAGTGCCGGCCTCAAGGTCGAATGACGAGCCACTCACACACCCTTCCCAATCAGAAACCACCAACGTAAGTGCGTGCTGGTACAAAATGACATAATTGCGTCCCGCTCGCGTGTCGCATGGGGTTCACCTCAACAGGGCGATGGTTGCTATCTTCGGCTTTCGGGAAGATGAGGATAAGGAGCATGTATTCCGAGTCGATCAAGGAGCCGGAGCGACTTGCGGCGGGGGCGGTGATCCTTCCGTGTGGTGCCGCTTTCTTTGCTAGAAGCGGTTGATAAATGTGAGAAGTCCTGTTCAACCCGGCAATGCGGAAAGACGAAGAGGCAGAAACGGGCCGGAAGAACTTCTGCACCACCGGTAACTAACTCGAGCAAGTATCGAGTGGCGTTTTACCCTTGGGCCATTCTCTTTGTGATATGATACCCTATTGTGCCTGTAATAAGACTTGTGGATGGAAGAGGATGGATTTCCCTTTGGGCTTGAAGATTAGCGTGGAGGCGAGGTCCCTGTCGGCTTGGCCTGCAGGGTTTCTGGCTTCCGACACGGGTTAACGGCACCTTCAGGGCACCTACCAGGGACCTCGGGGTTGCTGCGGCCGTCGTGACCCCCATGTTTTCCAGCCGATCGAATGTCGACATGACATGGCAAAGTCGTGACTGGTTCCTGTTAAATCGCCTCTGATGATCTCAGGGACGGATGGCCCTGCCTTGGTTGTGCAGACAGACGGGGCGGGCTGAAAGACGGGAGAAGGGCCCCTGCAACCAGGGCGATGGCCGCCTGTTGTGCGCATAATCTGATAATCACTGGTTTCCAGGGTCCACAGGTGTTGGCGAAAATCGACTCATGGTGGAGGTATGTAAACAAAGAAACCGAGGACCGGGGAAATGATGTGACACAAAATCCTGCCAAATCGATTTAATAATTTTTCTTTCTTCCTCTTGAAGACCATGAGTTTTTGAGGAAGGAAAGAGAAGCCGTGCTCTGATGCCCCTGAAACGATCATCGGCGCCCAACCACAAACCTGCTGCTCCTTCCCTCATTGATAACGTTCGTGAGTGGCTGCACAGAATCTGGTGGTTGATTTGTTGATCTGCCGCGCAGCCAAGAATCTCAGGACCCATCTCAGCTTGCCATCTCCATACAGTGCAATCACAGTACGGGTTTCCTCAACTTCACAGAAATATCATGGCGAAGCCGAGACTGGACTGTATTGCATCGTATCGAACAACTCGATGAGCTTCCTGACCGTCGAATCGTCTCTTCACGATTGTCAACAGCACACCGACACCACCACTTGGCCGAGTTTGAGACATGCAGTGCCTTACACGACAGGATTGAGCTCATGCATGGCCTCTGCCGTAAACGATTGGTCCGAGGCTGCAGCGAGGCGGCGGCTTGGGTGGCTCACGAGAGAGCCGACTGGCAGAAGTCCGCATTTCAGCGCCCGTGCTGCGTTCCCCCCTGCTGCCGCCAAAGTACAAATGTTTTGTATGGCATGTACGGCAGTATGTATGTAATGCTTCAATCCTGCGGTATCCTCGTTCTTTCGAGTCAACTCCTTGGCCGAGTCATCTGGTTGTTGTCGAGGAAGGCCGCAGCCTGTCATGGACAATCCGACCGCGTATCAAAGAGACAGATATATCATCGCCACTTGATGTGATAGATCTCCCGTAAAGGATTGTCCCAAAGGGTCACCTGGCTGATGAATGTGTAAGACCCTGATGACCCTGACCACCAAAGGGGCCCTGACAGTGCGAAAACCGGACTGGGGCTTCGATGGCCGGCGAGGCGCGGGTTGTGGGAAATTGCCCATCTGCCTATTGCCCAGGTTTCCAGGGTTCCCGCTGGTGACCCCGCCCAAGCATGGCGCCCATGCCGCTCCAGGCAAGTGGGCGCCGCCTAACCTTGCAGTCAGAGGAACCCTGCCGCCGCCGCCAATCTGGGCCCCAACCCATATTTTACTTTGGTGCTGCCCGGCCCCCTCACCACCAAAGACCCTTCATTTTCTCTTTCCTTCCCTTTCGCGACGGACAGACGCTGTATTGAGGGCGCGTCGAGAGAGTGCAAGCGTGGGTAGATTATTTCCTCTTCTCTCTATATCACACACTCCACCCACGCCGTTGCCCAACTCGCTGTCCTCCCGTTGTCCTTCCCCCGTCCCACTCGCCTTAGATCGCCAGGGTGCCGCACCGACACGTTTTGCGGCCACCTCGACCAAAAAAAAGTCCCGAGAAAACATACTTCCGACGTCGAATCCGAGGACCTTGTCTAGGTTTCCGACTGGCGCCCATATCTCCGGGCTTGCACCGTTGCACCGTAAGTGTCTTTGGGTTTCCTTTCTTGTGGCCTCGACAGCGTGCGATCGATCGACCTCGCCTATCTCCACCACGGCCTTCCAAGTGTGCGTGCCGCAACGTTGGCGCCTGTCCGACAACATGACACCAAGGAATTTATGATCGCTCCATCCGGTGACTTGCCCGCCAGTTCAGCGGGCCTTGGCCTCCAGCTTGCGCCCTCCTGTATGCAAGCGCGTGACCCCTTTGGTCCATTCCTTCCATCGAACCCCGTTGCTAGGCCGGTCTCGGCAGCGCCAACAAAACTTGTCATAGTCTCGTTTTGGTCTTTGAGCAACAGGAGAATACAAGAGAGGAATGCTGGGGATCTGCCATGGCGACACCTTTACAGTCCCAACCTCGGCCTTGAAACCGGCCTCCAGTCTCGAAACCATGGGGAACACTGCCGACCACGCGAGTGACCGTACAAGTGGCCCGGTCCGGCCTGCGTCCCCGAACCTCTATTCCGCCGAGGCCCCGTTTCCACCCGCCAACATCTCGAACCCTTATAACCCTGTGCCGCACATTCGCCGTACCCGCGCCCGACCGATTTCGAACTTAGAGACCTTTTTGACTTCGGCCGAGTCCCGCCCCACCCGGCAGCCACATAATCATCTCTAACCCTTTTGAGTTGTCATCGAGGCGCCATCCACCGGCCGCGGGGAGCCCCTTTTTGGTCGCTTTTCTGCCTTCATCGCTGGTCGGCCTCTTTTGCCTTCTCACAGGCCACCGGGCGCCTTGTACAAAGTGACGAAATCACTTGACTGACGTATGACCCTTGCCAGACTGCTGTCCAACCATTGCCACGATCACGCTCGTCACCGCCTCCGGGACGCAACATTCGATATCAAGTCCGCCGAGAACCTTTCGGCCGAAGACGAGTGCCTTGAAAATCGCACATCTTCCTCCGCATCCCGGCTTGGAAGTTGTAGCCGTCCGCTCCTTTGAATATCGTTCCCACATGCATTCTTCCTGCCTCTAAGGAATACAAAATGGACTCGGAAGACGGCGAATTTTTCGTCAAGGTACGTTGATCTGCTATATGGTGCAGCCCGGTTTTGATTAGCCGCATGTAGCCGCATACATGGGACGTTGGAACTGACAATCCTTGGTTGAAACAGCAACTCGCTAGCTTTGTGCGAACACACGAAAAGGCACTTGCCAACGCGCTTCAGTTTAGGAGGCAGAACACACCTCGCCATGGCGCCTCACACAGCGTGTCGTCCATCTCGACAGGGGCTGTGCCACCATCCCCATCGGTACCCGAAAGACCCGCAACGTCTGCCTCGACATCGAGCACGCTCGCTGCCGCCCTCTCGCTCGGGACGCTAAACTTCACATCCCACACTGTCAAGTCGGCGAAGTTGGCCCTTACACCACACCATCTATTTTATCTGCTCTCTCGTTTCGAAGATTTGGGGATTCCTGTCGGCCCGATGAAAGTACGCCTGGAGAACCTGCACGACAGCACCACCTCGGCCAATTACGTCTCTTTTCTTGGTCAATCGCAGCGTTCCAAGAGCCGCGGCTCCGATGTCGGTTCGATCCGCTCCGTCTCGAGCATTAGGAGCGTGGTGTCAGGCATGTCTGCGTTATGGTCTAGCTTCGGGCTCGGATCGAGCATATCCGCCGCCCGGACAGAAAAGCAAAAGGCCGCTCTTCAGGCCGACTTGAAATACCTATACTCCGCCTTCACCAAGATCCCGTGCTTGAGGTTGGCACCGGACTGGCGAGCCCGACTTATCAAGGGCTACGAGGAGTTCCCATTCGATTCGGCAGTGCCGCTGTATGTGTTCAAAAACGTTCAGGCGCTTGAGGTTAGCGACATCGACTTCCGACAGTTTTTCGGATGGGACAGGCTTGCCGACCAGCTCAGATCCCTCACGCTCAAGCGTGCCAGTATCGACGACCCAGCGGACTTTCTGATTGACATCGTGTTGGACGACATGGACAAGAGACGTCGTCGGACTTCTAAAGGCCACGCATCACCCACACGGCCGTGGCCTGGGGCCTCGAGTCCTCGACGAAGCCCGACAGGGTCCAACAGTGATCTTCACAGGTCAGCGCCCATCCCGGGCTCCTCTCCTGAACCACGGAGGTCGACGGTAGACTTGCAGGTTGGGTCGCTCAACAGCGAAGTCGGAGCCGACGGATCCAGTGGGCCGGATAGCCGGAGGCCATCCGTTGTCAGGATCGATGGTGATGAGCCGGGCTCGCCTTCCAAAGACGGTACCCGACCCCGGAGCCATTCTCCACGGCGCCCGGGAAGCTCCAGGCACCAATCGACCAACGTGCGCGGTTCCTACAAAATTCGGAGGTCGGGGTCTGGCAGTTCCCATTCGAGCCTTTCTGACTCGTGGCATAACTCGCGCGGCAGCTCCTCAAACCTATTGGCCATGGGCATCCTCCCGGCTTCCAAGTGGCGCTTCCTCAAGCACCTGAGTTTGGCTGATAACTCGCTAACTGCGATCCCCGCAGGGAGTTTAAATCCCCTCGCCAATACTCTCAACTCGCTCGACCTTTCCTCCAACTTATTCACCCAGATTCCTGACAGTCTGGCGACTCTTACCGCGCTCCGCGCTTTGAACTTGGCTCATTGCATGATCGACTCTCTGCACTCGCTTACGCGTAATCCGCTACCGGCAATCAGCGCTCTCAACCTCCGTGCGAACCGCTTGCACTCCCTTGCAGGAATCGAGAGGCTCTTACCCCTCGAGAGGCTAGATCTGCGGGACAACCGTCTGGCTGACCCCATGGAATTAGCCCGGTTGACCGGGATTCCGGAAATCCGCGAGATTTACGTCGAAGGCAACCCATTCACGCGCACCCATCGCGACTACCGTATCACCATCTTCAACCTATTTCGCCAGACCCCAGGATATACGGATGACATCACGATCGATGGCACGGGACCGACATACGCGGAAAAGCGGTATTTGGTCGAGCGAGCCGAAATCCCGCCCGCCGTGCCTGTAGTCAAGCCCGAAACCCCGGAGATGCCTGCCGTCGACGTGAGCAGGCCCACTATCATCTACGATGCTCCGAAAGAGCCCGCGGTCCTGCGGAAAGACCGACCTGTAGCAAAGACAGTCTCAAGTGAAGTTAATACCAGCTCGACACGACGTCGCAGGGCGCCCAAGCGCCGTATAGTCGATCTCGCTACCAACGATAGCCCTATACCCTATGCACGCCCTGTCGACTCCCATGTGCGCCCCGTCGACTCCCATGTGGCTGTTGTCAACAACACAGTGGGGTCGGAGAATCACTACCGCACTTCGCAACCACCCGAGACCCACGACACGCCCCGGACTACATTGGCTGAAAGCCCCGTCCCAAACATGGTGGAGGCATCCCGAGAAGTCCCCAGAATTGACACCAATGTTGTCCCTCAATTACCTGCCATTTTTGGGTCCCCGGGAAACCACCTTGACTGGGATGTTGAAGGCGAAATTTACCGCCAAAAGATCGAGGATCTCCGCAACAAAGTCGGAAACGGTTACCTGAGCGTCCTCAGCGAGGAGACATGGGACCCCGCACCCCACCCGCCAGACTATCACCAGGCCGCCGACTTCGGCGCCACTTCTCCCTCTCTTCACTCGGACCCCACGATGCCTCGGCCGAACTTGCAGGCCATCCCGAGCGGTGGGACCTTTGCTTAACAGCGGGATCACCACCTCGCTCTTTTTATCCATGATACCCCTTGGTTGTTTGCTTAACTGGTTGGAATTGGGAATACATAACGACGAGCAACGAACGGACGGCTAATGAAACGGATTGCGTTGGATCGGAAATACCCATCTTCTCTTCCATTGCGCACTCTGTTTCTTTTGCAGGATTGCTCGACCGAGGTTTTATTTTTGTTTCTCTTTTTGTCCCTTATTTTTTTTTTTTTTTTGGCATTTCAAGATATCACGGCACAGCACAGCGCAGCGCTTTTGCACTTTTGCGCACTGGAGCATTTAGCATGCATGCATCATCATCGCATACCTGGCGTTTAGGGATGAGCGGGTTCTAGTTTGGTTGGAATGGAAGTGGAGGTTAAGACTGGAAGGAGGGATGGTGGATGGCGTTTTGTTTGGTCTTGGCTTGAAGGCTTCGACTTGTGTGGTGGAAGCTTTGTTGTCGTTGTTTTGTCGTTGCTGGGATGGATGAGAGCCCTTCCCACGCCCCCTGGCGGTTAATACCCCCATCGTTCTCAATCGTCTGTCCTGAGAGTTTTAGATTTGGATGGAGAGATCCTATTTGGTCGGTGGGTGGTTTCTTGTACAAAAAAGTTGTTTTGATTATTTGAGGTTGGAGGTTGTTGGCAAGCATACAAGGAGAGAAGCAAAGAAAGACAGATGGCGGCACAATGAGATTGGTGGTCTGAAAGAGATGAATCGTGGCTTGATCCCTTACGTGCCTGTGTGTTGTTTGTTAGTTATGGCTTGTGTCTTGCGTTTTGTGCGAGTTGGTGCGGGAAATGGTGTGGTGGTATGATGCTGAGTTCCAAGTGTTGAACCAATTGGTGATGGTATTGTCAGGTCCTTTGCTCTCCCCTCGCTTTTTTCTAGTTCACTTCTACACTGATTGAGATGAATCAATTGTGAATGTGTGTGCCATCACCTGCCGTGACAAGTCTCTCCGTTTCTGAATCTATTTGGCAAAGTGAAATGGCCCCTTCAAATTGCTACTGTGACTAACGTTTGAGGGTTTTTGATGGGCTTGGGATCTTGAGTTCGGCAGCACCAGGAAAAAAGCAAGATACTCTACCTTCATTCACTTGTTGGATTAAACCCGGCGGGTTGCTTGGTGATGGGGGAGAGAGATGATAGAAATCTTATGGAAGGGACTGCCCGTCTCTGAGGCAAGGGCCACGACCAAGAATCTGCGACGCTCCGGGCTCCGGAGTGCTGGCCGGTCAGTCGCATGGGAATGCGCTCAGCATATGATTGGCCTGTCGCATAATTGAACTCTCATGGAATCGCGAAGGAAAGTGGGAACATTTGGGTTGTGCGCCAAGGCTTGCCAGCATAGCAACCACGTCATTTGGGTCGCTCATCGGGTCGGTCGGCCACTAGATGAAACTCAGCCCTATGGGATGCCTGCCCACGGCTCTGGTGTGAATTGGGTGAGGACACTTTCACCTTTGGTTTAGTTTTTATAATATAGGCTAAGAAACGTATTCAGATGCTAAAGCATAAAATATTCGGACTCATCTTATCTGCAATAAGATTTTTTTTTTATCCTCCATATACTCTGTCTTGCCGGCCTCCATTCTGGTATGGATTCACTCAGGGGTTCTGGCCGCAACATGAGGTGTGTTTGCGGGGGCACTGGGGCCATTGTGGGCTTGTGCTTTTTGTTGATGCAGTTCACACAGAAGCAGATGCCCCACTCAGATCGACTGTCGGCAGTCGGCAGGGAGCAGAATGCGACAAAAACATTGAATTTGGGATTCGGCGGCCAATTGCCAGTGTGTTTTGGTAAAAACTTCCCACAAACGTGGAAATTCAAACCCACCTGTTCTAAACAACAAAAACCATCAGGTTGCGACTCCCAACCCTCTCACAAATTCTCAACTGCATCAAATTTTGTGAGCTCTCACCCTGGTCAGACGCACGGACTGCATGAA